TTTGGGCGCGCCGTGGTGTAGGTACGGCTGCTGTCTTGACAAACCAACATGCGCGCATTCGTGGTCATCGGACCGTGGACGAGCATTTTGAAAATGGTTATGAGTTTCAATCGGAGTCTCTGCCTACGATCCCGAGAAGGATCTGATTTGCCTGTTGGGGCTTCTCTCGATCTTCGGGACGTGATAAGGACATCATTACATAAGTACTCATGTCGGCGACAGTGGGCGATGTATTGTTCGCGCGGGTGACGATAGGACTTTTTTCAGTTTTTGTTTCATCGTATAAAAGGAAACCAGAATCCTTTCTTTTCGGGGGACACGGGCCAAATGAAACCCCATCACCGCGTTTGCTACCCGCTTCTCGGGCGCAGCGAGGCTTCGTCTGACTTGTACAGCTCTATAGTCTACGAAGCTTGGCATATCAAACTTGGACTGGGTATGCTACAGGTTCTTAAGCCCCGGAATATACCAGAAGAAGCGACGCGGGAGAGTTAGCAAACAAGTAACACTACATCGAGGTCTTTGAGACTGCGGACGTCTGTGGGCTTCATTGGCTTCGAAATGAATGCGAGAAACGATCTGCAATGTCGAAAAGTCACCCGCTCACCGGCCAAGAGCATTGCTCATACACTTTCCAAGTACAATTCTAAATCTGCTTTTATACGTCGACGTCACGAGTTACGACATTGAACCTGGGCCAGACTCTGAAAGTTTCTATCAATCGCGAAAAACAAGTATTTAAAGGATACGAGTCGAAAAGCATCTAGGTTTTGTAACGGCACAATGATCCCTAGCACGCCAATCTTTTGGTGCCCCCCTTTTAGTTTCGGCTCGCTTGGTCATGTCGTTCGGTTTACCAGTAGGTCAAGAGTTGCAACAAAACATCAATACTCAAACAACAGGATCATAACATACATTTATACGGCTTGCTTCCACCATGTAGAACGTGTGCAGGACAATGAAGGGAAGAGACAGTATTGGTCATCACACTCCACAGAAAAGCCTGTAGACATACGCGTTTTGGGTTCTTAACGAAGATGAGAATATTGCTCTAAGTAGACAGATTCTTCATCGAACTCCATTACTGTTTTGCTCATACTATCTATGTGCGCCAGTGGCTCTCACTTATATGTGCGTTGTAGTGAAATCTAGCAAAGCAGCTGGTCTGTGACCGTTGGTACGACAGCTACGTCGGCTCACTGAGATTCTATAGATGTTATAAATGGACTTCGTCTTGGACATTTTTGCCGCCGAGCCCAGAAATATGATAGTATTCACGCTCTATTACTGTATTTTAAACAAAAAGGGTTGAAATATATTAGAGCCTGTGGAAGCTTGAATTCTATAATGACGAAGCAATTGTTTCACAAAAAAGCCTACTCAGTCGTCCTTTCCAATGCAGTTCTAATATCTAGGCGGGTACTTCTAGCTAACTAGACGGGTAGTAGATATACAGAGATAAGCATAATACGACGACAACGACGACGATAACAACGACGACAACAACAACAATAATAATAACAATAGGGACATATAGAGAGATAGGAATAGCAAAGAAAGTAGTAAAAGTATTAGCTAATAGACCTAATATAGGTAATAATCCGCCCGGTTAGCCAGAAGTATCTGCCTGGATAGCAAGACTCTTCTAATGAATGCGCTCTGAATAGGACCAACGATGGGAGGTCCTCAACTTTTACCGAGGCCTTCACGGTAAATTGAAGGATATCGCATTGAAAGGTTCCGGATGAGCCTCTGGCTACTGAACCAAGCAAGCATTACGACAACGGAGCCATTTGGCTTGCAGAAAAACTCTGTTGAAGTGTTCAAAGGCTCACACAACTTTATATGATGCGTCTGCTGCGTACACTCGGATCCTATGTGATGCTAAACCTCTATGGGAATGCCGGGACTTCATTTGATTTTTAGAAACTTGACGCAGCTTCGACGCAGGCGGGGGGATTGTAATTTCTACGGAGTTATATGCAACTCTCTGCCTTCGCATCTTTGATGAATCCGGTTCAATGCAATCCAGATTAGTGAGCGAGGACTCAGAATTTGTGGCATGGAATGCAATGCGGCTTGCTGCGACAAGACGAACTCAACCTCGCCAGACGGGAATGACTGAGGTCAGGAACCGGGGTATCTCGAAACCAAAGTCATCATCAATTACTAAAAGAGAAGTCTAACAGTCATATTTGTAGACACGTGCGACGCACAATCTATAGCAGCGGTTCGACTGGTTACAATTAGGAATCGACAAGACAGCGATGAGCCACTGGAAACGCTGATTCACACGTCACGCCGACCGTCATCCTTGATCAGAAGTTGGTCTTTCGAGAGCGACTAGTGTTTTCGTCTGCGCCTGTTAAGTATGTGCAAGAGTAGAAGTGTTGTTTTGGTAGGAATGTAGTTGACTTAACAAGCCCTTACTTGCCAGACGGCTCGGGTCTGCGCCGATGTGGGGCCGTCCTTAGCGGCGTTCTGACGTCCGCTGCGGGCTACATCTCCGGGATGGGCAGTCCGTGCAACCGGAGCGAATCTTGTGGGGGCTCCACTTAGACTTTAGCTTACATGCTCCTTCTCCTCGCTCTTCGGTATCCGCACAAAACATGCGCACACCAGCGCTCCTGTCATAGCAGTGGCCAGGCTCATCCACCAAATGGCTCGAAGAGCACCCAAATCCAGAGTGGAGTCAGCCATTTCCGTCACCTTCTCTCCTACTGTATCCCCAAGAGCAGCAAACACTGCCGTTGAAAGGTTCTGAGCTGTGATGACAAGGCTTCCGGCAGCACCTTGGTATGACCTGGGCACGTTCGAGGTAATGAACACGGAAACTGCCGCGAAAGACATGTCTGGACCGAAGGTGCTGATGACGAAGCTGGGAAACGATAAAGCCCAGTACATCGTCCCTGACGTCTGAGGGAGGAAGAAGGCTGGCCCGGTTGCAAATGCGAGCATACTGCCCATGAGGATCCAGTGTCCTGGCATGATGTGCAGTAATCTGGAGACAACCCAGGAAGCTAAAGTACCGCTTATGCCAACGGGTAGCAAGTAGCAAGCTGTGATGATTGGAGACGTATGTTGGATTGTGAGTAAGAATCTCACGGCGAAGAATTGCCATGCGCCGGCAAATGCCCCGTATCCCAGAAAATAAGAGACAATCAGCGGCAGGAATCCAGGAGTAAACCAAAGTCGATTATCAATGAGGGGACGGCGGACTTTCTTCTCGATGAGCCCAAATGCTGCCAAAAAAGCTAGGCCAACAATGACAAGGGCGTAGGTGTATGGGCTCCAGTGCGTGGGCGATCCTTGGGTCAAGCCAAAGATGAGCAGCCCGCACCCCAGCATGGCCGCGGAGGCACCCGCGTAGTCAAAGTCCTTGAGCGATACCGAGTCGACAGGGAGCGAAGGGATACACCAGAAAGCACCGCCCACGCAAAACAGAGCTAGTAAAGCCGTAGATCCGAAGACCCAGTGAAGGTGAGAGCTAAAGGCGCCGCCCTGAATCGCGCCTATGGCGAACCCCATTGGAATCATCGCGCCCATGAGTGAGAACACTCGGTTTTTTCGAAGGCCAGGCCTGTACACTCTTCCTAGCATACTCATCGCCGCGGCGCATAGAGTGCCAACCGAGAGACCTGCCATTGATCTCGCGATAAAGAAGAGAATGATTCTCTCAGGTGAGATCGAGAAAGCGCCGATGAAGCTCCACATCGAGAGCCAGACAAAGGCGCCACAAGTGAGATACTTGGGACTGACGAGGTCAGCGAAGGAGCCTGAGATGACGACAGAGACACCGTTTGCGACGAGGAAGGATCCGATGAGCCATGGTGTGTTGAGTGTGCTCGTACCCAGGGCTTCAATGAAGGTGAGCTGGTTGACGAAGGAGTGGGCCAGGTGAATCGCGAAGAGGAGCTGGCCCATGGAGCACACGCAAACGAAGCCGATTTCTTCTGCGAATGATGAGAACTCGGGAGGCACACCCAGAGTTCTCGTTGGGCTCGGTGTCGATTCTTCCGAGGGCGCAAGTGGAATGCTCGAATGAACATGGCCCGATTGCTCGGCCTGATCATGCCGGACGGTCAGGACAGTTGTCACCATAATTGCAGGCTCTCTAAGCCATTGATCTGAGTTAGATAGATCAAAGACAGAATCTTGGCGCGTTGTCGACCCCGACTCCGACTGAACAATTCCGTACCTTATATGAAGGGGTTATTTCACCGGCGGTGTGGCCAAGCCCTTGATTTGTAATTCAGGACTTACAAATCAACATGCCGTGAAGGCCCACTGACAAAGATGGGTACGATGATGTGAATCAAGGGGAGACTATCCACTATAAAAACTATGTACAATGCTAATGCTTCTGTACTCGGCTATTAAGCAAATCGGCTATTTGGTCACTGATATGGAGGCGAGACCGCCTATTTTTCCTATAGCTATACTCTAATCACTCTACTACCGTCGACCTTGTCGTCGTCGTCGTCGTCGTCGCTTCTATTGTTGTCGTCGTTATAGTCGTCCTCGTCCTCGTCCTTATCCTCATTATCGCTGTCGCTGCTTTCGCTTTCGATAGTAGTAATCAAGTGCACAGGAAATATAGCGCGCAGACACAGGCAAACTAGGCGATCTCATGGAGGCTCGTGTAAGCAGGTAAGGTTGTGCTCTGCCACGGAAAACGTAGAATTGACGCGTTTGTATGCCAGAGAAGTTCGAAAGACAAAGTTAGTACCTTGTCGAGTAAACATATCACACGGTCTTCTCGTAATTGATCGAAACAATTTTGTGAGTAACGTGAGCAAGCTGAGGGCTGTGTAATCTATTTGCGCTGATGCCTTGACTAGTAACACTGATACATTGTAATCTTGGAATTGAAAAACGCAGCTAGATGAACTGTGGTCTTTGATGAGACTTTCTGAGAGCTGACCCGTAACGGCTAAAAAGTGCGAAACTGAGAAGTCTCACAGGAACTATGCGCTTATCGGCACAAGTCGAAGCCGCCGTCACCGCAGCAGGTCTTGAACGGGAAGCTGGCAGGGAGAGGGGCAACGACGTTGTTGACATAGCACTTTCAACGGTTAGCCTGCACTGCAGCAAAAGATGGAAGTGTGGTGTCGCTCACCATCAGCTTTCCGTCATTTCTCTTGGCGGAAATGAACTTCTGGGCGTTACAGCATGACGTGGTCTTGGCGTCGTCCTTGCACTTGCAGTCAAAGGCTGCTTGGGCGCTGGGAGGATCGTTAGTGATTAGTGATACACTTTGAACTCTCCAAAAACTTGAGCTTACCCAAGGCAGAGAGTGGCAATGGCCAGGACAACGTTCTGAATCTGCATGGTCGCGGTTGGTAGGTTGGTGGTTGGTTTAGTGAGTGAGTGAGTTGCTTGAGTTGAACGAATGAGATGTAAACTGATGATCTACTGTTCTTGGAAGCATGAGGAGTGACTTTGATCTTATATACTAATTGCCAATATTGAGAAGGGCAGTTTTTAATTAATCTGCTCATGGGCACAGGGCGCGAACATCACAGTGCACTGCGCCTGGCGACCTGGAAGATTTGATAGCGATTTTGAGGAGCAATCCGTCACTATGGAACAGAGCGTTAGAGCAATAAAAACGGAGTTACGAGCAGGCCTCGACTCGTTCCACAGACGTTCCACGTAGAACGGAAACAGAGCCTTGTCCCAGCATACACCGCAGGCGTAGTCCGGAAAACCCTAATTTCATTCACTACCCCTGGCATCCCTGTCTGCCAACTCCTGAACCCAAGATTAGTATTCAACAAAAACAAATCAGCGGTGTAACAACTACTTGTAAAGAAGACAGCTCAATCAAGACCTGCAAAGATACTGAATTGAATGACAAACTCATCTTCCAGCCGAAGTATGCATCTTGTATATCAGAACCGACAACATTCCCGTCAAGATCGTTGGCGTCTTTCGGTCCACTCAACGGCTGTCTCAGGCTTTCGAGTCAGGCATCTTTCCTCATTCGGCGTACTTGGTCACTTGAGCAATCCTACCCTGCAGACAGATCTTAGCTAGCCGAACTATCAGACGAGAGGTGATCTCTCAACGTGGAGACCCCAAGTAATGGATCTGCAGGCTAGACTTGAGATGTTCTAGAAGGGTCTTTAGCCGAATGACCTGACCAGCAGGGTCAGCCACAATGAGCCTGTACGTGTGCAAGAGATGCGGACGATGTGTAACTACTGGACGGATAGGTTATCACAGGTATTCGAAGTGTCAATCGGTGTTCTTCCTTGCTCCTGAAAGACGGTTCGTTCCTGTTCGTCTAAGACTGGCTCTCTTGAGCTACTTGGAGAGCCGTGGAATCCCAAACAGTCCCAAATCGCGGAGGCAAACATGGCAAGGCGCCGTGTGCGAAGTCTATTTCCCGTATTGCTTATAGGCCTGGGCGCCAGAAGCATAGCCTCCTCGACGTTTGACGCTCTAAAACCTTGTTAGCGTTAGCAAGACACTAGTGCTAGCGAACTCACGTGGAGAGAGTGGTTAGTCGGAGGGTTCTGTCTGGTCTTTGTGTGTAGTGGTGTACTTTGCTCCTCAGACGAACCATGCGTTCGCACATCAGCAGTATGCGGACCCTCTTCTACCGGGCTACCTTCCTCTTTCTGCTGATTGTGCACCGTGATTCGTGGAAAAGGGGTGTAGTAGCGAAATGGTCGATGACCCCTGAAACCTTCACTAAAGCCGTGCGGTAAGACCGAACCCAGCAATTTGGATCGTTCCAGAAAGTGTAAATGGAGACGCCCGCCTGGCCGGGAAGGTGTCTCGGATCACGGCTGCTGACAGTACGGAGCGGAGCGGACTTAGTGTTTTCAGATCTGAAGGCGTCAAATACAGACGTTCCGATGGCTTCAATATCCGGCCCAGGAAGTCTGGAAGGCAGCAAGGTTTGAACTAATGTCAGAGCGGGAGAATATGTCCCCGTTTGGAACTGTCCGGCGGAATATAGCTGATTTGCAATGCCCAGACCATGTGCGCGAGTCAAACTTCTGAAATAAACCTCAGGAATCGCTTAGCTCGGCACGCTCCGAAGTTCAGTCAGAGCCAGCAGTAAAGGACTGAATGTGCGCTTCTCGGAGCCGGAGGTGGCATATTAAATTTAGACCTCGGCAATCTGTCATGAAGTCTTGCACAGTCAACACGCTGTTCGCATAATGACCAAGGCAGAGAAAGCAACAGCTTCACTCAGCCAGCGCGTCACACCAAAGTCTCACAGACTCGTTACATATTACCCCAACAAGCTGGACGCAACGACTCGCAGAATGACGGCGGCATAACTATCCGCAAGCCGCAGCGTCTTCCCCGTCACTGCTATGGAGTGGCACACCCAATAAGGCATTTGCAGCCTTTGCGTCGCTATCTCAACCAAATTGAATCACATGGGTGGCCTTAAAATGCTCCTGTGCGCAACTACCACGCAAAGAAGCTCAGCCCCCAACGCATACGAATACCGTGGCCCGCTCCCTCCGAACATCTTTGGCATTTGGCGGCAGCACGCAAACCGCACCGGCTTGAATTGAACGGCACCATGAGGCCGCTTTTCTACAAAGTCGCCTCTGGAAAAAGATGAAAAGCGGACCACGACCTCTTATGTCTGTGATAACGGAATAGCTACAGTTAGATGCTCTTCAAAGACGTACGGTAGGTATTGATTGAAATGACCAAATGAATTCGCTTGCAATATGCGACGCCAAAGCTGGAAACAAGGCTGATAACAACAGTCTGAAATGAGAAAAAAGAACGAAAGAAAATCAGAATAGATAGCAGTCCGGCTGGATAGCAGCACTAAGCCGAAAGAAGGAAGACAAGCAAGGAAGGAAGGTATCCAAAGGAATGACATGCAACATCGACCTATCCAGCTTTTTCGAGTCGATATATTCCTTGGGGGTTAGTTTGGTCAATTTAACACAACTTTGCAGCACTTGCTAGCAGTCACTATAGCCAGCAAAGAAAAACCGTCAGATGAATCAAAGACTTCTCTGATTCTAACGTAAATTTTAGACCATTTTGGTGTGGTGGTGCGAAGTGATGCAAACCTCATATCACAGGTGAATGTGTAGTAAGCATCACTGGAAGAGAATTAAGTAGAAGCACTTGGGCGGGCTAGCAGCTTGTTAAGTATATAGAAGAATAACTAATCTTTCTGATAACGTGCGTTAAGCTTGTTGTATTATCTGCAAGAACGATAGAAGTGACAGTGCTTGCCAACATCCTATCCTTGTCATGGCAATTATCAGCATTATCAGATCCCGCCGCTGCTCCGCTGTTACATTAAGTCTAGATCGTTGTGGTTGTCTTCGTCACTTACGTCGCTGCAGATACTACCAAGAAAACTGAATAGTCCAGGCGGAGCTGGGAGAAAAGCTGTCAAATTGTACCGTTTCTTCTGACTTTGTGTAGCTGTTCGAGAGTACTCAGAGGAGTGACGAGCGTAGCGACGCGACTTGCCTCTGCCGACTTGGTCTCAACCCAATCTTTGAGGAGCAAATGATTCAGATATAAGTTGCTGTATGAGATTTCATGGCTTGAAATGCCGATGATGTCCATGCACGTAAGTACGAAAAGAAAACAGAAAAAGGTAGAAGGGAAGAAGGACGTTCATGTCCATGCTATCAGCCGTAAACAGCATTCTCTTACCTCAGAAGTTGTGAATGGGAGGGGGCGCGACATTTTAAAATTTTTACCAGACTTCTAGGTTGAACACTGAAGGCAGAGAGTAGAACATTTAGTGTTTACTATTCGCGGTGGTTTCCAGTGACCTGGTCGTTCTGTTCAATGCCTTCTGAATCCTTTGACAGTACTGGGCACATTTATGGAGCAAGGTCCCTCCCAAACACGGTGTTATGTTTTGATAGGAATACAAGACTGTCGGGGATTAGGTAGTGATTCGTTTCTTTGACTTTAATATCTTGGTAGATATTCTGCAGCATCTCGGAGAATACAGTTAAGCATACCAAGCAAGTTGAAATCTTGGCACATCTGCCCCAGCTTGCGCAGAAATTGACTCCAAACTGCGCCTCATGTTCCAGAATCCGGCGTTCGCAATCATCCAGTGCCACTGAAGTCTGGTGACCGTGCCCAAGGATCATCGCGTTCATCTGAAGCTGACAGGGGAATGATCTAACTGACTCGGCGTCCACCGGATGCCATTGACTCGGGCGCAGCCCAAATGGTGACGATCTTCAAATGAGAAGCAGGCAAACCCTGGGCCGATCTCCAAATCCCTTCAATTCCCATCCCTGCAGCAGTAACCTGTGGGTTCAATGCCAGGACGACTTTTTCTAGATGCACACATCCCTTTAGTACAATATTTCTTAAATCCTACCAAATCTGCGCACCATATGGTTGCCCTAAGAAATCAGTTATGCACGGGGATATAAGGGTATCTATATGAACAATGAATTGGAAGATAGCCACTGTCACGTTGTCATTACCGATTTAAACTGTGCTGTTCCGACTGAGGCTTTATCAGTAAGTACTTTACTGTGTGAAAGGTCAGAGTCAAGTGGTCCATGATCAGCCAAGATCCAACTTGAAGATGTGGATAGAAAGATCGCTATAAGCTATGGGAACCCGAAGTGATAGATGAGGCATGCCGCGCAATTCTAGGCTCATAAGGTCCCTTTGTTGTCACAGGGCGATATGAGGTCTCTCGATTACAAATGCCATGGCTGAGCAAATGCTTGATGGATGAAATGACTGACGGTTGTTGCACGTGCATATCCACAGGATGGACGACATCAGAATGGCACAAGATACACCCATCCAAAGCATGTCTTCGGTGGTTCATATTGTCGTGCCAACTTGCACTGCTCAACGGGTATTACGAAAACTTAATCTGCATGTCTGCTGCATAGATCATGAGGCACCACACCTTTTGGACTTCAAGTAGTCACACATCTCAGTGCAAAACTGCGATTTTTGTGTAATGCATTTCTGAATGTCTAACGTTGAGTACCAGGACGCAAGAGTGGGACCTTGTTCTTATGTCTCCGCCGAAAAGGACTCGTCTCAGGAGATTCAGAAAAAGTATCCCGTCGGATCTAATCCAGCATACGTGCGGCTCGAATCAGAGGTGTGGGCACAGTTGCTTTTTTCGACTCGCGATTGGATCCGAATGATCTATATGCTCTTTGATTGGCCATTTTCCGTGGAACCAGGCCACCGCCATTGATTACCAGCCGACGGGATGATGGAGTGCTCGCCATCATGCGAATGACTTAGAACTTGAATCACTTATCTCAAACCTGTTCGGAGTCCGATCGTTCGCCGTACCGATTTCAGACTGGTCTTTACGAAATTCAGCCATCAAGTCTTTGTCTATAAATATTGCGGCCTCGCTGTATTTTCTGAGGTGGGTTTGTACCCATCCCGTCATCCATCGTCTCAGTATCACGACTCGTCATTCTTTTCTTCCTACGAAATATGCAGCTCTCGACGTTCTTTATCTCTGTCATTATGCCCTTGGCGTGAGTGCTTTTTCACGGTAATGTCACATACATCCTGCTAACTATGACTAGGGCAATGGCCGACACTCATGCCAGCTGCAAGTGCAACGGAGATGATCTGTGTACTTCAAGAGCTTGCAACGGCTATGCATCTGGCCAGAAGTTCTTCAACATTCCGACGAACGCTGTTGGACCGCCAACTTCCCAGCCCAAGGATGGGGTGAGTCGAAAAAGCCGAATGATTTGAATGGACAAATCTAACGAATGGCACTCCAGAGATGTTATTCTATCTTCAGTGATAACACGCAATTTCTTGTTTTTGAAGGCCTTGGTGGAAATGAGTTCAAAGCTGAGTGCCTGAAGGCTTGCAATAGCGGCTCCTCATGCTCTTAGTTGATCGAAGGAAGATCGACTTGGCGGACAAATAGTATGCTTCTCGGCAAGCCGGATTGAAAACGGCGTTTCTAGTTACGCAGATTATTTCAATGTACAACTTATCCGTGGCCCTCAAGAGTCTGATCTATGACTTCATAGTCAATAGATCGAACGTATACCTGTTTCAATTAGGTCTCCATAAGATGCAACTGAAAGAGTGATAGCAGTGAAGTCTCCGTACCAGGAAAATCTTCATCCCACCATCAAAGTGCAATCGGGTGCTTCTAATAGAACCATGTTAGTCACCGTATGAGACATTGACATCCAGTGGTCTCTCGTTAGAGTCCATTGACTACTGAAGCGACTGTACCCGAATATCTTCTCAGACTAGAGTTCTGCCATCAGCCAGGTTCTTGGTCAGGCGGACTACTATGTTAACTTCGTCATTCAGTTTGATGCTATGTTTCATCTCTATTGTTCTCGAGTATCCGTCCTTACTTGTTGCTCTGATCGTCTCTGTTACCAGCCATGCTGTCTGCGTTGGGATATTTGCTTTTCTTTTCACTTCTCTTCATGTAATGGCCTCAATAGTGCCTTCCGTCAAACTTACGCGGCACGTCTGTTGATAAATAGAATCAAGTGGGACTTAATGTTTTGCTTTTATCATTATTTGAAGGTCTGCTCTGAGTATATGAACTCAGAGTACCGCAATCCTGTCACAGTGATCATCCTGATGAGCACGTACAGTATTCATTTGATCACTCGAAGACTGAATGCGTCATATACTTGGCTGTTGGGGCCACGTAGTCTTAGTCTGCCCCTCAGTATCTTACTTTGCCTATCCCAAGTCAAAGTATGCAGCTGTGGCCGAATTTAGAGTGAGGAATTTCACGATAAATTGAACGGAACTTGACTCAATCAATCAGAAGAAACCATAAAAGTGTGACGGCATCATGACTGCAGCCTACTTCCTCGTCAGCGCCTGGTCAGAATGAAGACTGGGGGCAATCGGAGTCAGCTTTGTACCAAAGAAATAACACAGCGCTTAATTATGACTTCCTCTGTAGAAACTCGTAAAGGATCAAGCATTCGACCGACCGGTGTCGACGTTCTACTCATGGGGACAATGTTATGAATCAAACCTAACATATATCGGTGTTGTTCGCAGGTTGTACTTGGAATGGTTTCCGGAGCGGGATTCGTTTATTCTACGGGGAACGAATCCTAAGCCCGGATTCGCGCACGTCTATGCGCTCGGGTAACCACTCGGCTATCGGTTAGCATGAGGCGAGAAGGCAGGAAGAAAGCTCGGGGAGGTAGGCGCAGATAGCAGCGGTGATGAGAGTCTCGGCCCCGGCCCTTGGGTTTTTGCTCCGAGAGTTCCGCTGACGGCTTCAGTGTCCATATTGTCTGATCTAATAGGAATGAATCACACAACAACATAGCTTGTTTGGCGAATTGACAATCCAAAAGATCTTGACAAGAAAAGCGAGCTGGGACGATCACGTTGCCAGTCTGGCCATAGAAAGATGCTACTCCATGAGAACCTCGTAACTGCAGGACATCTGAGGAGCTCGAGAAACATGACGCGGGTGACAGCAGAGACATGTGACTTGGAAGGATAAACGTATGTGCATGATCAAAATAGTATGATATTAACTTCGCCAGCTTCGGGAGCTTCGAACATCCGCCTGCACACCAGGGGTTTGCTCAACTCTTTCCTTGAATGTAATCCTTCTTCTTCACATGATGATACAGACCCAGCTGTCAAACTCCTATTGGAAATGCTTCATCTTGATGCAACGCTTCGCTGATTGTAATCTTCCGGCTCATGTAATCAACGCTTCAAATCCTCAAAACCTTTAACGCCGAACAAATGCAAGACCAAGCTGTTTCTGGCCATCCAAAAGGTCTCAGCACGACTTGTCAAGAACACTGCGAGAAGTTAGTGACGAGCAAAAAGCATTCGAGAGTCCACCGTACTAACCATTGCTGCGTTTGACACCTCCCGTTCGTCGGGTTGGGGTACTGGCCCGACTTGGGATCACACTTGACAGTCTTGCCTCCCGTACAAGTTGCGCCTATGAAGTTGCCCCATTGAGCAAATGTCGCTGAGTAGTCGTCGCCATGCGCTGTCCAGGCGCGCCAGATGTCGAAGTTGCCGGTAAAGGTCGAGAGGCCGGCTGCGCAAGCGCCCTGGCCCGCGTTCGTCGGCGAGCCGGGTTGCCAGCTCGCACAATCAGGCCCCATGATGGCTACCAGGCCAAGACTCGCTTCATTGTATGCTTCGTCGGCGTTTGCGGCGCAGACAGTCACTTGGCAGTGTACTTGCGTGCATCCTGAGGCCAAAACTGATCGGCACTGGAAGAAAACCAGCAGGAGAAGGCTGAGGCTGCATCTCGGTCAATTCCTGTACCATGCCAAGCCCAGTTGCAAAAGAAACACTTACAGCTTGAAAGACATTGACATTGAGCTTGAACTCATGTTGTGGAAGAAGTCGGTGTTGGCCGAGTTTTGGCTTTTCTCTATGCTCGGTATCCCAGGTTGTTTCGAAGGTGTGAAAAACAGGACGTGTTGGGTTCCCTTGGCCAGTGCGACGAGCTCTGATCATGCAATCAATTGAACTCTTAAAAGACAATCGGGGAAATTTGCGACACCTTAAGGGAATCCTGGCTTGAGATTTCATCCCACGTTGCCCGATTCCATCACTAATACAAATAAGGGGCACGACTCGCTTTGGACTTCCTTCAGCCATTCAAGAAACTGAGGGATGGTACGATTGCTTTTCGTCATGGCGAACTTCTAAACTTGTCAAAAACCGAGAAAATGAAGGAGCACTTGCCATTCGAGCACGTTTTCTGCCTGGGCCAGTAAGAACGACCACGTGGGTGGAATTTTCACCACGTTGCTCCTTGATACTGACTCGGTCCGGAGGCTGTGTGCGCTTTTTCAGTTTTGAAGTGCTGGGAACACCCTCACATTAAATACATTATATAGCACTGATGACCCACATCTGAGGATAGCTAATTAAAACCCCCAATGTGCATGAAATTTGTGACAGTTCCGAACAACCGTGAACTCCATCGATCTACGGTGGGCACGGCTGAACCGGCACCAATGGCAGCTGTTGCAGCACACATGTGGTCGAATAGTTCGTCGCTGAGCGCAACGTGCAACTCGTGATGCGACTCAGTTTTGCCGGCCCGTACCGTGGCCCTGTGGTAGGGCGTTGAAGATGGCAAGTTGTCGACGATGTTAATATGCCGGTACCAGCATCGCGGTTCGCTTCAGCAAGATCCGGCGATCTCTCATCGTTCTTTCCCCAGTCGTTCGCTTGATACCCCTCATTCGTTGCTTTGGAATTCCGTTCTTTTTCCAGCCTGTCTCTACCTTGTTACAACGATGGTTAACGTAGCGTTTGTTCTTCTGGCTGCCACTGCCACTGCCTCTCCCACCTCACTCTGGATCCGAGACACACCAAAGTGGGAAGACGTCAAGTGCACCGATACCAACATCACAGACGCCAAAGTCGCATCCAATATCCGCTGGCAAGCTGCCGACGCCAACACATCTTGGGACGCGGCCGTCGCTGCGTGGCATAATTATACACCTGGAGATGGCCAAGTTCAACTCAAGTTCCCGGCCTTCATCAGCGACTTCTACGGCGGCCCTGAAGGATGGGATTGCCAAGATCCCGTCAATACCCCTTGTTCAACGACGGTTCAGTGCGCTGCCACCAAAACACCGGCAGGGTATGTTACACACCTGACTCTTTCCAAAGTTACACAGATACATTTGGCTAACTTTCCATATAGGTTTCTCGTTCTCAACTCCTTCGCGAAGTTGCACGACGTGAGATAAATCACAGTCTGTTTCAAAGTCTACCGCTGACCGGTCACAAGATCTTCCAAAAATATCATGAAGCGCTGCAAGATGCCCAGCTCAGTCTCGCTGCCGTAATTGGAGACTTCACCGGAGCCTTTGCCCCTCAGTTGAAGGCTCAGGATGATTCAACCTTAGTCAAGATTGTGCTTGATGTGTTGCAATTTGGTATTGGTTTGTCGTCTGCAGGACTTTGGAACATTGGTAGGTCTCTCTCGCTCTGATGACCCAAAGCTTTTTACTGATTCGAGAAGTTCTCCATGACGCCGCCATTTTCGCTACCAGCGCCTACAGAAGTTTCGCCAAGGATACCTTCAACAGCGCCATTAGTTCTTCATTCGCCCTAGCCAAGGATAACACCAAGGCGTAAGTCGTAATACCTGGCCGATGTATCCCCGGAGGGAGATGCTAACACTACCCATCAACAGCGCGAAAGACTCTGCTAGCGTCCAGAACGATCTGATGTCCGCCATGGGTACTCTATTTGATGTATGGAAAAAGACTCAGAATGATTACTTGTCAGAAGTCTTCTCTGGGTCAAACAGCACCACGAACAACATGCTTTCGGGGCTGATCCGCGAGGGTATGATGAACATGGTCCCTGACGACATTAACCTCTCCGAAATGAAGGATAACGTTCAGAAGATCTTGCTTGGACAAATGATTCCCATTGCCTGGTCTGTAGCGCCGGCTGGGTTCCAACCTTTTGTGCTGTAAGTCAAGCTCTCCTCTACCAAGTATTCGTTAACTTACACAATCAAACAGCAAGACGGGAGATGCATGCTCAGACACCATGCCCAAGACACTGGACCCATACATGGACGAAGATACGCACAAGAAGTCGGGTGTCTGCTGGAACGGAAACCAATTCTACGTTCTCACCATTGGAACGTACCGTGTCGACGTCCAGGCCGACACCCCCGGCCTTCCCAACTCAGACCCGCCCTTCCAGCAGCTTGCGGGTGGCACACACGACATTTTGGATGGAAAGAGTTGGGGTGGCATCACGCTGGACGACATCGTGATCAGCTCCTACAGCGGCTATCTGGCCAACGGCAACCGCAACGGCTACAACATGTCCTTGGATACCAGCAGCGGACCTGTGGACGAGCTCATGCTTTCGGGTGGTGTGCGGACCCCTGGGTTCTTCTCGCTTCCTGTCTGCACGAGCATTTGGAACACCCTGATGAATGTTGCTGGGAGCATAGAGGGCAAGAACTATTACCCATGCGGCGTTGTTGTTGAGAAGACGTATCCTCAGTAATGCACGGCGGATGAGCCATACTGCAGGACAAGTGGCTTCTAGAATTAATGACAAACCTTTACGTTCATTCAAGCTGATTCCGTGATTTGACGTTATGCCACAAAGTTTTGCTTCCCGCTAAATTGCTGAACTAGAAATGCATAGAGGCTGTGGTAGACATTTCGAGCTTGCGGTCCCCCGACTAGAGACGACGGTCGTGGTGGAATACGAGTCAACGATCTCATTGCCTAATTCTGAAGATAGAGTTCCTCAGGTTTCTCTTGCCGATATCTAATCCCGGCCAAATAAGAAGAGTATTGGTGAAAGGGTCCTATTCAACGCATAACTCAACAAGGGTTGAGAGTGTATTATTCCACTGCTATCTTCGTCCGAAGCATTGAGGAAAGACGTCACTGACACCGAACGCGCTGTCAGACGTTGGACATCATAATGTCATTCCAATCTATGTACCCTAGACATCTATTATGTAGTAAACATTGAATCCCCCCATGAAATCTACAGCCCGTTGTGAGAATAGTTCCGCTTTAATGCAAGAAAGAAACAGCAAGAAAGAAATGAGTCCACCCAAATGCTATCCCGAGATCTACCCGTGAAGGTGGTACAATCTAAGATGCTGCAATAGTGCGCGTGTGGTATCAGAGTGATGAGGTAAGAGAGATGAGTCAAAGTAGAATGAGCTTTGCTCACTCCGCCTTCTTGGACGTCTTGGTACGGAGCTTCATGAGGAGGTAGACCAAGGCGTAAGAGCTGATGGCGAAGATGACGACGATGGCAGCATCGCGCCAGCCATAGTAGTACTCCTTGAGGTTCACGGTCTGCAGGTAGTCGCTGCCGTCGCGGTACTGGCAGACCTTGCATCCGGAAGTGGCGTCGGGGTTGATGAGATTGCTGGAGGAGCCCATGCCCATCATGTACTCGGCCAGGTAGTTGGCGCAGGTGGTGCCGTTGGGGGGATCGAAAAGGGCGAACTCCCTTTCCTTGCAGGTGACTTCCGTGCCCCAGATGTCGAAAACAAGCATGCTGCCCATTAGGTAGTTGAAGGGGTTGAGCCAGTACCTACGCAAACAGTCAGTAAAATGCGGAGAAACAAGTGCTCGGATTTTACTTACATCCAGTACTTCCAGAAGGTTTGGAGTTGATCGTATGGCACGAGAACACCGCAGAACGAAACCAGGACTCCGATGAGCAGCGGGTTGACCAGGGAGGCAAAGACGGCGTTGGGTGCGTAGGCGGCGATGAACTGACCGATACCAGTATACACAAACTCGTACATGAGCATGACGAAGAAGGTGGATCCGGCGCGGGAAGACTCAGAGGGGAATCCGACAGTGTAGTACCAGCAGACGTAGTAGAGCACGGCGCAGATGATGAGGTACGGGATCTCAGATACGATGAGTCCAGTGACGAAGGCAACCCAGGAGTACATCTTGGACTTCTTCTCACGAGTCTCGAAGATGTCGCGGCGGTCGATGAAGAGAGGTTGAACTTGAGCCAATACACCAGGAGCGACGAAGATGAAGTTGAAGATCGTGAAGAGACGCATCTGGAGGTCGCCAACGGAGTCACCAATCATCCAGAAGGAGAAACCGTTGAAGAGGGCAGAGAAAATGTGAAGAGCGAACTTGTTGTTGACGTAGTCGATGTTGCGGTAGAGGGACACGTTCATGCGATGGGTGACGATCTTGGTCTGGTCCCAGAGGGAAAGAGCAAACTCGTGACCATCGTCCACGGTGCCAGGAGGCTTGGAGGCAGCGTCTTGGATCATGTGGTCGAGTTCCTTGACAACGGCCTCATGCTCAGGAGAAGACAACCAAACCTCGTTCCAGTCCTTGCCCTTGGACAGGTGGCCAGAGACGACGTCGATCATGTGCTCAGCAGGGTTGGCCTCCTCGGGGCAGGGGGCACCGTATCGACCAAAGTAGGAGCGGATCGTCTTTGCGTTGTCGCCAATGTCGCCGAAGTAGACAGTCTTGCCGCCCTTGGCGAGAAGGAGCAGGGTGTCGAACTGGGAAAAGAGCTGGGCAGAAGGCTGATGGATCGTGACGAGAACGGCCTGGCCTGCATTCGCAAGCTTGCGAAGGAAGCGAACGGTATTGTAGGCGGACTGTCCATCGAGACCTGAGGTAGGCTCATCAAGGAAGATCAAGATGCTGGGCTTGGAGACGAGTTCGACACCGATCGTGACACGCTTGCGCTGCTCGACGGACAAGCCGTTACCGACCTTTCCAATGAGCGTATCGGCCAGGTCGTGAAGCTCCAAAAGATCAATGATGGTGTCAACGTAGGCGAGCTTCTCCTCGCGGGAGGTGTCACGGCTCTGTCTGAGGAGAGCTGAGAACTCGAGGGCTTCTCTGACGGTGGCGTAGGGTTCGTGAACGTCGAGCTGCTCGCAGTATCCGGCGGAACGTTGGAAGGAAACAGGGAGGGGGCGACCGTCGACCATGATGGATCCGTGGATGGTACCTTCTGTCTTGCGTTGGGCGAGGACGTCGAGTAGGGTGGTCTTTCCAGCACCAGAGGAACCCATCAAAGCTCCCAACATGCCCTGCGGAGGAGAAGGTTAGCGGACCCTTTCAAACATTGTGCACTGAGAAGACCTACAGGCTTAACGTATCCTTGAACGTTGTCCAAAAGCTTGCGGTCTCCGGAGGGAGTCTTGACAGTGTAGGTCAGGTTCTTCCAAGTAAAGATGGAGGTGTTGCGGACGAGGTTCTGGTCGGTCTCATCTCCACTGGTGTTGCCGTTGGCATCACGCTTCTCGTTGTCGCTCTTGTTGCCCGAAGCTTCTTCGGTAGTCTGAGCTTCCTCATCATTCTTCAGAGCTGAGGTGACCTTGGCGTTCTCGCGGGGAATCAGGAGAGAAGCACCACCCTCGGCGGCGGAACGCCAGCGCGACGTGAAGATGACCGTGAGAGCGATAAAAAGCACCCACCAGGCCCAGACAATGCCGAAGTTGCGCCATACATGGCTGTGAGAGTAAGAGAGGGCTGAAAGGTACTGATCACCCATAAAGGAGGTCTGGCCTTGAGTGGCACCGGGAACTCCAGCGCAGGACTGGTGGTTGGGGTCAGTGTAGCCGGGTCCGTTCGGGACAAGGTTATTGCCAACGCAGGGGAGAAGCTGGCCATAGAACTCGGTCGACATGAGAGAGTCGAAAGCATAAGCCAAGGGGTTAATCCTGTGAACAGTAGTTAGTTATTTGTTCTTCGAGTCGGAGACAGTGGGTGGTAGGAGGGCAGTCGCGACCGGGCGGGTGGGGCCGGGTGGTGCACGAGCCACCCGTGTCCGGGACCGGGCCCGATCCAGATCCGGAGGTCCGGATCTTGCGATCAAGCATCGCAACTACGATTCCAAACCTCCCAGCATCATTAAAATAGTAAGAAAATAGTCAAAATTACCAGAATAACCAGATAAACCATGGATGCATTTGGCCGTATTGAATCATGTAACCGCAGTACATAATCGTCGCGGAAACGATGAAACCGGATGCCTTCGAAGCGCCGTCGAATGTCGAGAAACTGGCACCGATGGAACGGAACATCGCGGTCATACACATAGTAGTTGCGAAAACGACTACCCAGAATGTGAAGAAAGCTGATGCGCTCAGTTTGAGCCCAACCATGAAGTATAAAACCACGGAGAAGACCGAGACTTGGAATATCAGGACCGGGATATCGGCGGCGACCTGGGCGATACAGAACGCGGCGGGGTGGTAGTAGGCAAAAGACTTGTGCTTGATAAGCACAGGGCGGCCGGTGAAAGAATTGGTGACTTCGGACATGGACAGCAAACTGTTGAACAAGAGGGCGAAGAAGAGCGCACCACCTTTGGAGAACAGACCACCAGAGTTGTTGGGAGCGTTGTAGAAGAGAGAACCGGCGATCAGAGCTTGGACCAAGGTAGACACCTGAGTGATGATGAAGGTAGCCTTGTCACCCCAAATGATCTGGTACTGACGTTGAATACACGCTCCAACCTGAGTCATGAAACTTGTCGTGAGGGCGCTGTTGGCGGGAAGCTGCTTGTGCTTCTCGTTGGCAACACCTTGCTGGAACAGCTTCGTCTTCTCCTTGGCTGCTTCTGTCGTGGGGAAATTGTACTCGGCAATCATGCGGGGGTAGATGTCCGACTTTTCGTACTCTGCGCGGAGGGCGGTGGCGGTACGGGGAAAGGTCTTCTCAAAACCGGGACGGATGGCTCTTTCCGTGGGAACGGTGACACCGGTTAGGAAATCAGCGACGTTGGCGCCGTCGGAGCAGATAAAACCGAGCTTCTCCATGAAAGGACGGGCCTCCTTCATGGGACCGTAGTACATCTCCTTGCCGTTGTCGAGGACGAGGACCTTATCGAAGAGGTTGTAGATACCGTTACCGGCTTGGTAGAGGGTGACGATAGAGGCGAGACCAAGGACATCGGTCATGGCGCGGACTGCCTTGGTGTATTCCAGGGCACCATAATGATGTTAGTCCAACTGCCCCAAAGCATCAGATGAAGGAGTAACTTACGTGCTGGCGTCCAGTCCTCTGGTACTGTTATCCCAGCAAAACACTGAACCTCTCGTCGCCATAGTCTCGATGATGGAAACACGTTTCCTCTCGCCACCAGAAACACCACGAACAAACTCGTTGCCGACCTTGGTGTCGAAAGTGTGCTGGATACCCATCGACTCCAACAAGAAATCTCTGTTCTCCGCTCTCAACTCCTCGTTGGATGATACTCCATCAGGGAGGCGGAAGGGAATCTTGAGGCGGGTTGCAAAGTCCATCGTCTGGCCGACGGTGAGGGTGGGAAAGAACAGCTCCTCCTCGGTGTTCATGACGATTTGGCCACGATACCTCTCTGCCTCCTTGTGAGACATTGAACCGTAGTGAACATCGCCGGTAACTGAAGAGTATCCGCGGCGGTGGTTGGCGAGAATGTTGAGTAGTGTCGTGCATCCGGATCCAGGTCTTCCGAGAACCAACAGCATCTCACCGGGCTTGACGCAGCCGTGGGAGTTGTCGAGAATCGTCTTCAGGGGCGGCTTGTGGCGGGACTCCTTGACAAGTTTAGGAATGTTGAACTGTGATAGGACGTTTTCGTGAATCGACGCGTCGGCGCTGACGGCCTGCACCGTGAGGTTCTGCCATGTCACGCCCAGCTCTCTCGCAGGGAAACCAGATCGTTCATCTCTCTGCCTGACGGCTTCGACCTTGTGCTTCAGAGACCAGGTGGTATCGTCGTCTGGGAGTTGGGCGAGCTCGAGCGACTGCTCGTAGTTGGAACCGTTGTTGAGCGTGCCGTCGGACTCCATGTTGCCTTCGCGGGAGTACGATGAGCCAACTTCTTGTTTCTCGGACGTGAAGTTCATCGTGCACACTATCTCGAAGGACTTGAGTCGAGAGCACGCTTGATAGCAAAGAAGCAAGTCAGGAGCATGGGAACATCCTTGGGTGTGTGGAAGGTCTTCTATTTGTTATCTCTAGTCATTTTCGTCATTTGCTGTTACCCCTAAAGTCCGGCCGGCCCGCCGATGGACTTCGGCCACATGGGCAGAGATTACGACCCGATCAGAAGCTACCAGAGATCTCTGTGCAACAAGCAAGCACCCCTAGCATGATGGAATAACGGGTCCAAATCGGGGCAAGCGGAGTGAATGTGATAAAGGAGGGCACGCCATGGCAACAAGGTGACCCGTCATCCCGTGTCTTCGATGACAAAATTTCGTCCGAAAGCTTACTCTCCAGGCGCCCCCAAGCACGCTGCACGACGCCATTGTTGTCCGAAGGTGAAAAAAATGTTTCGGGACCGTGGCCCAGGGCCCTGGGTCCGCTGAATAATTGTTTTTCCCTTCATCCCACTTGCTTCCAAAGACCAAACATGGCAATCTGGTTGGATGAACCCTGCATGCGACGGCGTGGCAGCTGGGCGCTCGGGGTTGGTTCCCTGCCCGAGGCGACGGGATGCCGTGGGCCAGACCCAGGCAGATCCCTTGAAAAGACCCGAGAGCCGCAGTGAGGCTCACCAGTCAGACTCGGTTTACCGTCCCAAAGCAGCGAGAAGGCCGCTTACTCAGCGGCGAGTTGGACATTTTTGGGACGGTTCGTAGGGCTTGGTGTTGTTTCGGGGGGAGGTTGTTGGTGCCGAACGAGTCGGGGCGGCGTGTCTCGGAGCACCGGGCACGGGCGCAGAGTTTGGAGATGACGGTGGAGCACGCCTGAAGTTTTGCGTTAAGGTTTCCCCGTGAGAACCAATAAAAGCACGGGGCGCGGAGGATGACACTCCACTTTTGACGTTGGCCGCTTAGTCAGGGGTGATCAGATACCGCTGAGTCAGCGGGCCGTTTCCATACATCTACCGAAGGGGGGAATGACTGCCGTAAACAGGCGTGTTCTTGACTACTCGTGGTGCGAGCAGAGAGAAAGAAAGGCGGACGACTGGCAAACCGGCTTCCCTACCGAACGCGAGGCACGCGAGACGGATTACCTCACTAGAGCTATCCGGTCCCTGGCGACACCAAAGCAGCGTGCCGCGGAGTGCGGCTGCTAACACGAATCAGAAGCCGCAGTGAGGGTCAACATGAGGAAGAGAGCGTGTGATTCCTGTCACAGGAGAAAGGTATGCTTCCGGCCCGTCTATCGTGGACTCAAATTTGTTTACCTGTCTCAGACGACATGCTAATCTGTTTTCATTCTTTCAAGATTCAATGTGACGGGGCCGTGCCGCAATGCAACTGGTGCAAGCACCATGGAATGGCATGCACTTTCAACCGAGCCACCAAGGTGAAGAAGCGAGTGGCCACAGCTAGGTGAGTTATCCCTGCGGGCTGAAGTTGGCCCCCACCCAACCCCTATCTCTGTCTTTCTCGATGAATCATCGAACGGAGCATCAAAGATTTACGACGTCCGCAGGGCTGGATCTGAAAAGGACCTAGTCGAGCGCCTCAACCGTATCGAACAAGCTCTCGAGGCGGCTCGGCGGAACCAAGGCGCCCAGGATGCTGGGGATGAGGGGCGGGACCCATCCATGTCCCCATCGTCATCATCGGCGCCAATGTCAACCGTCGGGCCGGACCCCCCGGCCGCCGACGGGACCCCGGAGGCATCCCAAGTCCGAGCCTATGACTCATCTATACGGGCATCCGGCGCTACGGTGGGTAAGATGCACTTTGCCGGCTACTACATGGGCGATATCAGCTCTTACAATGGCATCCCGTTTTTCTCCGCCGACGGCCAAGACTGGATTCGCTCCCGGACGGGCGAAGATGCCTCCATCAACACTCTATTTGCTCTTGGCCCACTGTGGCAGACCCAGCACCCGGTTCCCATCCTTCTGGGGTTCCCGCAGACCAACACTGGAGGTGAACTTCCTAATCGGGTGACTGTCGAAGAGTACCTGGCGCTCTTTCGTGCCTCTCACTTTGGGCTATCGTTCCCCCTTATCGACCATGCCTTGTTCATGGAAACAATCGAACTGGCTTACAGCTCGACTGACGGTTCACCGAGTCTCGAGGTCGTGACAGCAAAAGCATGTGTCTTTTCATTCTTTGCCGTTGTCTCTCTTTTTCAAGATGAGTGGAAGTCGGTGCCAGAGATCGATGGCGAGGCGTGTGCGGGAGCAGCTCAAAGCCTGTTGGCAATGATCCTCCAGGACACCAATATCACGGCTCTTGAGACCGTCTTCATGCTGGTAAGATTTTGGATGTGAGGCAATTGCCGAAAGGTTGCTGACATTTGACTTTTGTAGAGTTTGTATCATCTCTTCTGCGGCCACCTCCAACAAGGGGCCATGTTCCACTCGGCCACATGTCGAGTCCTCTTCATGCTTGGCGGGCATCTCGAGCCCGGGACGAGCCGCACCCCCCATCAGTCGCCAAAGGCTGGGGACGACCATGCTTGGCGAGTGAGGAATCAGCTTCGGAGGCTGTTCTGGCTGTCGTACAAGCTTGACAAGGAGATTTCCCTACGAACGGGTCAACCCCCGAGCATCGACGACGAGCACTGCGACCTGACTCTTCCGCAAATGGACTGGTGGACGCGAGCTTCTGACGACACGGGTGGTTCGCCATCATTTCTCGACGAAGCGACAATCACTTCAACGCTGCAGCCAGATTCGCTGCAGCTGACCATCATCAAATCGAAGATCAGTCGAATGCTGTATTCTGTTGCGGCGCTGAAGAAGAGCGACGCGGAAATGCTGAGAGATATTCGCGAGTTGGATGATGAGCTGGAGGGATGGAGAATGTCAGTACCACAGTCGTATAGGCCGACTTTGACGTTCCCTCGAGGGACGATGACCATCAGGAAAGGCCGGTTGGGCATGGAAGAGATCATCCTCCACTTCGAATACCACTACTTGATGGCCATGATCCATCGAGCCAGCGGCAGGTGTCGATGCTGGGCAAGTGGTGAAGGCGGTGGACTGGAGGGAGTAAGCTCGAGTCTTGCGCTATCCGTGCAAGCGAGTCGATCAACGCTATATTTCCTGCGAGCCGCCATTCATGGTGTTGAGCAGGTTGCGTTCTGGTAAGTTGCCGAAAGGTGGACCGTTAGGATACAACGAATCATTGGCTGACATGACCAGGATGGTGGTTTTCTACCCCATGTCGGCTATCCTAACGATCTTCTGCAATCTACTCCTCGACCCTCTAAACGCAAAGGCCGAAGAGGACATGGAGCTTTTGCAATCAGTGCCAAAGCTGATTGAAGGCATGCGAAACCGCCGCTTGACGGCATACGAGGTGGCTCATGTCAAGATGATTGACGAGTTTGTCCTGGAGTTGACCCGGCTTGGCACTTCTGCTATCGCTAAGGCCAAGCGCGAGCAACTGGCGAATTGATGTTCTTTGGAAAGGATCACTGTGTTTTGTCAAGCAGGGCGTTCGGGTCCGGGGATCGTTCGACTGGTCAAGACTTGTATGAGTGATTTGACGGAATGACTGGACACTAGTGGCTGGCGTTGATATAGAAAGGCAACGGAAAGCAAAATAATGGTATATGGTATTCCTCTAGAAAAGTTCCATCTCCTGAAAAGATGAGATCAGTGTCGCATGTCAGATGAAGGAGAACTTTAGATGTGGCCTGGGCTTGAGAGAAGACGATGTAGTGGTTGCCGGAGCACGTGGGAAGCAGGTTTAACCGAGACTGCTGGACCGTGCGTGATTTCTTTTTTGGAGGAAGGCACGATGAAAAGCGGAGAACAGACCAATGGCACCGGAGGAATTCCGCTCCTCCAATGACCAGCCAGATGCCCGTTTTCCTCTCTCCAACATTCACGGTGACTCTCGACACCTTACCACGGAAAAGAGTCCCGCACTCGTCTTCTCGCCCGACTCTGGCCTACGCTTTTTCAGTCGGTGGTGCATTTTCACGGTTGATTCCCGTCGCACAGATCCATCTCCACTGCGGATGAAGCCGATTCCACATCCCTAAAGATCACAATCGGGACGGCGCCACCAGCACCACATTGCGGCCCCGATCATCAAGATGCATCAGGCCAGACGTGAGAGCCACGGCCATCACTCCACCTCGGCCGCTCCCTCCGAGATCAGTGGCAAGGCCGCTCATTTCGACCACATCTCATCTGTTCATCAACAACGTATATTCGAACGATTGGCTGGACCACGCGCCACCTGCCACATCGTGAATGGCCATGTCAATGGCTCGTCGTCGACCCTTGCATGTCAGCAGTCGCTAAGCGGCTAGGTCGCAGCAGCAGGGTCCATCATCTCCACATTCGCGCATCGAGCCAACGAACTTCCAGTCGAATGATCACCAGAGTCGAGGCTGAATGGCCGGTTAATCTATCGATGCATCCTCTAGCTCGACATTTTCTGGGGTCCCCAGAGGTCCCGCCACACCCAGAACGCTTGGGACGGCAGCCATTCTTGGAATCGACATGTCTCCGGCGGTGCATTCACTCCCCGGCCTTTTCTCCAAATCGTCCTGCCCTCACGGCAACCCCTGCATCACGCCTTCCCCTCACGCACTGGGGTAGTTGGGGAACCCTGCACACCCTGTCTGTCCCCGAGAGGGTGGCTCGTTGAAATACCGATGCCTCCTGCCGGCCGCAGCGGCCACTCGTCTTCCTGCCTCTCGAAAAGCACCACCACATGCGAGTCGAACTCGAGCAGGGTCGTCAAGTCCTTGTGCTGCGAAGGCCGGACATCTTTCCAACATTCGCAGCTTTTGTCAGTGTTCCATCAGCATGCTCGTCAACCAGCCAGTTCGTCCCCGGCCGATCAAGACTCGGTCTAGAGCAGGTTCGTATGAGCCTTCTCGTAAGACAAAGTGTTGAAATCGTCTGACATGTGTTTTCCTGCCTTCAGGATGCAAATACTGGTAAATGACCCCAGCCCTTCCCACTTGTGAGAGTCTTCGCTAACGACTGACAGCCGAGACAAGGTTCGTCACCATGATAGCCTTTTTCTTGACCATCTTACCAACACTCATCTTAGAGAAAGAAATGCTCCGAAGAACACCCCCAGTGTCTGCGATGCGTGCAAGCCGGTGTCGCTTGTGTGTACGAGCCCATTAAGAAGAGGAAAAGGAGAACGTCCACAAAATCAGCAATGTTCTCGGAGTCCAACGCCTCCGACGACTCAAGTAGTCCGACGGCTACCACTGACCTCCAAACCAGCCCCGACACGAGCGTCCTCACGCCGCCTGACGTCGCACAATCCAATGCCAGTGTGCTTTCAATGTCGCCGATATCTACGGATAACTGTTTTTCTGCATCCATAGACTCGATACTTCCTTTATGCGAGGACTTGGACGGCTCGTATGAGTACGAAATGGGTTACGAGGATTCCGGAACTCTTGGAGAAGGTTTCACGACAATCACGGAAATTGGATCATGCCAGAAGATGGCCGATACCGACTTCCAACTCCCGCTAGCCAACATGGATGGCAGTGTCCACTCAACTGACGAATCCTTCTTCTCAGCAAGCCTAGACATGTCGTGGAACGAGCCCTCGTGGTCGACAGCGTCCTCTCCGCTTTTGAGCATGCTGCCCCCTTCCTTTCCTAGCGCTCCTGACTGCCCTGAAGACACAGGCTTGCTAGATCACTACTCTAAGGTTATGTTGCCGATGATGGGCTTCAGAGAAGGGGTCAGCAATCCTTACGAGCAGCACATCATTCCTCTTTCGCATAGGAGCTCTGCCGTCCGAAGCGCCATCTACGCCTTGGCCAGCGCGCATCGAGAATACGCTGGCTTAGAAAACACCGAAGGATCGGCTTGTTTCCACGAGCGAGCTGTTGCAGGCTTGTCGGCAATCATTGAAGAAGGCGATGGCTTCGAGGAGGCGCTCGCGACAATTGTATTGCTTTTGCAGTACGACTTGGTAGGCCGTCAAACCTTTGAGACGTGGACTGTCACTGACTGTCGCAGCTTATGCAACGAAGTCTGTCAATCATCACAAACAATCACCTTCAGGGGGCATGGCACATCATTAGTGCCATGCCGTCGCCGAAGAGTGCCAGTGTTGAGTTCTTCGAACAGGTCCGTCTCACGAATCACTAGGCTTTCCAGTACTGATGGATCGCAGGTTTTCCGATATTTCGACGTACTCAACGCTCTCACCAATGGCTCGACCCCAGTGTTTGCCGCACCTAAAGCCAATCGAGCATATTCACCAGGGAGCTCTCCACCCCCCTTTACCTTTAGCGGAGTCGACCCCGTCTTGGGTATGGCCGAAGACCTTTGGCCAACGCTGCATCGCTTGGGGGAATTGACTACCATGAAGCGGGAACTTCAGAGTGCCATGGCCACAGGCCAGGCATCGAAGTTTGCTGTCCTTCGGACCGAGTATCAGACCACTTACAAGGCCATTGAATACGCTCTGGAGTCATGGAAGCCTACTCTACCTCCAGGCTTTAATCTTGTCAACCGGGTTGTTGATGGGCCTGCAGATGCATCCGAGACGGAACTCGCCAACGTTAGATGGACCACCAGCACAGCGCTTGCATACAGGCAGAGCGCGCTGGTCTACCTGTACAGCACCATCTCCGAATACCCATCATCGCATGATCTAGTGCAGAAGCACGCACAAGCGGCCCTGTGGCATTGCGCGGCATCTGTTTCTCACGGTGGAGCCGGGCTCACCATGCTGTGGCCACTTTTCTTCTCTGCATGCCATGCGGTCTGCAGCCGGGACCGCGGCTTAGTGCGCCAAGCTTTCACAGCGTTTGGTACTAAGAGGGGGACAGTCAACACAGAGAAGCCATGGGCTGTTGTCCAGGAAGTGTGGCGAAAGATGGACATGCGGGCCTATGGCAAGGAGCAGGTGGGCACTGAGGCCTGCCCAGGCTTGTGGAAGCAAGTTGCTGCGGACATGAAAATCGGCATCGTCTTTGGCTGAGGAATAACCAAACACGCGGCGACGAAGAGCTGCGCTCTCTAAGTCACGGTGTGCTATTGTCACGACACAACGGCGGCTACCCAAGGCTTTCTCGGCCGACGGGAAGAGGGAGGCACAGCAAACATTGGACTGCTGAACATCAGGAAAATACGGCGCATCGATACCCAAAATACCACAATCGTTTTTGTTCCCACAAGATGAACTGCAGCACCAGATCTACTGATTGACAAGTTGAAAAACCGTTCTTTGGTCGTACCTCAGCGGAGCAAACGAACCACCCTGTCAAGCTAATGCAGCTCATGATTGCATCCACTCCAACTACAGGACCCGCCACTCCTTCAGGTGAGTCGACGTGGCTCGACCAATGCCAACGCCACTGGCCTGATTGTCCGCCAACCAAAGTTGGGGAACACGGAGCCGCGTCTGATGACTGGGGTCGGTTTCCCCACAGGCCAGGGAGTGCAATTCAGGCTGATTGCCCTCCGCAGATCCAGAGACGGGAGGCATGTCAAATACTCGCATTCTGCGCAGACGCAGAGCTGAGGGCTAAAGGACTTGGGCCCCTGGCAGTCTCAAATTTCTAGACGCCAGTCAAACGGGCCAGAGAACTTCATCTGCAGGCGGCTACCGATCTGGTTAAGCAATTTCTTCGTCCCATGTTTGCGCACACCCTTAGCTGTTCATCGCCATGCGTACCAACCACACGATGCAACGCAATATGCGATCCCAATACCGGAATGCCATTCAGCCTGACGGGTTCTTGTCTCTGGAACCAAGATGCAACAGACTTTGGGTCTCGGTTCAAGGAGAGGGGGTATGAGGAGCGGTCATGGAGCGGTCAGTTACCTCTGCTCTGCACCCTTCTTCGCGTCCTGGTACGATTGTGGCTTAACGTAACTCATGTAAATATGGCTGAGGCATGAACAGAGTCCGAGATGAGCTCATGCCACTTGTGTTGTCTGATCACGGGACGCGAGAGCAGCTGGATCAACAGTCAATCCAACCCGATGGGCTCGCCTATTCCGCGTCCTGGGAGAAGCGACTGATCCTCCGTCGTCACACATCAGCGTGCATCCTGTCGCTCCTCGCCATAATTGGACATGTCGGTGACGCATACAAGGCCGAGCAGACCTTCTTCAACCTCTGACATTTCGAGGCTCGAAAACGGGCCGCAGCGATGGTCATGTGACAGATGCAGAGACGGCACAGCTGGGACAACTGGCGAGTAAGCTCGTCTGGTTTGCCTGAGCGACCACAACACGCCTGCATGTGTCACTGCAGGCATGCAGAGCTCGCTGTCGTTCCAGTCCGCAATTAGCAGATGCCGAACCCCAAGGTCTCCGAGCCAGGGTCTTCTCCAAATTCCTTGAGATGGTGGTCTTACACAGCGCCATGTTCGTTTGGGGGTGTGTGGAAGCTGCACGGCAGGCAAACGGGCGCTGCACTCGTCTGGCACGTGGCTCGGTTCGACCGCGAAAGGATGGCTGCTCATCAACCCACCTGGATCTGCCCAACGGCTTTGCGCCCGCAGCACACAAGACGGAAGGATGAGGTGTGAGAGATGTGTGGCGCTTTTGGTATGGAGGGCAGCGGGCGGGCTTCGGCGGCGGTGATTCGGTCCGGTGAGAAGGCTGCCCTCTCGTTGGCTCGTCTTGTGGCTCGGCTGGGCTTACCCTGTTGTCGTTGATTGGTCCTTAGGACAAGTTGAGAGATGAGGCATGTGGATGCTAGAAGGATTCAATGATTCAGATCCTGGGGAAGTTGCAACATCCTTCGAGCCCGCGTGACGGGTTGCGGGTGTAGGTGGGTGTTAATTTCGAGACACACTGTTGAGACTACCTAGTACCTGCTTCTGAGGACCCTTGAGGTTACGTTCTGTCTAGTTAAGAGGTTGCTGATGTCGTTGAAATGATTGGGGGCCAAGAAGTGGGATGCAGTTTAAAGTCGTTTATTGCTGGAGGCTCATCTGAAACAGAGTAGCTGAAGACTTTTGCTGCCCCGGCGGATACTTCTTACTAACCGGGAAGGGGAGTACACATATTATGTCAAACATATTCTTTATTTTGAAAGTTTCATCTTCCCTGTCGTACTTATCCCTACGACTATCGTCGTCATCGTCGTCGACCCCATTGTCGTTCATGCCCACTACCCGCCCGGATAGTGAAGTTCAATCCAAATAGTAACCATGCGAGGACAATTGTCCGTGCCTGTCCGCCCTTGCCATGCGGCCAAGACCTGACTCGAGCACAGGGCTTAGTACGGGACACACTCGCAGTAGTTACCCGGCAGACTTTTGGTAACAACGTTAGCTTGGACTGTAGCATTAGGTATCCAATCTCTCAAGGTAGAATTCACTCACTGGCACAGGTTGTCTGCGAAACCGCCGCAGTTCTGGGGGCAGTCCGCCGTGCTTTGGCAGGTTACAGCGTAGGCTCCTTGCGAGAAGACGGCCAGGGCGGTCATGGCGATGGAGATGACGTTGACGCGCATGTTGGGCAGAAACGTTTTGAAGATGAGATGGTGAAATGGAGTGTTGTGTTGTTGTGCGAGTGTTGGTTGGTTGGCTAGATTTGAGTTGAGTGAGTAGGAGTTGAGACGAACTTGTCAAGACCTTTATACCAACAGACATACACCAAGTAATCAGTCCGCTCTACGTTGTGATCGACCCGGTGTAGTGGGCCATCTTGTCTATTAAGGTTTTAGAGGGAGGATTCGCCGCTTACTCGCACGTTGGAATCTGATACGAGCGTCGTCTCGTTGTCGTGGTTAATATATGAGAAACAGACTGGATAACCTTAGTGTCTATTCTGATTACTCTACTTGAGCGTTTAGGCCAGTTGGTTGTCTGGGCTCATCCTGTCTCTATCCCGCGGGAGACTCTCCCGCGGCGGCGTCAGGTGGTTCGGGAAGTGTGTTGCCTATTGGAGAAAGCGAAACCGAAGCAGGGAACCCGAGTTGTGGGGTGTGCACTGTGCGACGGGCGTAAAATACTACCGGAGGACCCGGGCGCAGAGTCTTGGCAATCTCATACTTGACTCGGAGTAGGTGTACGTTGCTGTGAGGTCGGAGTCGATGTGTTCTTTTGAATAGAGGCTTGATTTAACCACGACTGGGTAGAGTGGCTTTGGTGTAAGAGGTTCGTCTGATGGGGCACGCCACACATCTTTCGTCTGATGCGGATATGCGGAGATGAGTCTATTTCCCCGGCCTCGACGTCGATCAACGGCTCTTACAAGGTAAGGTAGTAGAACCTAGCTGTAGCGCATCGCACTGTATTGCGTTGTATAGCATCGAGACCGTATGCGCTGCTGTGTTATCGAGAGTCCCATGCAACCGTGCTGACGACCGTGTCTTATTGAAATCTCTCCGGCTGGTCAGTTGTTGGCCGAAACCCTGCGGGGATTTCTGGGCGCCAGTTTTCCCAAGGCTTTGTGCAATACTTGGAAACCTGCTTTGGAAGCATCTCATCAAATGCATCATACTACGGTGTATGTCGTTTCACCGATATTTTTGAGATGAAGATGTAATCACGGGAGAGCGTGACGTTCTGTAGACTGTGAAAGTATTTTGACTCGCGCGGCGTTTGACCAGTGAGCCGCGGTCAATTGACGTGGCTCAGGCGTGCTACGAGCGTTTTCAGACTGCGAAAAAGGAGGCAAGCGTCTTGAGGGTTCAGACTTCTATTCATGAATAGAATTCAGGCTGTATAGTAGAAGGAAATACGTCTAATCGAGGGTCCGTGACATTGAGGTATGAATCCGGGTATTGGTATTGTGGAATAACTTCTCTTTTCTGAATCTTGAGACAGACGAGAAAAACGCGATACTGGAGTTGATGAGTTCGTGGCATTGACTGGAGGGCATCCAAGAAGTGAAGTGAAAAAGCAGGAATGACCGTCAACTGAAGCTGGCATGCTAGTATGGAGCGAAAAATACTCAAAGATCGAGAAAGTCGGGTTTGAAAGGGACGAGAACTACCTATGAGAAGGTTGAAATAAGAACCAAAAGGAAGAGTTGTCTGCTAAGCGAGCTGCCTCTTGGACACACCATATGCCGATGAAGTCAATCATAGAAGACAGTTAACTTGGGAACCCTGCCTAAGGCAGATTGATGGGATTTGACGTTAGCGAAGGGACGCACTTTCCTGGGTTAACAACTTTTAAGGTAACGTAGCTGAAATCAAAATCTGGGGCAAGCTCCTTCCTTCCTCAACTCTCTCACCTTCACATCCTGCAACAAGACGACTACCAAGATGTCGCCAGCTAGCAGCAACACGGACGCGAGTCGCGACCGCGACTCCCGCGAACGAGCTTGACAACCTCAGCGGTCAGTCATCATTACTGATACTGATAATTCGTGTTCTCACTGATCCATGACATAGCTATTCTCGAGTTCCGCGTCAAGCACGCCTGGCGAGTCAACAACCAGGGCAAGCACGAGGAGGCGGAGGAAATGGCTGCTAGACTTCTGGTGGAGCCCGCTCTGAGCTCAGTCCACCAAGGCTGGATGCATCTGCTGCTGGCGGGATCGACCCACGACTACGTCCACCATGCTAATGAGGCGGTTCGTCTGTTCATCGAAGTCCTCGACGAGAACAAGCCCTCGGCGACACCTCATTAGCTGGACTCCATGACCAAAACGCTTGAGAAAAGGGCTGCTGACCGAAAGGTTGCTAAGGCAGTGCGAGTATCACATTTTTCTTTGGTTTTTGCAGCACTATTTCCGTTTGTTCTGGCCTTATTGCTGCCAATCGTCTTTGCTATCCAACCCCGTCCCCATCACCCTTGCCATCTTATTACTCATCATAGCGCTTTCGACTTCTTCTCCATGGTTCTCCTTTATTGTCTTTGTTCTTTGCCCTCTTCAATGTACCTCCAGTTTGTTGTCTTCATTCTTGGCTGATGTCCTCTGTCGGCCACGTCATCTGTCAGCCCGGTCTTCTGTCGGCTCTATTCTCCATCGTCCCTGCTTTCTTTCATCCTCGTCTCTGTCGTCCCCAGTCTCTGTCACTCATGATCTCTGTCACTCATGATCTCTTTCGTCGTCGGTCTCTGTCGTCGTTGGTTTCGTTCGTCGTTGGCTTCTTTCGTCGTTGTTAGCCTTAGCCCTCGTCATCTCAATTATCTATGAAGCAAATGCTCAGTCATACTGATAATGATCTAGTGCTGCAGGCAAAGCGATGACTGATCTCCACGACGATAAGATGAAGGAGCTCCAGAAGTTCGAGGACGATCAATCTGCTGAGGCTCAAGCCTTTGCCCAGGGTAGCGACCTCCCCGGTGGGGTCAGCGGTAGTGGTGTTGGCGGAGGCGGCGGAAACAAGGTCTCCCAGGAAACCACCTTTCCTGCGTCCAGTCAAAGTGCCCATGAGACTATCGCTCGCACCTCGCAGGGTTCCACTCTAGGTCGTTGGCAACCCAATGTGGCTATCGAGATTGAGGAGTATGATATGGGTGACGGCACGGCCCCACTTCCTCCCATCTACAGCTCCGATGAAGACATGACCTGAGTTGGTTCCTGTAACTTGACTACAGCGGAGATCAATGGATTCCAGCCCCGTAACCCTATTTTGCGTCGCTTCTTCTCTTGTGTTCAGTACATGTATCTCATCAGTCTGAAGTGATAGGGATGGACGGCGAGGGAGATGTGCACAAGCCGGAGCGTCCCCAATAGACTTAACCTCAGGGTTCCGCTTAAGATCATTATCTACCAATTAAAACTATTGATAACCATGCTATGCCTCACGGCACTCAGTTTTTCTATCCTACTTATTTCTCGAACGGAGAGATAACGTAGATTCTTGTATTAATCTCCGTCATACGCCACTTCACCTTATACATTCGGTTGCATACACGTTTATGATATCGCTTTGGTTCGGTTTCGATCAGACGCTTTTGAGTTTGACGACGATATCATGGAAGGCTTACGGTGCTGAGCCTCTTCCTTCATTCACATCTCTGATGAAAAGATGACCTAGCTTATGAAGGGTTCAAGATCCATAAGAGACAACATGTAGGTGAGTGCGTATGAGGGCTATATGCCTGTAGCAGAATGTTTCAGAACAGGCTGCGTTATTATCCTCAGAATCTGAGCTGTCTAAAAGTCTTAGTCGCGTGATGTCCGTGCACGTCTATTCCAAACGCCTATCTCCAGTTGCCTCCCTTCCCTCTTCATCCCTCTCACTCTTCGTCTTCTTTTTCTCCCTCTTGAACAGGTACGCCACGGTGGCCGTGATGGCCGCCTGGGCTCCAAACGCAATGGTGCTGAAAATGAAGCCCTTCCTGAACTTGGGCGCGTCAACCTGAGGGTACGTCAACAGCGGCACCCACGCGTTGAAGGCATAACCCAGTGAGTTCATAATGCCGATAACGATGGCTCTTTCCTCCGCATCGGCACCGCAAATTTCGTTTGCCCAACTCATGCTCAGCGGTCCATATGGCACGGAAGCGCGCTGAAGCAAGAAGGCGAACCATTTCAGGCCATCTGGGATGTTCCAGATTGCCAACAGCAGAGCAGCGAAACCTCCGAGGAAGGTAGATATTGACATGATACTGGCGCGGTGACGAATGGCGTCGGAGATAATTGCGAAGGAGACAGTCAGGACGAGCTGAATCGCTGAGGCTGCTGTGGGGATGATGTTCTGAGTTGCGATGTTAGCTTGACGGAAGTCCACGATGTGTCAAGCTGGACTCACAATCTTCTCGACAGACTCTCCTTTGGACTTGAGCCAAAGTGAGAACGGGTTGACACTGCTGGAAGGCCCAATGTTGATGAAGATGATGTAAAGAATCGTAAGGTAGTACACGTGCCATCGCCCTGACCAATTAGTTCTCCGGTAGCATTCGCTGGGGCATGATTCTAGCTTACCGAAAATGCGCTTGAAAGCTGAGAGTCCAAGCTTAGTACGAGGCGCACGCCCGACGGCATTCATACGGTTTCGTGCCATCTCTCGGTCCTAAGATCGTGTCAGCTACCACTACCTAGTTGTGATAAATCGGTTTTGATAGGCTTACTTTCTCATTTAGGTAGAACGCCCTTGTGTTTTCTGGAAGATCTGGAATGAGGAAGTATCCAGCGATGCAAATTGGCAGGCTGATGATTCCATCCATGATCTAAACTCGTATTAGTGCATTCCATCAACATAGTCTCACAGGGAGCACTCACAAAAAGCCACTTCCAGCCCGTGAGACCGTGGACACCATTCAGTCCCTTGTACACGCCAGCTTGCAGATAACCCGAGAACATGCTAGCAGCCGCGGAGGAAGCGTGGAAAATACACGCTCGCTTACCCAGCTCAGACGGCTTATACCACGATCCGAGAATCGTGTGCGCAGCTGGGTAAAAGATCGACTCCGCCAACCCCACAAAGAACCGAATCACAATGACATGGTTCGAAGTCTTGGCCGCCGCCAGACAGAACGTCAAAACGGTCCACAGAAGCTCGCAGGACGGCACCCAGATCGACGGGCGCACCTTCGTCAACACAATCTGTGAAGGGATCTGCCCTACGACGTAACCCACAGTCCACGCCGTGTCGACCAGGTTCAGCTCATTTCCGTTCATGGACAGGTCCTCCTTCATGCCGGACACGAAAGCGTTGCTGATGTTGGTCTGATCCAGGTTCTTGATGAAGTATCCGAAACTGAGCATCGTGATGAGGAAGACATCCAACTTCTGAATGAACACGCGTTCCTCGTGGGAGCGGCCCGGCTCGTAGTCCCAGATGTAGGACCACCATGGCGCCTTCTCCTTGCCGTGCGGTGACGTTGCCGAAGTTCGGTCGGAAAAGGACTCGTCGACCGCCAGCCCCTTGGGGGACTCGCCCTCGTGCTCGGACGGCATCTCGAGCAGGGGCGTCACTTCTGAGGGACCCAGGGCGTTAACTTGAGAGAACCGTGGGGAGTGAGTTGTTGAGAGAACGCAAGAACCACCTCAGAACGACCGAGAGTGGTTTCCAAAAATTTTATTTCACGCTGATCATCTTTTTCAGGGTCCCGTACCGAAATTTAAGTACCCGACCTCGGATTCCGATATCCTAGCCATCGCGCAAGAGCTCAGGAGACCTGGGTACGACCTCAAAGATAGCAGTCTTCGACCGCAGACTGGCTGTCAGACGTCGGGAGTGGGTTTGGGACGGGTCCGAGGATGAATGATGTGCTGCAGCGGATTGGTGATTCGCCTACCCTTGGCGTGGGGTGTGTCGCCATCGCGGGGTTCGCTGTCGTGATTCGACCAGCGCGACTCGGTAGCCCCTTTAACACCGTTGTCTGGGACATCTGTCAGCGACAGCCCCATGGGATTCAGCCTTCAAGACACCGGTGTGGATCGGTCTTTGGTTTGCTAGGGAGAAGGATTGGTAATACGGTTTATTTTCCGTGTTGGGCTTGTAGCCGGCGAGATCCGGGTCGGGATATATCCGTGTGTTTCGGGGACTTGGCTGGGTTGCGCGGCTGCTAATCACGTCATTCGGGGCCGGAAGACGCCATCGCCATCCCCGTCCCCGGTCCGTCTAGGCATACCGAGAGACGGTCTGAGGACCTCCATGGTAATGTGAGAACCGGGGCCCCACGATTTGAATCGGATCACGGAGTGGAGCCACGGAGCCACCATTGCTCCGCTTTCTCCGACCCAGCGGCAGCGCCGGTACCGGTTGAGCCGCCGTCTTGGCACGGGTGACGACCCTGTGTGTGTGTTAAAGGGGCAGGCAGGACGACGATAGCAACAGTTCCACCGCGTATAAATGCAAGAGCAGATAAGAACCACTCAAAGTATTGTTCTCGTCATATTGTACGACTTTCACTTGAACTATTTGCTATCAATGTGTCGCCCAGGATTTAGCTACGTCAATACCAAGCCTTGCTTTTGAGCTTAAAGTTGCGGAAATGATGCCGCTGACCGCATGATCTCAGAGTTTACTATGTCATTCCGGATGATGTCGTAGAGAAACACGTTGTGGCCCTTTCCTTCAATGCGCCATTGTGCTTCACCATCTGAATCGCACCCTGCAGATGCCGTTGCACCCACGGAATATTACCGAGAAGGATCTGCCATTTTTCAACACCCCATAAATGAACACAACCTAATACGCAGTCGAGGTAACTTACCTCATCTTGTGCTAGGAAAACAGCTACCGTAATGATGGAATCACTAATTGGAGATTGCGTCTCTAGGGTGGATATGGCTTGCATGAGTATTTGCGCGCAATCGACTTTGTACTGCAGAGCCAGTTGAGCATAATGCGCCCCCTGTTGTGGCAGACAGTATGACAGGTGCCGACACGTCACAAGAAAGAGGCCATTTAGGCCGCTGATGCTGGTGGCTGCAAGCTGTACGAACTGCTTGCTTATGTCTCGTGCACTGGCTCCCGGAAATCTGCTCTGATTGTGTTCAAGTGTCGAACAGGGTACAACGTTGTGGGCATCTATATTGTTTAATCCGGTCAAAATATGCTCTTCTAGTTCGTATCTTATGTGCAGGAATGACCTTGGGAAGTGTAATATCTTTACAATTAGGCGAGCCACGAATGTAACTTACAATAATCCAGGAGGAAATCTTCTGTCGGACTGAGGCGCCTCGCAAAAGTGGCGAAGGGGTCTCTCCGGCAACATCCCAGGGGGGCTATGGGGCCCGAGATGACATATACTTGAACTTCATCTGCGGCTCTTGCAGGAGGCTGTTTCCCATTAAAGTCATTGCGAATTGCTTTGGTGGCCTGGTATTGGATAACCCTCTGGCGCCGCGTCTTGGCGTGCGCCGCCCGAGCCGCATGCGAGTGAACTTGGCGTTGCGCCTCGGCCGACTTGGCTCCAAGGGTGGACTTCTCATGTGAATGGATGAATTGAATATCATGTCTTATTGTTGCCATGATGGTTATGATTCCAGAAGTCTGTTCAACAGCTTGGATGGGCCCCCATATTCTGGACTTTAGGCCTGTCACGATGTGTCGAAAACGATGTCCGGATAGTTTGTCAGCAAAACCAGGTCATCTCTCCCTTCCTTTTCTCATTTGTCATCACAAAACCTGGCCAATGGCTCGCCTTTTCATCTCTCGCAATCGTCAGCGACTGCTGATGCCAAGGCTTGCGACTTCCGAAAAAGGAAATTGGGACTCGAACCACCGGAGCCGGCCCGAGATGCAACTCCGGGTATCGGGGTTCTTCACCCGGCATCAAGAAGAATTTAAACCTATGTCCAACCCGTCAACGCCGCGCTGCCATATAATTGGCTGGTTACAGAAGATATTGCCAAGGCGATCTCCTTCCCGATGTAGAGCAGCCTACGTGACCTCGCTCTATGAGAGATGCCTCATGAGACTGATCCCTGGCTTCAAAATCAATATATTAAATGCACACGTTCACGAGGGCTTCCAAGTCCAGATCACGACTTTGTGAGGACCAAACATACATTCTAAGTTCACATCCAAGCTGTCCATCTTCATCATCATTCATTGCCATGTCTCTCCCCGAAACCGTAATCCCCCAAGGCTCCTGGGTTCTCATCACCGGCGTCACAGGCCACATAGCAGCACACACGGCCAAACAATTTCTCCAACGTGGCTTCAAAGTCCGCGGCTCCGTTAGAGATCTTGAGGCCGCCCAATGGCTCACTCAGGACGTCTTCAAGTCATTCGCAGACCGCGGTGATCTCGAGCTTGTTCACGTACCAGACCTCGGCGCAAAGAACGCCTTCGACGAAGCAACCAAGGGTGTCTCAGCTATCAATCACATAGCCTCAATCCTCTCATTCACGAACAATCCCAGAGAAGTCATTCCACCCGTCGTCGAGAGCGTCACCTCGATCCTCGATGCCGCGGCTCGCGAACCATCCGTCAAGTCATTCGTCTACACTAGCTCGATCGCCGCCGCAGTGGACATCACTCCGGGCGCAAACGCTCAGCACGCGGGACCGGACGCCTGGAACGAGAAGGCAATCGAGATTGCCTGGGCTCCGCCGCCACACCCTGAGAACCATTGGCACATGGTCTACCAGGCCAGTAAAGTTGAAGCGGAGAAGGCTGTGTGGGACTTCGTCAAGAAGAACAGTCCTCATTACAACGTCAACGTTGTAAGCCCGGCGACGGTGTTGGGTGAGGCGCTTCACGAGAAGCATTTGCTTTCTCCATACCCCTGGCTCAAGAATCTGTATTACGGAAACGAGGAGATTGGAGGCTTGTTTCAGGCCAGTGAGTAATCTCCCAACGCCTAAAGTCCTTTCAGACTGCTGATTACGATGTATGCAGTCATCCATGTCGACGTCCAAGATGTTGCGATCCTCCACCTCGCCGCCGCGCTGGACCCTGACTGCAGCGGCGAACGGCTGCAAGCGTGGGGTGAACACTGCAACATGAATGACATACTTGCGATTCTGCGGAGGGTCTATCCGAACAGGAACATCATGGACGACTTCAATATTCAAACAAAGCTGAAGGTCACGGCTGACTCTGAACGGCCTTTGGCGTTGCTCAAGAAATGGGGAGGTCAGGATGGTTGGACATCACTTGAGAAGAGTGCGATCAATGAGATGGAGGGCGTTCTGAAGTGGTTCCCCGAGGTTTGAGGATGATGTAATGTGCCATATTTGGAGGATAAATAGCAAGATATAGGTCAAATTAGAAAGACCCACAGCCGAATCCAATGCACGCTCTCCGTCTTCCGCTCAACGCTAGAAGCTTCACTTTCGCATGCGACTGTAGATCGCTGCACGCAATCCTTTCAGTACAACGTGGGCAGCTGTTGGAATCTTTCGACACTAAGAACTCGTGTATCTTATTCGGTCTCCGTAATCCGTGTTTTACTAGAAGAACTTATCAAGAAACCATGGACGATGACATGAGAAGACATGCTATTTCGCCCGCGTTTCCTCACTCGCCGGCGTCTGGCAATAGGTCACAGGTGAGCCCAAAGTATAGTTACTCAGCTTGCTTCCATTCGTATATCTTAACGCACTCAACACAAAATATCTGCTTTGTTCTGATCAGAACTTGATTGCTTTTTGTATACTTGTTCAGAATATGGACCTCAGAATGTTGTTGAAGGCCCATCTCGGCGGTTTCTTCTGAAGGCAACATCCAGATCGAGAATATTAAGTCGAGAAATTTCGCAACAAAGGCAAATAACAGACAATGTGATGGATGACAATCTTGAGCAGCTAGGTCCTTTGATAACAGGCTATCAAAACCAAGACAACTTTGTGCGTTGTTGAGCACTTCCAGTTGAGAGTGATTCTTGGCTTTCTGCATCGTTTCTGGCGCTTTAATGACATGTCGGAATAGGCGCGCGACGCCGTATTAGCTGTACCTGTCGTCTAAAGTTCTCGTGCGTTCAACAATTATCCAGGGAATTCTCGATGGTGCTACCCGTGGCGCCGAAGACATTGGGATGCTTGAAACTGTGATTGAAGACATCGTCATTGGCCTCTTGTTGATTTACCAAGGCAGTTTTACTTTATTTGATGTCTTCAATTACAAGCCCCCGGCCCTTGATAGAAGGTATGTCCGTCCTCAGTAAAAGACATAGTGGTCGGGCAGACGCCAACTCCACCTAGGAAAGAGGGGAATGAGCTTGACATATAAATAAGAAGTATGCATTTGAGTGGCTTGGAGACACACCCAGAATTACTCGCTTCTCTTATTCCCTTTCTAGTTACCGCTGCAACATGATCAATCAAGATTGTGGTCCGAAGGCTTCAGAACCCAACGCTAAACAATCTTTCGGTAACTCTCAGAAGTAATAACGCCAACCCTCACTAGTCTTGAGTTATTCATCGAGAATATCCCAAAACCGCTGTCCAGATTGTGAGAGACTCTACCTATCGACAAGGTAGGTTACAGCACTCGATCTGGTAGGACATGTAAGTATTCTGTGCCGAGACGCATGAACAAAACTGGTACAAGCTCGAGCCATTCCTGTCTGCTGGTGAGCCTTGACTCCAGCATCCTAGATTACCATTCATAGCAAAGTCGATGATGTGGCAAAGCTTGTCCTTGTTGAGCAGCATGATTGACGCACAACATTCCCGAGGCTTTGTCTACATCGTATAAAAGGGAAGGTCCTTCGTAAAATAACTTTCAACGACAAGATAGATCGAATGGCTCCTCTCCTATGAGTTGAATCAAGTCGAAATCTCGAGTCCTGAGCCCTCAACTCTGCCCTCATGACAAGCGCGAACCCCGACACCTCCAACCCTGGCGCCACCTCCGCAGCATGCCCCCTCACCCTCCTCCGCGTATTCTTCCCTTAATAGAAGAGAGACGCGCGATGTCTCGTAGTTCATAGCTGGAAGCAACAGTATCGGGCTTGGGACTTGATCATAACCGCCTCAACCATGGCTCCGTGACAGCAATGGATCGGTGACTTTTCCGGCAACAATCCTCCGAAAGCTAGATTCTATTGTCTGTGGAGCAAATGGCACTGCTGACATCTATCCGGCTTCATATACTTGTGAAGCAATCTATTGTTGCGTATGACCATTGCACGAAGCACACTGGCTGCTGCGAAGGTTGGAATTAGACCGCTTCCTGGCAGTGATGCAGAACGTGTGATGGGACGTAGAGGCACATGCTGCGTCCTAGCCCAATTAGTATTTGTCATTCAAGCCGGTTCCGTCTGCATGATAAATATGAGAGATTCACTCGCCCTGATTCAACCCAGAAACCCAAATGAATCACGGCGAACACTTTGGCGATTGAAATTCGAGCCAAGACAGAAAGACACCGTAATTCGTCGCGAGACTTTATCATCAAACCAGGTATTGTGCCATGCGTAACTGACACTGAAACTTCCTCATCGTCTGTCTGTACCCGTCCCTGGTATCATATGTTACGCCCTGTATACGCCATAACTGGATTCTGAATGCTCCTTTCCGGGAACTGCCAAGAGAAATTTCTCAGAGGTGTGCGCTGACTCTGAACCTGATCCTTCGCTGCCACCATGAGCAAATATTGCCGTCAAATTGAGAGGAAAGACAATGTTTGTCGCCCGGCGGGTCGATAAGGAATCTATCAGATGCTCAATATATATCATGTCCTCAACTCTCATTCCTGAGCCTCTATCGCTTAGCCCACCAAACAGGCGCATGATATATCCGTCGCGGTCCTCTCAAACCTAGGGACGGAAAGATTTCACGACCAAGTTCCCAAAAAACTGAAACCCATGTCCACCTCTCTGCGAGAATGAAGTACTTAAAGTAGCACAACGAACATCTCTTCACACCAGGCAATAAGGGGAAAGCTTCTGGTCTAGGAAATGGAGGTAGAGGATATTTCGACTTCCACCAGCCAAGCACCCGTCTCTGCGTACAACTCGCAAGCCATCCCCACCCTCCCCTCTCACCATGCGAAAGCCAAACCGTAGCATTGTCGCCGTCCATCATCACCGTCTCTTCCTATCTGGCATGTATTCCGTCCGCAATTCCCAACTCCACGACCTGAACCAACTCCTCAATAGCAAAAGTAATCCATACATTCCAACTCAACACCAACAATGCATTCGTCGCCTGTTGCGTGTGGAAAGCGGGATTTTTTGCGCCACCCCATTGTCGGGCTTCGTTTCCACAATGAGTGAGGAACCGAGGAATTTATAGGCGTCCATCCCGAGGTCCAGTCACATTCACCAGCAGGTAGGCACGATGTACCCCGCGAGGAAGTAAACTCCGGTGTCGAACAAACACATAGCGACCATCGATCGTCCCCGGCCTGGACCAAGCACCACTATTCGCATCGTCTCACACACCAGTCATATCTCTGTGGATCACGAAGCACTCATTTGAAGTATTAAAGGTCCTTATATTCCCGTCCCTCCCACTATGCAAACATTACTCATCATCACGCCTGCCCCAAACCTCCACAGTATTCTACACCACACCAACAGCCTCAAAGCCACGGTGCTCTTCTTCTATCTTCACCAGTTCATCTCATGGAAACAGCGCACCGTATGCCTGATTCCCATCTCTGCAGCAAAAAAAGAGGTAATTTGTTCATCATCGAATTTTAATTCTTTTTTTGCCCAGTAGTCGGAGAAAAAAGTGTGTCGTCATCCCGTCATCCCTGATTTGCCCATCCCATTTCCCAAAAAGGGTTGCACAGTTTGAAGAAAACACCTTGCTGCAGCACGCGCGCAAAGGGGACTGAAAAACAAGAAAGGGGCAGAGCATGAAATAAAAAACGCCTGTTCCCCGCCCCTCCGTATTTGTGGTTTCCGCCCAGCCTGTCCCTAATTTCCCGTGGTTGAAGAAAAATAGAGACAAAGGAAAGGAGGGAAACCAGTCAGGTTTCGCAGTTCATACAAGTAAAAAAAGGTGGTTGTAGATACAAAGGGAATAAAACAACACGAGGGTCAGTGGGAACGAATGACCGCTGTCAATGCAAGAAAACGCCGTAGGTATGTGGAACGCCTGAGCAGAACGACGAATGTGGTCTAGAGAAGCGAAGAGGAAAGCATGCCCAGCAGCCATCGTCAGTGACGGGGGGTCGGCTCGGGTTGCCAGCCGTTGATATATGCCATCAGGCCCATGCCTAAGATCACCACGCCTAACATCGAGGCGTAAGGAACCCCGGCCATCAACGCCTGGTCCTTGGCCAGCTTCCCTGGCGGTATTGAGAGCGGCGTGATGGTATTGGCACGCGACAACGTCGGCTTGTCGCTGAGGTCCTCTGTCTGTGTGGCTGAAGGAGTCGACTCCTGGGATCCGTCGGTCTGGACGATCGAGGTAGCTTTGCTGCCGGCTTCCGCGGTGCCGTTGGTTCGTCCGCGGGATCGGGAGCGTGCCTTTTCCTCTGCTGCAGCCTGCCGGGCCTCCTCGTCTCTTCGGATCTGGGCGACCATTTCGGCAAGGGTCTTGCGGTCGGCGTCGCGTTCCGTCTCGGCCTTTTCGCACCGCTGCCTCCAGGCGTCCATCTGCTGCTTCAGGTCGCTCATCTCTGACATCATAGTATCGATCTTGATCTGGAATCGAGCGGCAATGTCCTCCGCGCTTTCGGGCGCCGGCTCTTTGGCGACGGAGTCGACGTCCGTCATTTCAACGTCGGGGGATTCTGAGACTTCACGGGGAGGCTCAAATGCTTCTTGCAGGAGCGTTTCGGTGTCGGACTCCTTGGGCGCACCGTTTGCCTCCTTGGCCAAGGCACTGTCCTCGAGGATCTTAGCCATGTCTTCAGCCAGCTCTCTTGCCTCCCGTTCCTTGCGGAGCATATCCTCCAAGTCGCGGATGCGAGCCGTCTGCGAATCCAAATCCTTCTTCGCATTGTTCAGCGCCTCCGTCAACTGAATGATCTGGTGCAGGTTGTCGCGTCCGACTGGCGAGGTGGTGCTATTCGCGGCCGAGTGCGTCTTTGGCCGTTCGGTGGTGCCTCGCTTCAATGAAGGTACGTCAGGCTTCTCGGGAAGAGGTTGTTGAGGGGGGGGCGCGGGAGGATCGGAAAATCGCGTCTTGCCGTCGGAGCGGAATGGCATGCCATTGCCGTTGGGTACCTGCTTTGCAGGCTCTGGAACATCGGGCTTCTCAAGGTCCTTCACGTCCTCTTTGCTCAGCAGGGCGCTGATAAACTGGCCGGTCCGGGTGAGGTCTTGGGTTTGTAGTCGTGCGCTGCGCATCTCGTTCTGCTTCTAGTTAGCGTCTTGCGCTAGATTATGTCAGGCAAGTACTCACGTGTAACCGCTTGACGATATGCTCAGTGGTGATGGGGGTCAACAAGAATCCGCGCGCGGCTCCTCCATTCGCAGGCATGCCGTTCATTTGTTGGGCAGGCACCATACGCCCATTACTGGCCATCGACGCGTTGCTACCTGCTCTGCCGCGATAGGGCATGGGTTGGGGCGCCGGCATCATCATGCCACCGTTAGCAGGGTCTAAATCTCCAAAGCTCATGTCCATAACATTGCTGGAAGGGCTCATGAAGCCCGCATGTTCGACCTTGGCGGCTACTTTGTGGTGGACGACGGTCTTCTGATCCTCGCTGACAATATCAATGCCGAGTTCGAGATGGTCGCCGGTCTGCAGTTCGTGCGGTTCGGATTCACGGTTCTCTTGTGAAAGGCGCGTACCATTGACGAATGTGCCGTTAGAAGACTTGACATCTCGGATGTAGATCTTGCCCATACGATCGGCCCAAATTTCGGCGTGCTGCCTGGATAAGACTTTGCTGTCAAAGTACCCATTCGTAGCAGTGGGAATCGTCTTCTGGTTAGTCTGCCGGCCGATGCGAAGACTCTCGGGATAGAATGGAACCGAAATGGTCTTGCGCTCAAACGTGCCATTCAAAGACAGCAAGTAGAGCACGGGCTGGCCGTTCGGCATGGGATCGCCCAAGGGCCTCGCGCCGAGACCCTGCTGCGACATCATTTGCGGCTGGCCGGGTGCCGACTGCAAAGAGGTGGCCCCGTTGACGCTATTCATGGGACCTCGCATGACGGGCCTGCCAAAGTCGCCCTGGCCTTCAGGTTTGCCGGCAGGCCAAGGGGCCTTGGGCTGGGGCCGCTTCCTGGAGGCGGTGCTCCAGGAGCTCATATCGGAGTTTGTAGACGCGGGAGTGCCATTTGGTTGAGAGTTGTTGGTAGCAACGGTGGTGGTTGAGGAGTTTGAGGAGGTCGAGGAGACGGAGGAGGATGAGTTGCTTCGCTGGAGCGTTTTTCGGGGCATGAACATGCCTCTGACGTCTTCTGGATTCATCGAATTCAGACTTTGCCCGCCATTAACGTTCCATGCCGGCCGATTGAGTTGCTGAAAGCTGGGAGGGCTCGCGACGGCAGTCATGAGGGGTGGGTGTGCGGTCGTGGTGGTTGACTTGGTAGGACAAAGGACGTCGGACTAAGGGGCAGGCGATGGCGATGGAAGGGTATCGATGGCAGTGGTGGCAGTGGCAGTGGTAGGTGGTGGTCTAGGGACGCCGGGGTCGGATTCCGTCACCATTCGCACAGCAGCCCTCTGGGTATCTTAAAAGGTCGGTGGTCGCTTGCAAGAAAATGGGGAGGTATGAGATGTCGTCTGGATGAAGCTACGGTCGGAGGTGGGAAGGGATGAGGCTGCGCTGGCAGGAAAAATAAGTCAGCGATGATGTCGCGGCAAGGATAGGGGTGGACAGCCAATTGACGCGAGACAGCCGGTCGGGTACGGGGCCTCGGGGGACTGCGGCCGTTTCCTGTAGGCAAGAAAAGCGCAAGGGGTATCTGCGAGACGTACCTGCAATTGAAAGGGAGCGGCTTGAGGGCTGTTTGGGCAGCTCGATCGACGATAAGAAGACGTGCTCGGTAGGGGAGGTGAAGTTGAATCTAGGATTTGGGAAAGAACAGAGTCTCGCCCCCGTCTCGCTAAGCGCTTAGCGGGTGGTGTGCAGTTGCCGTTGCCGTTGGCAGTGCACGCACGCAGATTTTGGTTCGCAGTCGCACCTCACTCAGCGCTGCACCGGGGACTGGGAGTGGGAGGGGACACTGAGGGGACGGAATGGAGGAGGAGGAGGACCAAACAGCAGTCAGAAACACGCGCCGGAGCCGACCTGGCCCATGAGAGTGAGAGAGGTGGAACGCCGGGCTGGGTGGACTGGGGGGGCTCTGGGCGCTGGGCTGAAGCTGCGACCGCGACTGGAACTTTTCTGTTTTAATTCCCCTTCTGGATTCAGCACCGCACAGGCCCCGACGGCTGTCACCGTTCATGCACTCGCTCGTGGATCTGCAGCGAAGACGTCGAGAAGGAAGGAAAACACGCAGCAAGAGGAGAGAGAGGAGCGAGCGAGGGAGTACAAGAGGGATGCTGACTGACTGCTGGTCTGACGACTGGCTCGTGGACCGGGCAGATGGCCTTGTCTAGGCTGCTTGCTTGCTTTGCTTTACAGTGCACCTTAGCCGTCAGAGGATTCCGTCTGGTCCACCTGCCCACCCGTCTCTCGTTGCGCTTGCTGCTGCTGCTGCTGATTTGGCGCTGGACACCTCAGCACCCACCAGAGAACCTTGGTCCACGTGACACTCCCGTCTTCGTCACAGTGAGGGCTGATGTCATTTGTAGGCAAACGGGGCGGTGCGGCACTGTGTCTCGCACTGCCTGTCCGTCACACCACCGGACCCGGTCGGCCACCTGGAGATTTTCTGGTTCCAGGTGGCCTGTGCCTGCTCGAGTGCGGGTGACCGTGCCATCGTTGTCGATAAGGCGTTGCAATAATAACCGGCCAATGAGACGTGGACAGACCCCGCCCCATCATCTGTCTTTTTTTGCCGAGGAACTGCCGTACCCCGGATTGGATTCGTCCAAAGCTCAAGTGGCGCCGGGAGGCTGCAGGAAAATGCTCCAGCAAATTGGGAGAGCTCGACTCCACCAAATATTCAGGCCATCCGCAGCACCACCAACATCACCCACGATTCGAGGTTGAGCACCAGCACAGCTTGACCCTTCGCGGCAATCTCTTCCTTTTCTCTTGAGAATACCTTCGACCTCGTCTCCTTCTTCACAATGCCTCCCGTTCCCCAGCAACACGCCGGCGCCATGGGCCCCTCCATCGCCGACAAGCGTACGATTTCCCCTCCAGCCTGGTGGAGCTTGCGCTGACCTTTCGCAGTCAAGATGGGTGCCCTCATGGGTGGCAGTATGTCAACAATGCTTCTGGAATGAAACAGGACGAGAGCTAATCCAGCAATAGCTGTCGGAGCTGTCATGGGCTTCGTCTTCGGTGCGCCGCCGCCTCACCCCCCACTGTCGCATTTTCTCGACTGACCACCCAAACCCCACAGGCTCGGTCAACATCATGCGCTACGGCGCCGGGCCCAACGGCATTATGAGGACACTGGGACAGTACATGGCTGGTTCCGGAGCAACTTTCGGGTATGCGCAGCCTTACCTCCATTGCGACAAAGCTAACACGGCCCAGCTTCTTCATGTCCATCGGTAGTGTTATCCGATCCGACTCCGCCATCGCCGAAGCCGCCTACCGCAACATGCAGCGAAGACCGGTTCTCGTCTACGGCCCCGGATCCGATTTTGCGAAGCGCCAGCAATAAGCCCACTGCCACCGAAGGCAGACCACTGTATACCAAGATGTAGGAGAAGGCCCGAGGATGTGATGCTTCCACACCGGCATCAAGAAATATTTGTATAATAGGTGTATCAGGCATATCACGACTACATGAGAAATGTTACATCTCTTCACAGGTGTGTTTAGCTGCGGGGTGATGGCTTATGGGCCTCATTGCGCCTGCGCGAGCAGGAGAAGCCGTTCTCTGAGGGACGCTTAAGGAGCCTTGGTCTGGGAACCAACGCGGTCGCCAACACTATTGGCGGTGCTATCTCAGTTCCACACGCGCAAGACACAGCTGTGTCATATCAGACTGGAAATGGTTGATTCCGCTGCTTTGGCGATATTGGCCCTGCATCCCAAGTCAGTTGCCTTGAGCTTGGTAACACAGACATATTTCAACGTTCAAGTGAACGAAATGGACAGACGGCGCATCAGACGCACCACCCAGCCTGAGCCAGGCTACCAAGACCTTGCTGATGCCTTCAACAATCCAAACGAGAGCCTTCGCCACTATCCTTGCGACCGCTCCTGTCGTCCTCGTCTCTGTCCTCATCCCTATCATCCTAGCCTGTAATCACTATGCCACCGAATAGCAAAGCTCTATACTACCATCAAAGCTCGTATTACTGCATCTGATACATTGAACTGGCCTCCACATCCAAATTTTATGATTGTAGAATAAGCTCTTACCGTTCTGGGCTCAATTGTCGCGACACTCTTAACCACTTCAATGGTGGAATTCCGCGACACATGCATGGCTTACGTGTCGCCCGCACTTATTGGACCCCAGTGGTGCAATGAAGTTGGCTAGACTGCGTCGGTATCGATGCCTGTCTGGCTGAGCCGTGGCCAAGGTGCTCCTCAACAATAAATGGCTAACCAGTCGTTGTAGCTCCACGATGCAGAGCCAGCAGCCCGTCCCTCGATCTGGCTATATGTAGGCTCATAGATTCGTCGTCTGCACGGGAAAAGCTGCATGAAGCTCCCTATTTTCCTGCCATCATCCGCCATCTTGAACCGGTCTGTTGCTCATAGATTCCTTCAACAATGACCTGGCGGCGACACTCTCTGGTGGCAGTTCTGACGACATTTACAGTCACAGCCATGGCTGATGTGTTCGACTACATGTGAGAACAATACTCATCTTCAATTGCCGCAGAAAGACAACTAATCGATGGTTAGTATCGTTGGCGGCGGTATCGCTGGACCCACCATCGCTGCCCGTCTGACGGAAAGCTCTAACACCACAGTTCTGGTTCTAGAAGCCGGGGCTGATCACACATCCGACCTGAACGTTCTTGCACCGAGTCTGTCCCCAGCCATGTACGGCAACCCAGAGTACGACCGGGACTGGGACTACAAGACCGTTGCTCAGGTACGACTTCAGTCGTGTCTGGAAATCTACATGGCTAACGACAACAACCCGCCGCGAACAACAAAGTCGTCGCTCACATCCGCGGCAAACAGCTCGGGGGCTCCAGCGCCATGAACTTGATGTTCTGGACGCACCCCTCCAGGCAAGACATCGACAGCTGGGGCGAGCTCGGGAACGCGGGCTGGTCCTGGGAGGAGCTGGCCCCGTACTTGCGAAATTTAGAGGCCTTCGTCGCCCCGTCCGAGCAGCAGACGGCTGATATGCTTCTCGACTACGTCGACCAAGACTCCCACGGCACCGGTGGGCCCATCGTCAACGATTTCCCACAGCTTCAGAGCCCTCTGCTGCGGACCTGGCCCAGGACGCTTGAGAATCTTGGCCTGGCTGTCAGAAGTGACCCTCGAGATGTCAAGGCTTTGGGCGGATACGTCAACCTGCTCAATATCGACGGCGCAACGCGTAGCTTCGCTGCCAATGCGTACCTTGGCCCCGCTCGATGCCCCAACACTTGATCTTGATACCCCTCCCTTGGGTTAAAGACCGGCAAGACAGGCTTGGATGAGCAATACCGCCTTCTCATTCGCGACCTAAAGTCAGAAGCTATAGCGCAAGAACTCACTATAGAGGGCGGCATATCCCCTCAGTTGTCCTCCGACACGACGAAGCTCTTCTCCGCCAACGCTCAGGAGAACTATCCTTCTATTCTCGGCGTCCTGGAGCACCCCTTCTCCAGAGGCTCCGTCCACATCCAGTCAGTTGTTTATGCAGTAGCAGAGCGAGCAGACCTTCTCAAGGAGGCAGATTGTACGACTTAGACATTATCACCTATCCTCTATATCCCGACTATCTCTACATATTACGTCCAGCAGTGAAATCAACCTGATTAGGTATGCCCTTTTACAAAGCCAAGGCAACGGCAGCAACACCCGCTGCAGCCATCCACCCGACAGGTCCAACCAGATTAACCCCGCTCACGGCCGTCGGCGTCGCACTCGGGCTTGTCCCGGTCCCATTCCCGCCCGTCGTCGTGTTCGCCCTCAACTCCGCCACGCCAAACTTCAGCGTCTCAGGCTGCGCGCCATCCCAAACGGTGTAGTACCCCTTCAGCAGCGGGCCGCCGAGCACCCAGATCGGTACAGAATCGCTAATCGGCGTCACAGGGTTCAAAAACAGCGTCTGGCAGGTACCGTTTTGGCCGGGGTACTCGCCGAGGTTGAACTCGCCGCGCGGCACCGTCACGTTGACCGCCTGCGCGCCGAAGCCGAGCGTGAAGGTCAGCTCGGGGTCGAGCTTCTCGACGACGTCGCAGGGCGCACCCCACGCGCCCAGCGGGTCGATCTGCGTGATCTCCGGAGAGATGGCGGCGTAGATGTCCTTGGCGGTCTGGTAGTCCGGCGCCTGCAGGAAGGCAGTGCCCGTGTCCACAAGGGATACGCCGCCTGGGAACGCGGCGCCGTTGGCGGAGGAGTTGGTGACCGTCTTGCCGTCGACGAAGAAGGACGGCTGGTCGATGAACCAACCCATGCCGGCGGCGCTGACGGTCATGTTGAAGTCGATGTACTTGATGTCGCCGGTGTAGCGGGCCGCGTTGACGCCGCCGAGGGTGATCTCGCCCAGCGGCGCGCTGGTGCCGTTCACGTCCGAGTTGAGGAAGATGGAGAAGCGCGGCTCGGGGACTTCGCCTTGTGCTGCGAGGGTCCAGAACCAGGTGGAGAAGGAGGCGTTGGTGACGACCTCGGAGAAGTGCGAGAAGCCGGGCGGGCCCATGCCGAAGATGCCGTCGATGGGCATCTCGTTGAAGGCGTCGGCGTAGGTGTCGCAGAGGAGGAAGGTCTGGTTGGGCACGGTGTGCCCCGCGAGGGCGACGGCGTCGGTGACGACGGTGCCGGAGGCGGGCTGCGGCTCGGCGTAGGGGATGGACTTGCCGCCGGTGCCGAAAGAGGTGGTGACGTTGTAGCCCGGCAAGGGCGAGAAGGTGTTGGAGGAGGCGCGGGTGAAGACGGACTCCTGGGTGCAGGTTGTGCAGGAGGAGGAGGGGAGGACGAGGTCTGTGGAGCCGGTGTCGAAGGTCACGGTGCTGTTTTCGGCGTGTCAGTCGAGTGTGCGTATCAAGGATGTGGACTTGGGTAGAGATTTACAAGTTCTGCGGCGGGGTGCCGACCTGGACGGTGCCGTACCACTGGAGGTCGTAGTTCTCGAACCAGTTCGTGAGGGAGACGGTGCTAGTCGAAGACCGCTTCATCACGTTCGTCTTGGGCTTCAGACCGGCGGGCACGCGACGACGGTTTTGGAGCGTGATTGTGAGGGGGTCGGCGGCGACGGAGCGGCTGAGCGCCGCGAGGGCGAGAGTGCCCGTGAGAGTGTCGAATCTCATGGTGCCTTGGAGGTATCGATGATATTTATTTGGTGTGGATTATGAGATGGTGATGGATGTCGATGATGGGAGAGGTCGTCTTTTGTTGTGCGGACTCAGCTTTGACTTATATACAGCGCCATGGCTGAGAAGCATCTCGGCTTCGCGGCATCGATATTACTCAAATACAGCCATTGTCCAATCCCATATCGTCAACAATAGTTTCGCGATGTGGGCGGGAGAAAACCTCCAGGCATCAGCCTGACGAGACAAGGGCCCTCCCAGCCTAGAGGCTAATACAACACACGCAATGTTGAGATTGGGGCTGAAGCCTGAAGCCTGGAGTTGTAAGTCGGCCGCATCACCAACAACACCGCGCCCTGGCATAGGGCTTCCCCGGATATCTGGGAACAAGGACTCCACCGCGGCGGCCGATCCTAGCAGTTATGGTGGTATGGAACCTAGATAAAGGCTAGTCCCGTCAGACGCACTATGAACGGCTCAATTGTGCTGCGCTAGCTCACCAAAGTCCCAACGCTAGTTCGACCTGCGCTGGCTACGGTCTACCATTCGTAAGCCGCGCTGCGGCTGGTGCCGCAGGCTGAAAGTGTTGGCTAGGTCCGATTCGAATGTTTGGTGGGCGGAGCGGGATGCCTGGTAGAGGTGCGAAGGATGCACCTTTGCAGTGTGCATGCAGTACAGGGCTGAGCATGTTATGGTGTTTCTGGTAGCTGCACGTCTCGTATGCTCGGAAAGCGGTGGGGAACGGTGGGGACTCTAGCTATTTGGACCCCAAAAGCTTGGCTCGCGAGGCAAAAGAGAGACGGGAGCGAGGAGAGAGGTGAGGTTGAGGTGTCGGGGCTCGATGGGTATTTCGAAGAATCTTAGGACAGGGGTCTGTTCCTCCCGTAGGGCGACCGCCTCCCTGGTTTAGCATCTCTCTGTGATATATGATGGGTGAGACGAGATTTGATTGGACTTTGGTACGAACTTCTTTGTGTGGTGATTCACACGACACCAACCACGATCCATGGTGATGGTGTAGCTGAGCTGGCTGACTACACACTCTGTGAGGCGCTGCTGATGAATGCTTGCCTTAATCTATTGATGCTCCATGTTCAAGATTTGTAGATCTGACAAGACCAGACGACGAGCATTCCAATTCTAGTCAAGCGCCAGCGGCTATTTTGCTACATAGATAGCATTGCCACAAAACAGTGGTCGACCACTTTAAGGTAGCACAACATAAATAGTAAAAGTCTTTCAATGACACTTTCTAACCAGAATTGAATCATGTTTTCTACTAAAACCTCAGTGCAATACACTTACACTTAAGACCTGGTTGTTGAGGCGCCCCTAATCTGGTGTTGATACCAACTAGATGTTGAAGATACGGAGCTGCCACAAAGCCCACATCCCACCAATGAGGACAATCGTCAGCAAGATGGCATCGGTGATCCGATCTCGACGCGTCCATTCAGCCTCAGTTTGAACATCCGTCTTCTTCCAGTTCACCCCCTTGGCCGCATGGTACTCATCAGAGAAATCCGGCCTAACAGGGTCTGGCAGCATATCCTTCATGTCTAGGTAGACCTTGATGGCAAACTTAATAAGTGTCTCCGTGACAGGATTCGGATGGCCGATTTTGTTGTGCTCGCGAATAGGTGCTGGTATAACGGTCAAGACCACCTGTCGGCCAAACCACTGTAGACGCCTAGCAATCATCAGAAACCTGCGAGTTCGTCGAGAACAGTACCAAGCGAGACTCTCACCTCGGGAACCACATCACACTGAACTGCCTTATAAACGCCTCCGAAGCATCATGCGCCTTTCGCCTCGTCTCCTCATCCGTATACCTCTCCATAGGAATCCTCTGAAACCATAGATAAAACCCCTCCACCTCCTCCCAGGTCCTCGGGAAATTCACCCCAAAGCTCCTAGACCCGTCCAACGGCTCCGTCCGGAGCTGGGCACACACCCGCTCGCCCCACTCCGGCCACGCCCGCTGCACGTTCGGATGCGGCTCCGTCCGGCGCGCCCCGACCAGCTTGCGCAGGTTTGTCTCAAAGTACGCCGCGCCGATGATCGCCATCTCGCCCTCCCAGGGGTGGCTGTACGCTCCCGGCACGTTCTTCCAGACGCTCGCGTGGATCTTGTTGACGCTCTCGAGGCGCCTGCGGGAGATGTCGGAGCCGCTGCCGTACCACATCCAGTCGAGGAAGTAGTCCTGCGTCTCGAAGAAGCGCTGGTGGCCGCGGCGATAAGCCTTGGCCGTGTGGTGGACCGCAGCGGCGCCGGCGGGGGTCTGGACGAGATGGATGAAGGTGGATGCATAGCCGGCGGAGAAGGCGAAGGAGTTGGCCATGAAGAAGATTGCTGTCTTGATGATTTGGTCATATTCCGTGTCAGGGTCAAGCTTCAGGGAAATCACACGGTTAGTACATCCACGACGGATAGAATGCTTAGGGTACCCACCTTGTCCAGGTACCTCCGGATCCATTTCCCCTTTCTTTCTGCTTCCGGAGGCCATTCCGGGACGGGCCTCTTGGGTCTAGGAGATGGTCGGGGTTGTCGTGGGCTAAGCTCGAATTGTTCAATGCTATCTGTGCCGGGGGGCAGGTTATCGGTAATGTCGAGCTTGTAGTATAGTTTGTCTCTCTCAAGCAAGCTAGGCGTCATGTTGTGTTATGCGGGATCACCTAAGTTTGATATGATGAGTCTTATAATCTACGCCAAATCTTTTCATGTCTCGAAAGGTTCAACGAAATTCCACAGCAGTTGAGAGAGCAATACATGACGGTGTTATACTCTCGAGAGCTCTAAGCGTATGGAAACAAACTTCCCAAAGCGGAATCACTGTCGTCGGTATCAGCATCATTTCACTGCACGGATAGAGAAGGCCGTCCCAAGCACGCCCACCGGCAGTTGCTTCGGCAGTTGCATACATAGATTCCCCAGGCTGTCAGCAAGCCTCGACCCAAGCCTTCAACTTCAGATGGACAGTTGGTTGCTTTAATAGGCAACTTGGTAGAGGAAAAGAAGGGTAGGCAAAGTTTCACGACCACGTCAGTGCCGTGTTCTGGTACACTTATAAACGAGTGCGATCGGAATCGGAACCATTTTGTGCGGAACATCGGAACATTTAACATGTGAGTCCTTCTAAACTCTCATGTTTAATACCCGAGAGAAGTTTTGAGACTGACTAAGCTTAACCTTCAGTCATACTTCGTCCGAAGGGAAGGCATAGAAGAATGGGATGAGAAAGAGCAACGTCGACCAGGAGAATGGTCTTCGTTATCAGTGATGAAAAAAATGGAAATAAAAAGATGATATAACGGCATGGAACAAAGGAAACAATCGTATTGGGGACAGAGGCAACGATGTAAAACAGGACAGCACCTGCGGTAACGGCTGTTCGGGTCACAGAGCCAAATTGGAAAATACAATGCTCATCTGCTCATCGAGTCATCACTGAGCTTAGATATCATCTGATGTTTCGGGTTCAATTAGCTACCGGCAAGTCAGAGTTCTTCTGCCTTACAAATTCATTTGCGACGAAGAAGATCCGATGAGATTGGATACTACTGATTGGCAGTAACACACACACCTGCTGTTGCGAATGACGATAGACTACGAAAATATAAGCGATTGGAGGCAAAGACAACGGCAACGGCGACGATGAGAGCGAAAAATACGCCCCAAGACAATAGCTTTAGCTGTCAAACTTAACTACGTGATCTAGGTCACCCGTGCCCAGAAGGTGTACCGTTCATATCTATCGGAAAGAAGTTGAACAGATCCGTGGTCAAGACATCAAAGTTGAGATCAGGAAACGGATTCAAGCCCGGTGCCGTTCCCGGTAAAGACATTGCATAGTCTTGAGGCAACGGCTCGGGTTGCTGGCGATACCCCCTATTGCTGAAATAAATCAAGTCATCCGAGGTCGTCGCGCGATTCTCATCGAGCGAAGGAAATTGTATGCTCGTTGGGAACCGGTCGCCGGCCCATGAAGGAGACGAATCTGTGGATCCTCCGTCTAGGGTAGTCCTTGACGCGTTGATGGAGCTCTCGACCGCCCACACGATTCTCTTGATGGACCGCACGGCGTTTGTGACGGGGTCATCTCCGACGAGAGCATGCAAGCCGGAGATGGCCATTTGGATATACTCGAGGTTATGCGGGTGTTTGGCTGGATGGCGGAGGCTGTCGTAAAGGAGAACTGCGCAGCATGACTCGATGAAGAAAGCGTGATACCTGCGCGACTGACAGGCGCGTTAGTGATTGTCGTCATCAGATGAATTGGAAAGACTCACGTTACAATCCTCAGGCCCGTGAAGCTTGCTGCTAGTGAAAGCCAATGCGTCTTGGGCCGCATCTGTTGCATGCCTGCATGCCTGTCTAAGCCAAATATCGCCTGTTTGCCCAGCGCCATTCCCAGACTGAAGAGCAGCTTCAGCTATTAGAAATGGGCGGAAGATGAGCAAAATGACATGGAAGTAGACTTATAGCCAGTCAGAATGGATGCGATGATCATGGGATACTCTGCAACATACCGTTGTGCATTAGCAGTGATGTTTCGGCATTCCACACCTCCTGTTGCGCCGGGATCACGGAGCCGAGGCCCCACTTGTCGCCGTATTGACGGACCTGAGCGTGGAGCTTTTCGGCCTTTCCGTAAAGTTGCCGGAGCGAGTCAGTCCTGCGGTTATAAATCGACTCCACAGCCTCTTCGATAATGCTTGCGAATTGGCACAGAGCCACCATCGTCGGCTGTCCGTCAGGGAATGCACAAGAGGCAAAGTCTGCCTTTCCAACCATGCTTCGTCGCCCGACAACTAGACTCAGCCATCTGCACAGCGTCAGCCTGTTGTTCGGTTGCAATGAATCAACAAGTACTAGTTGACTTACATCTCGAGAAAGTAAAGCGACCAGACAGTAATCAGACGAGCTTGGATCTCATCAGGGCAAGAGACGGAGCTCGTGGTTCCTACGTGCAGGCCCATCGCAAGGGCTTTTCTGCTCGCGACTCCCATGTGAAGATATGCCGAGTTAGGCCGCCCCATGTTGAGCTGGTAGTGAGCCAACAGCATGGAATACTGAATCATAGGCAATGTAACAGAGTCCTCGTAGATGACGGCCTCTTTCTTGGCATGGATGAAGAGTGATTCCGCGACGTCGGTCAGCGGTGTGCCCAGCGCTCCAAGGGCAAGAGCTGCGAGCAACACCGCCTTTCGCTGGGGCTGAACATCTGACTCGGGGCCCGGCTCGTACAGACTGCTGAGTGTCTCTTCCAGCTGTGGATCCGTGAAAAAAGGCAGTGTCGATAGATGCGTTATCTTGAACTGCTGCATGAAGTCCCTTGCTTGCTCTATCGGGATGGGGCAGCTGACGGGCTGCGTAGGCTCCACAATCACCTTGAGCGGCATGCCGAAGAAGATGTTTCGTTGCATGAACATGTCCAATCCCGGCCCCCCCTCCTGCACGTCCCGGCCATGATTCTGCCCGTACTGCCCTGAAAGAAGTCCACGATGGATCTGCTGCAGAAACGCCGAGTTCGACGAAGGGCCATAGTAAAGCCGGGAGCTATCGGTCGACTTGGGAGCATGATGTGCAGCAGCAACGCTGTGATAGACCTCCGTCTGCGCCACCTGCTGCTGGTGGTCTTCCGCTAGACGCCGGGACACGGCCTCGTCACACGGGCCATGATCCGGCGTTGCTGCCGACACGCCGTCCCCGGCTCCGGCATCCTTCGCCGCCCTGCTGTGCCGTGCAGAGAGCCTGATGCGTGGCTTGAGGCGATATATGCAGTCTGAAGGCTTGTTCCCGCATTGCTGACAGGGCTTGTCACCCGAGCATTTGATCTTGCGCCGACGGCACGGCTCGCACGCCTTAGGGATCTTCACTGTGGATCGCATCCCGAGTTCTCCGAAGACGTAAGCCCTGCGGCCCCAATCAGCCGGAAGCAGATTTGAAGGAATTTGGGCTCGATTGAAAAGATCCGTAGAGATAAATCCTCAAATCCGATGGGAAAAGGTCTGAATTCGGAGTGTGGTCGTCGAAGGTGGGAGATGGAATGTGAAAAGGAGTCGGCGCAGCGGCAGACTGTAATTCCGTAAATCCGAAACACCGTAATTCCGCCACCGAATGTACCAAAAAGACCCACCGCCGGACCTGACAACATCACCAACTAGGGAGTATGGGAATCACCGCCAAATCCCGGGTGGAGGCTGATTGCCAAGTTGATTCATCAGCATGTTATCTCGATAGTATATAGGTAAAATGTCAAACTCAAACTGCGCCTTGCCCATCCCCAGCTCATCGTGATTTGCCTTCACCTATGTTCTTAATTCCGGTCGATGCACGATGACTTCGCTTCCAGCATACGACAGTGACCAGACGGTCCAAGGCGAGCCCAGCTTGAGTGAAGCATCGAATTCGCCTACAGGACTGACGGTGACATTTCGAGATGTGAGCATTCGGGTTCATGGTATGGGCGAAGACTTTGGCTCTACTTGCCTGTCTGTTCTTGGCGACTTGAATCCGTTTGGCAAGAGCAAGAAGTCTCAGAGGGTAGGATGAAATCCCGCATGTTCACGAGAGTAATAACTAACTTAATTGACAGAATATTCTCCACAGCATCTCAGGTCAAGTTTGTCCGGGCGAAATGGTACGTTGAATGTCACCCCTCGTCTATGCAACGCTCTACTCACATGGACAACTTTAGCTATTGGTTCTCGGAAGACCTGGTTCTGGCTGCACCTCACTACTCAAGATCATCTCCAACCAACGAGAAGAGTTCCACCACGTTAGCGGAGATGTTAGATATGGCAACCTAGGCCAAAAGGGGGCCCGGCAGTTTCGGAATCAAATCGTCATGAATACCGAAGGCAAGTTTACTGTTGTCTGAGAGTTGAGTTCAGCGAAGTTAACTGCTTCTCAGAGGACCTGCATTTCCCAACTCTTGAGGTCAAACAGACTCTCGATTTTGCCAACGCAACGAAGCTTCCTGCAACAAGACCAGACCATCTTTCCAATGGAGATGAATGGGTCTCTCACAAGACGAGTGCGATTCTCGACTCCCTAGCGATCGGCCACACAAAAGATACGATGGTTGGTGATGAGGTGATCCGGGGCGTTTCGGGAGGTGAGCGGAAGAGGGTTTCCATTGCTGAAGTCATGGCAACGCAGGTTAGTTTACCCCAGCTTGGCATTGCTCCTGGCGCTACTAACATAAAGGAATAGGCTGCAGTGCAGTGTTGGGACAACTCGACGAGAGGCTTGGATGCCAGTAACGCGTTGGACTTTGTTCGTGTCCTACGAAAGATGGCAGACGAAGAGCAAAAGTCAATTGTTTCGACTCTGTATCAGGCTGGCAATGGCATCTACGATCTCTTCGACAAGGTTCTTGTTCTTGCCGAAGGCAGAGAAATCTACTATGGCCCCACATCCGAGGCTAAGCAGTATTTTGAGGACATGGGCTTTGAGTGCACTCCAGGAGCCAATATTTCCGACTTCCTCACTTCGGTTTCAGTCCATACCGAGCGCCAGATCCGACCTGGTTTTGAGGAGAAGATTCCAAACACTGCGGCTGAGTTTGAAACTGCGTATAAGGCCAGTTCTACCTACGCCCGTATGTCGACCGAGATGGACGCGAAATCGGCAAAGTCTCTTTCAGACGAGGTGGATAATCTGTTCGCTGTTCGGCATCAGGAGAAGAACCGCTCGTTGCAGTTTCTTTCACGCGAAGGAAGCCCTTACCAAGTTTCCTTTGTCAGTCAAGTCCGCACTTGCATTAGAAGGTATGTCTGCAACCGCAGCTGTGCCTCGAGGTCGTTGCTTGAGCTGACGAAAACATAGACAATTCCAGATCATGTGGGGTGATCGATGGTCCAACATTCTACAGATCTTTTCAGCTCTTGTCATGGCCTTGGTGACTGGAAGCCTCTTCTACGACCTCCCTGACGACAGTACATCCATTTTCCTGAGGCCCGGCGCTCTTTTCTTTCCCATCCAACTCTTTGCCATGAACAAAATGTCTGAGACGACGGCGTCTTTCATGGGTCGGCGCATCATCTCCCGACACAAGCGCCTGTCCTTCAACCGACCTGGGGCATACGCTCTGGCGTGTGCAGCAACCGATGTGCCAATGACGGTCGTGCTATTCTCACTCTTCCAAGTAGTCTACTACTTCATTGTCAACTTCCAGAGGGAAGCTAGCCACTTCTTCACCAACTGGTTCGTGCTCATCTTATGCACACTTTGTTTCGCGTCAATGTTCCGGATGATCGGAGCGTGGTGTAAGCATTTCGGACTTGCATCGCAGATTACGGGATGGACGACGATGGTTTGCATGGTTTACGCTGGTAAGTCGCGTTCACCAAAGATACAAGAGTCAACAGCTAATTGGTCTCAGGATACCTTATTCCCGTGCCTAGCATGCCTGTCTGGTTCCGTTGGATCTCATGGCTCAACCCAGCGACATATACCTTCGAGGCCATCATGGCTACGGAAATGGGCGACCTCGCACTTGATTGTGTCGCCCCTCAGTACATCCCGTTCGGGCCTAGCTACAACGACAATCTGTTCCGTAGCTGCACCGTCCGTGGCTCCACACCCGGCTCTTCGCTCATCGACGGCGAGAGGTACATGAACGCTCAGTACTCGGTCTATCGCGCACACATCTGGCGTAATGCCGGCATTCTAATCGGACTTTGGATCTTCTTTGCATTCATGACGGCTGTTGGTTTCGAAGTCAATCTTCACACCGACGCAGGCTCGAAGATTTTGTTCGATCGAAGGAGTCGCCAGAAGCAGATGGTCCGGGCTGCCGACGAGGAGAAGGGGGGTAGCTCGCCAACTTCCCAGGATGTGTCACCCATGTCCCTTAGCAGGACTGTCTTTACGTTCAAGGATATCAGCTATTTCGTTCGTCACGGCGGTCAAGATCTGCAACTTCTTCGGGGTGTGTCAGGCTTTGTCAAGCCAGGCCAGCTTGTTGCGTTGATGGGCAGCTCCGGTGCTGGCAAGACGACGCTCATGGACGTCTTGGCGCAGAGAAAGGACAGTGGCCGCATCGAGGGCAGCATTATGGTCAACGGCAAACCGCAAGGAATTAGCTTCCAACGTACGACTGGATATTGCGAGCAGAACGATGTCCACGAGCCAACCGCAACTGTCTGGGAGAGCCTTCTTTTCTCGGCAAGACTGCGTCAGAGTCATACAATCCCGGACGCGGAGAAGCAAGATTATGTTCGAAGCATTATGGACCTACTTGAACTCACGCCTTTGCAACATGCTATTGTTGGCAGTAAGTTACATGTCCATTGGTGACTATGGACCTCGAGCATTTACTGACTCATTCCGCCAGCCCCTGGATCAGGTCTGTCTATCGAGCAACGAAAGCGCCTCACCCTCGCCACCGAACTCGTCGCCAAACCGTCTCTCCTTTTCCTTGACGAGCCTACATCTGGCCTTGATGGCCAGTCAGCTTACGAAATCTGCCGCTTCATGCGTAAGCTTGCTGCTTCAGGTCAGACGATCATCTGCACCATCCACCAGCCCTCTGCAACCCTCTTCGATGCTTTCGACGTGCTTCTTCTTCTCGCACGTGGAGGAAGAACGACGTACTTCGGGCCGACGGGCAAGAACTCTGCTACAGTGATCGACTACTTTGGCCGCAATGGAGCGCCCTGTCCCCCGGACTCTAACCCTGCCGAGCACATTGTCGATGTCGTCCAGGGTCGCTTCGGAACGGAGATCGACTGGCCGCAAACATGGTTGGAGTCTCTCGAGAGAGAATCTGCAATGTCCGAGCTGAATTCCCTGAATGCTGTAGAGAGCCAGGAGAAAGACCAAGTGTCTTCTTCGGCTGCTACTTCAGATGACCTTGACCAGCACACCGGCTTCGCGACCCCGATTTCCTATCAAGTCTATCTTGTTACCCTCCGTCAGCTGGTTGCTCTCTGGCGCAACCCAGACTACGTGTGGAATAAGATTGGACTGCATATCACTAACGGACTTTTTGGTGGCTTTACGTTCTACATGCTCGGGTCCGGCACGTTCGATCTGCAGCTCCGACTGATGGCGGTGTTCAATTTCGTCTTCGTCGCCCCAGGATGCATCAACCAGCTACAGCCGCTATTCATCCGCAACCGGGATGTCTTCGAGACGCGCGAGAAGAAATCCAAAACCTACCACTGGTTCGCATTCGTAGCTGCGCAGCTGCTGTCAGAAACGCCCGTTCTGATAATCTGCGGAACCTTGGCGTTCGTGACCTGGTACTTCACTGTTGGATTCCCCCCCGAGGCCAGTGTGTCGGGACAAATCTACCTCCAGATGATCCGTGAGTTCGCCATCGGTATCCCACGTTCATGCCTATCCATGCTAACGCAAACTGTGTTCAGTCTACGAGTTCCTGTACACCTCTCTTGGCCAAGCCATCGCTGCCTACAGCCCGAACGCTTTCTTCGCGGCGCTTGCGAACCCCATCATCATTGGGGCGGCTTTAATCAACTTTTGCGGCGTTGTGGTCCCGTATTCACAGATCACAGCATTCTGGAGGTACTGGCTATATTGGTTGGACCCCTTCACTTACCTTATCCAAGGTCTTCTTGAACCTGTGTCATGGGGTGTTGAGGTACAATGCAAGTCTGATGAGCTGAGCTACATCCCTCTCCCGAGCAACAGTACATGTGGAGAGTATATGGCAGACTTCCTATCTTCAGAGGCGGGATATGTGGTCGACCCGGCCAATGGCACCTCGTGCGCGTACTGCCCGTACACGACCGGAGCAGATTACATGCGGACCATGAACATCAACGACTCAAGCTACAGCTGGCGCGGTGTAAGTCTCGTCCATTGCAAAAATTTGACATTATTGCTTACATGCTTCAGGTTGGCATCACAGCCCTTTTCTGTGTTTCGTCCTACGCCCTGGTGTTTCTCATGATGAAGCTCAGGACCAAAACAACCAAGACAGCGAATTGAAATACTGTGGTCTGCAGGTCACGGACGATTACTGCAGAGCCATGTACCATTCATTCCTTGCATACAGAGGGCGGACGGAAGGCGGACGAAGGGAAAGACTGATTCGTGTCCGAAATAATACCCTGAGAGTTTCATCGGACATGACAGGGCTGGTCGGACATGAGTAGTCATCATAGCATTTCTCGCCGCCAATTGCTCGTAAGAGAAGACTAGTAATATCAGGCGATATAGATACTATCGTGGTCCCTGTTGCCGTTGTTCACTTCGTCGTCGGGGCCCATGTCGGTGTTATTCCCGTTGTCGTCTGTGGCTACCGCCAGTCCCAACAGCAAAACTCTTTGTGCTTTTGTACGTTCAACAAGGGTTCTGAAATAGGCTGTCTGTACAACAGGCTAAATGTCCTGTGAAAAATCTTAAAAATAGCTCTCGCCTACATCGAACAGATGTTCGAATCACATTAATGTGGCAGTATCTTCACCGCCGGCGTGCGCTTTGCGCGCCAAGACGGCTCGCTGCTTGACTGCCGCCGCGCATGCAGTTTCAACAATGTTCGTTGGCCGACCGGGCAGAGCCGATGAATATCATCTAGTCAATGAACTCTCTGCGTCCGATGACAAGTGGCAGTGCTCGTCCCGTTTCCGAAAGGATCTGTCGATCTTGAAAACGCCTATGGGAGGCAAGAATCAGCCGCCTGAAAAGCCATCTTGGCGTCGCTTCAACTTCACGCCCGCGAGACTATATCGATGGCGGGAAGTTTTTCTGCCCTGCAGCGGCACCTTGCGGAATACGATACCGACGATCTCGAGACCGAACTACGAAGGGCCTGGCCAGTTCACGCTACTTGAATAGACGCAAACGCAACAGACTGGGGCCATCCCATCTCGCAGCTTTACTCAACTTGGGCCATTTGACCGAGGGGTCCCCGAAGAATAGAGCTGACAGCTGAAACAAAATGAACACGGGTTCCTTCAGTACGACTTCACCTCAGCTCGCAATTCTCGCAATCACATGCACCAAACCCCTACCCACACAGGATGATGACTTATCAACGGACTTTGGCGGACTTTTCGCTTCCTTTGGTGACTGCTACACTATTTGTTTGATCAACGGAATCGTGAATTCAAGTTGGTTCATCCAAAATCGTCTATGGCGGCTTCTTGTGGAGCAGACATGTAGCAACAACGTGGATTCTGCCCACCGTGCCGTGGTTGGGCTGGATCACTCCCATCATACTACTATCAACTGCTTGCAACATAAGCCGCGCGCTGCATTGTCAATTACGGAAATAACGCAATGACTACAATTTCCCATCGTCTTGTAATACCCTCAACATACCATTGGATGCCAACATGCTTCTCCTAAACTCACGTTCGGCGATCCGCGGGCGTCCGGCGCGTGTTCGTTTGGTTGATGGTGCTGTCGGTTTTAAGAAATTACGTCTTTTAACGTTGGGGGCCGCAGGTAATGGAGGCGGCCCATCCCGGCTTCCGATGCGCCTGGGCGCGGGGTAGCAGTGGATAGAGGCGGCCGGCCGTTCCACGGCCGGGATGGCCATGGCTTCTATCTCCGGTTACCCACCAAGGTTTCGGCGATCACTCGTCGGCTGTTGCACTGATTGGCCTCTGCAGGTTTCAAGTCCCCGACTTCTTAAGTTGTGTGGCGGCATGATGGCAATGTCCGGTGGGTTCCCAGGCAAGCCTGGCTAGCGCTGGGCAGCAAGCGAAATGCACGTCAATTATTCTGCCGTAATTACATTGGGAACTTCTGTGAGTAATCCCAACCTTAGAAGATTGCGAAATTACGATGGCTGCGTCGAAAAGTAGCAGACCGGTTTGGCGACGGCTGTAGAAACACGGCGCACTTTTCGTGCATGATGATAGACAGCCCCGCAAAGCTCATAGTTGAGCCAGAGTCATGCAATGACTATTGAGTATGAAGTTGTTGTTGATCGGAATCATCGGATGGCTCGACCGGCCTTACTTAGGACTGAACTGTCAGCGTCACATTCGCTAAGACCAAGGTTGTTGACTGACAGAGACAATTTTGGGATGATGATTCTTGGGCAATGTTTTATCACAAAGGCTTGAAGTTTAACAATAATTACGTACAATGCTTCTGGGCGTATTGAGTACACGTCTTCAAGATTTCTATCAAGCTTCCGGTTGAGAACTTCTGGTTCTTTCTAGATTGACAGATTTCTGGAATCAAAACCCGATCAGATTGATTGCTTCGAGTTCGAAAGTTTCTATGCTTAGATTCTTATAGATCCGACGACGATGTTCAAGATCAGACAACCGCACCACGACGTGAGACGTCGATGCACGCGAATGTAATTCGATGCTGTCATCAGTAATGGCACGAATAATGTCTATGTATGAGCTGAATTCTTTGTATGAACTTGCAATAGCCGAGATGCATTCACGCGGCGTTTGTGGATGGGCGAGTTTGCCGCCATACGGCCGTAAAATACCACGGTACTGGGCACATCACTGGGCGATGATGCCGTGATGTTTGACGGAGTGAGTCGGGACCTCGAGCTGGTCTGAGCCGGAACATTCGATCCGCACATATTCTAGAACGCTTCTGGATCAGGGCCGCTGGGCGTTCGGGGTTAGCGGCTATGCTATCGCCCGCCTCCTGCGTATTGGCTGCCTCTAATTAAGCTTGGCTTGCATGTACCAATTGGCTTCGTGAGTCCCTTCTGGGTGAGGAGTTGCCTCTGTTGAGGCGACAAGGATGCAGGGAAGGGTTCGTCGTGATCTGGAAGCAAAGTCAGAATTGCGCTCTGATATAAACCCAATCGGATTCGGATAACGGGCTACGGACTCTCTCACCGACTGGTCTGTTGCGTGTGAACATGGCTTGCTCCATGTGCCCATACCTGCATCTCCGGTGAATAAGGTGTGGTGAGAGGGGGGAATGGGGTAGGGGACCCCCATCAGTGAGGTCCCTTATCATTGCTTTGGTCTCTTGTCTTACTCGACGTCTGATATTCGGCCGCCAGGGATTCCGTGCGATGACGGCTTTGTTTGACTTCGCGTGCTGCTGATCACTCCACCCCGCTAGGAAATGCGTTGCGCCTCGACCCTGACAACATCCGACCCCTCGACGAACTCTAATCGGAACTAGAGCGGCCGGGCGAGTCAGGGCAGGTGCGGGACGCTCCTCGTCGCATGTCGTCAAACTTCCTTTTATCAGCTGCTCACAACCCCCTCTTTGCTCACGGCTCCGGATTAGAAGGGTTTTGCTACCTAGGAACACCTCACTGATCACACAAAATCCGCTGTTGAACCGTGAAGCGATGAGCCTCTTCGCGTGGTTCACAGCTCGAGTCGAGCGACTGAAGCAATGAGCAACACCACAGGCCCGGTTGGGGCGTTCCCGCCCCCGCCGGGTGTCACACCGAATTTCAATGATCCCACAGATGCTGGTTGGACGTTGAATGTTGCTGGGATGAGTGTGATGGCTGCTGTTACGACGTGTTTCTTTGGGATAAGGACATATGTAAAGTTCTCCTACGGGAGCCAGTTTCTTCCTGAAGACTGTAAGCGGTCCTGAAAGAAGAGAACTGCTTGGGCATTGCTAACCTGTAGCTAAGGGACATGTGCGATCGCATATGTGAGATTCTCCTACTTCGAAGTTCGGTTGTCGAAATAATTCAAACTGACCAGAGCAGGCTCTCATCATACTTTACACCTCGACGGTGTTTGTCAGTAAGTATGGAGTCTCCGCCGACCAGGATCGAGTTTCTGACAGGCGGGGCTAGTGGCACACTATGGCGAAGGATATCACGCTTGGGACCTAACGAAAGAGTCCTACCAAGAAGTGATGAGGGTAGGTTTGCTATGTCACCAAAGCGTTGATCAGGAGGCTCACTAGATGACCGCAGTGGCTCTACGCAAGCTCCATCATCTATTGTCCCGCCGCCTATTTCACGAAGGTCACCCTTCTCCTCCTCGAAGCTCGAGTTTTCTCCATACACGAAAAGATCGCTCGCGGCATCAGGATATTCGTAATCATCCTCCTCGTGTGTTATATTCCCATACAAACGCTTAAAACGATTATCTGCATCCCAATTTCCGCCTTCTGGGACCCGCATACGCCGAATCCGAAATGTCTCAACCAGCGCAAAATATTCATTGCCGATCTTGCACTAGCGATCATAACCGACTTTTTTATTCTTTGCATCCCATTTCCCCTGCTTTGGGGGCTCAGGATGCCACTTCGGAAGAAGCTGAAAATTCTTGTTCTCCTTGGCGCCGGGGGTGTGGCCACGGCCGTGACGATATATCGATTGTATCTGGTCATCCTATTTCTTTCATCCACTGACGTAACATCCGACTTCGTCGTTCTGGATCTCGTAACGCGAGTGGACCCGAATTCGGTCGATCTGTTGACGCAACTGACGTTGCACAGGTGTCTGGAACTCGTCATCGGCATTGTATGCGCCTGTCTGCCGTCAACGAATATTCTTTACGAACGGATACGCCGAGGCCAGCCTGCAAAGACAGGCAACCTCCCCGATAATACAAGCGACTACCAGAAGAGGAGCGACAATTCCTCCTACTGGTGGAGTATGATGACCGGGAAACAAACACGACCTGCACGAACGGAAGTGGCCACTGTCGCCGAGGCGGTGCGTAGCCCCAAACATGCCGCGACATTCGACACCGAGCTCGCAATATTGACTGGACAACCCATGGGTGTGCGTCCTCCTACTGGTGAACCGGAGCAAAAGTCGCCGTCCCTTTCAGTACTTGTACACAACGACGAGATATGGACGTACGATCCACGGGCGAACTCTATCGACGGCCGACGCGAAGGATGGCTTGCTCCCGGTGGCGAGAGCTCCGCGGAAGGGGCCTCACCGGCCAGGTCCATTTATCAACATCACGCACTCGAAGCTAGGAGGTCATGGGAGGCTGTGTGGGAGCGAACTATGCCGCCTGAACGCCTGAACCCTGTATCGGAGGTTAGAATGGCGGGCCCACCCCAGCTGAAGCTCACCACTCACCCACCACCTGACTGGGAAGAGCTGGATCAAGATATGTCTGAGACGTCAAAAGTTGACTTTCGTTGAATTACAAAGATACCCAACAATGTTTGCGCGGAAGTGTCAAGGTTCGAGGCTGCTGAGATATCGCGGTAACATGAGCGCGGCGGAGTTACAAGGTGGAAGACAAAGCATCAGAAACGTAGACAAGCAATTGTCATTAACTAACGTGGTTACGGGGAGCTAACGTGAGTGTCGACAGCTGAAGCTGCAATCATTATGTATTGGTGACAGGATGACACAACTCTCGCTACCCAAGTTACGACGTCGCTGTACATACAGGGAGACGAGATAAGGGGCTCTCCAATTTCATGCGTCCCTGCGACCACATATCCTTTCTGTAAGATGCTTCATAATTTGGGGTCATCCAGCAAAGTCGCGCAACACCAGTCTGTTGAACAGCTATCATTCCTCTGATTCTGGGCTCACCAAATATTTGATTGACTCAACGAAAGTGTTGATGAATTAAAAGAATGTTGCATCAGCTGTGCCCGGACAATCATGCATTGGTGCCTCGGTGGGATAGTCCGACTGAGAACGATGGCAGGTAGGGACGGTAACAACGAAATAGTTGGCAACGACTACTGCGAGGGGACGGCAGTGATTCAAAGAACAGCAGTCGCTTTCGCACAAAGGAAATAAGTGCCCAACTAAACCCCAGCCCATTGAAGAATAGGCACCAGCCTGAATAGAAAACAGGTAGGAAAAATTCATGTCATACAAGAAACATCAGTCACCGATTTCTTATTTCAATTTATCATTTCCAGCCGTCGAGTTAGCAACCTGTTCGCTTGGCTGAGCAAGTTTTCATAACTGAAGCCCACAATGTGTTTCCAGCCAATGAGTAGAGAGTCTTCGGCAGAAGCCCCACACCCCTTACGGTTGAACTACGAGTCTGTAGAGTTGAAACTCAATGTTGAGAGTGAAGCAAAAGATTTCTACCTAAGGTAAATATCTGCACATTTCTGTACGGTGGTTGTAATCGTGTGAAATCTTCCCAGAGACAGGTCCTTATCTTCGACTGCTCACTGTCGTATCACGCGTGACCAAGAAAGTCTTGGCGGTTGAGTGGATCCAGACACTGGGAGTTCACCCTCAAGTTACGCGACGGCGACGGCGCGGTTTCTTCAACACCGGCAACAAGAGTCACCGCAACTTGCAACACGCGACTCGGAGTGGCCCCGCGGACCTTTTGTAAACCATCAAGGTTGAAATAGAATTACCAGTTGCGATTGGTGCGGAATTAATGCAGTGTGACAAGTTGCAGTGTAACGATTGAATTACACAGCAGGAGACGGGATCTAGATACGCGATTAGACAACTTCCCGTATCTCGCACGAACGCAATCTCTTTACGCCATTTATGGATACTACGCGGAGAGTTCTTTTTGAGAAGGTGAATGCAAGACAAGAGGCCAGAATGACGCTGTGACTTGGCAACGCATAGTGGTTTCTCAGCACTTTTGCTGGCCAAGCATGCGGGAGCGTTACAACGGCGCTCTTGGCAGACCAGTGGATGCCGACAGATACGATGCGCCCAGAGGCTCGATCGAGGATTCGTCCCGGACGGCTGTGCTTGTTGCCAAGCTCGGGCGGGTATGTAGGTAAATTTGCGGCGAAGGGTGGTGGACTGCCGGGCCGGGGCTTCGGCGGTGCTGATTCGTTGACCCCAAGTACCGAGCGGAGCATACCCCGAACACACCTGCTTCTTTCGGCAGGAGGATCCGCATCGCGACATTGGTAGCTCGTTGGTTGCTTTTGGCAGTCCCCCCAACCGCTGCCTGCTGACCTTCTCTTTCCAGTCAGAACGCAGAAGAATAATCATGTTTTTGACTCGCCAAGTGGCGGGGGAGACACTGCGACGCCCGAGAGGCAGCTTGGGAAGGGGGGAGAAGACGAGATGCCAAGATGTAGTTGGAATAAGATAAAAAGAGGCATTCTTCTCCCCGGGTTCTGGTGCTTGTAGTCAGTAGGCTCTACACCTCTCTCCGCTCTTTGACACGCCAAGCGATCGTCGTGGTTCAACCGCCAAGTCAACCCCCTGCTCCAGTCAATCCTCAGCACGTTCTTTTGAACCATTCAGAATGAAGGCCACCACCTTGGCAACCTTTGCCTTGTCGGCGCTCCTCCAGGGAGCCTCCGCCAAGGAGATCCCGCCCAGTGAGCTCGTCTCTGAGATCTACGACAGCGGTTCCGTCCACATGGACCTCATGGCCCGTAAGAAGGTAAGCGATTCACAACTTGTTCCGGCCAAGACAACGTCTGCTAACACAGTCAATTAGGAATCATGGGACCGCCAGAGAGCCGCCGGAGAGATGGAGTCCACTGCTTACCGCAGCCGTCTCGCCGAGGAGGGCCCCGTCTCCTGCGTGAACGGTGTTGCTGAGGTCGTTCCTGGCGATGCCATGAACACCTTCAAGTGCAGCAACATCGACTTCTACGACTTCAAGAGCCACTCCGACCTTGGCTCCACCACCGGTGAGGGTTCTTCCTCCTGGGGCTGGACCAGCCCTGACGGTCGCGAGTTCGCTGTCATCGCCCAGGCTGACGGTGCCGCCTTCGCCGAGGTCACCAAGGAGGGCAAGCTCGTCTACCTCGGACGTCTGCCTCAGTACTCCACCACGTCCATCTGGCGTGAGCTTCGTGGTTACAAGAACTACATTGTCATTGGCAGTGAAGCTGCCCGTCACGGTGTCCAGATCTTTGACCTGACCAAGGTCAGTTATGCTCAGTGTTTTCGGGTGTCTTCAGTTGAGTTTACTAACATTGCACCAGCTCTTGGACCTTGACCCCGCCAACCCCAAGACCTTCGACCCCAAGGCCGACTTGACCTCTTGGTGGAACGGTCTCCCCAACGGCTCTACTCACAACATCGTCATCAACGAGGAGAAGGAGTACGCCGTCGCCGTCGGTGCTCAGCCTCGCTCCAGCACTTGCCGCTCTGGTCTGATCTTCATTGACCTCAGCGACCCTGAGAACCCCACCTCTCCCGGTTGCGCCGGTGGTGACGGTTACGTCCACGACGCTCAGTGCCTCGTCTACCGCGGCCCTGATGAGAAGTACTTCGGCCGTGACATCTGCTACGGCTACAACGAGGACACCCTGACCATGTGAGTCTACATGAATGATGTTTTAAGGTTCCTAAGCTAACAATGCTATCAGCTACGATGTCACTGAGAAGAACACCACCAACATCATCTCTCGTACCTCTTACGAGGGTGCTAGCTGTACGTAACACACCTTAGTCCGAATGATCAAAGTCACTAACAAGATGGGAAACAGACACTCACCAGGGTTGGGTTACCAACACCGAGTGGCAAGAGTACCTCGTCCTCGACGACGAGTACGACGAGTACGACGCCACTGGCCCCGCTGCCTCTGGATACCCCATCACCTACTTCTGGGACATCCGCTCCCTCGAGGCTCCTAAGCAAACTGGTGTCTACAAGAGCGCCGCCTACGGTATCGACCACAACCAGTTCGTCATTGACGGTTTCGCCTACCAGAGCCACTACGGCGCCGGCCTCCGCGTTATCGACGTCTCTTCCCTGCCCGAGGACCCCACCGGCGGCAAGGTCACCGAGGTCGGCTTCTTCGACATCTACCCCGAGAACGACGCCGAGCCCAACGGAGGATCCATCGACTTCGTCGGCACCTGGAGCCACTACCCCTACTTCAAGAGCGGCTACATCCTGGTCAACACCATTGAGCGTGGTGCCTTCCTCGTCAAGCGCACTGCCTAGATCGCTACTTGAGGCAACTAAATCCGCAACCCTCCGGGGGCGTGGGCTTGCATTGCTCCTTTGAGTTGCAGGTTGAATGCTCGGCATGCCGAGATGCTCATTTACATCTTCATGTTAATAGTAATCACAATTGTTGATAAATACCAATACCAATTTTTGATGCCATTTTCTGAATTTTAATGATGAAGAGTGTGATTTCGTAAGCGCGCATCAAGGTTAGCCTGACATCCGTCTCGAAGACAGAATTTCTGCCCACTTCGGCCACGCGTCTGAATCCTTGCTGAATCGAAATTTCCCTGGAAGACTGGCGAACAGACTGCGTTGAGACGACGCTTTGACTTCGCCAATTTGCCTAACGTTGAAAAGAGTTCCCAACCACCGAACTAATAGTGCCGAGCAGAGGACGAGACAGGCCTGCACAGACATCAGACTGAACGGTAGTAAGCGCGGCAAACATTTGGAGGCGACAAAGCTCCAGTGATCTACAAATTGCAACCCCTTACTTTGTGGAATATTTCCAGGGTCGGAAGGCCGGTCTTCAGTACGCGGTTTAGTTGTTCTAGAAGCTGGCAAATCGTGGATAGGCTTTCGGCCCTCGAACGTTGCTGAAGGGGGCCACTAGAGGAATAAAGTTGAGGCTACGAAACAATTGCGAGTCATCAAAAGGACGTCCGATCTTCTACCTTACTTGTACAGTCGTTCCCCCGCGTTCCCGCGTCTCCGTGTGTCCGTGGCTGTTTTGTGCCGGGCAGCGACTCTTCCGCCGAGCGTCCAAGCATTGATGAAAACGTCCACGGAACCCACGGAATCATGATGCTGAAAATACGGCAAAGCTCATGAACGCGCCTACGATTCAATTGACCGAGAGCTAAAGACGTATGATTGCCGCCTGAGTCGGGGCGTCGAGGTGACGCAATAGCAGCAGCAGCAGCCATGGGGACGGAACAGCTGGATAGCATGCTGCGGCGAGATGCAAGGTTTCTGAGAGAGATTTGGTCATGGTTTACGGTCGGAGCCGTCGTCATTTTCCTCCGTTTCTTCGTTCGGATCCGGATGGTTGGGCCCAAAGGCCTCAAAGGTGACGACTATGTCATGTTCGTGGTGAGTATCTCAATCGAGTCATCGAGGGGTCGACTTTCTGACACAAGAGATTGCGCAGACCTTAATCATGTACACTATCTGTTTCGTGATGGTGGACCTTGTTTGTAAGTTGCCAGAATTTGTCCCAATTGGCAACAACACAGATTCAAGACAGACAAGGGAAGAGTCATGCTGACAGGAATGTGCAGACCGCTACGGCACCAACGTGGACCTTACTGCTGATCAGATAAAACTCCTCAACGATGAAGAAGTTGCTCGATTAGTGGAGGGTTCTAAGTTCCAGCAAGTTGCTTGGTACTCATACACGGCATACCTATGGTCCATGAAAGGCACATTGCTCTTCTTTTAGTAAGATGATAGGCTGGGTTTGCAATGGCCGTTCTGCTAACTACTTCAATAGCAGACGGATGACCTTTGATCTGTGGCAACACGCAAGGGTACTGACATACCTGACTTGGTTCACAATAGCTGCATACCTAGCAGTTGTTGGCACAATAACCTTCAGTTGCCTACCGTACGTATGACCCGTCTGGCGATTTGAAGGCTTTGGTACTAACTACAACGGCAGCTTTCAGGATAATTGGGGAGTGCGGCCCCTTCCGAGTGAGAAGTGCGTCTTCAAGGCCCAGAATCTACTAGTCACGACATTCTTCAGTCAGTCTCGTCCTACTCCAGCCGCTGCTCTAGCTATCCCATTGTTGACTGTCTCCTAGATGTCATAACAGATGCGGCCATCCTGTGTCTGCCACTGCCAGTCTTGCGAGAAATCAGAGTTCCGCTATATAAGAAGCTGTTCATCGCTGTTCTCATCTGCTCAGGACTATTCGTCGTAGCCGCGGCCATTATGAGATTGGCAGTGACCTTAGGTTCAGACCCCTCGACGATAACAGTCAACCGATGGGGCGTAAGGGAATGCGAAATCGGGCTCATGGCCATCAATGCCCCGATCCTCCGCCCACTGTTCTCACGCCGGTTTTGGCAATGGCATTACCGTCCACCAGCACGCGATCCGAACCCGATGGTCAGCGCGAGGAGAAGCAGAACCACGATCGGGCATAGAAGAAGGGCATTCAAAGAAGACAGCTTGCTTGGGTGGATGAGCTCGACGAGGTCGCGCATCGAGACTGCTGTTGGAACGCGCAGGCACGGAAGCCCAGTGGACGAAGAGTTGGGAAAGGCTGCCAATGAGCAGGAACTTGAGCCTTTGGACAATACCAACGAGGCTACTGGCGATGACCAGGGAAGCTACAAGGATGTAGCGGAAGCCAGCGTGGAAGCTACGGACTCTGCGAAATATGATTGAAATCGAGATACCCGGAACGCATTTGAGATACATAGAGTTTGCAATCATAGATTTGAGCCACTTTGATGAAAAGAATTCCCATGTTACATTTTGATTTATCGTGGAACCGTAAGACACATAAGCCCCCAGCATTACGTCTAGGATCATTGGATTGGTCAGATTTGAACCATACAATGTTCATGTTAAGGTGCAATAAATACGCATCTGACTTCATGCGATATCAATTGGCTGAAAGCATTAATCATACAAGCTTAAGCCCGGCGACTGACTCTATTTCCAGTCCAGTCGTAGTTCTACAGAGTTCGCAAACCCAAGGTTGCCACCCATCTATTCATTTGTCATTCAGCGGTCGCCAAGGATACCATCTCAGTTAACCACGGAAAATTCACCATTTGCCTCATCAAGGTCTACAAGCCAACATCAACAGGATATAAGCACCAATCTCTACTTCAGTCCATAGTTCAAAGCTGCTTCAGTCGTTCATCCAATCAATCAATCAAGCAATAAGGGCCTACACTGCCCATGTAGTTTACTCAGATCTCATCGGCATCTTGCGATCCAGCGCCAAATCTGTTTCTCAGCGACAGGAACTGTCCGCAATGGTATACCTCAGGTAGTCGATCTTCAGGAAGGCACCATTCGTCACGGTTGCAAGGCACAGCGAACGAGCTTGCATCTTCGTCCTCGGTTTCCGCAGATTCGGCAGTCTGCTGGGAATGGCGGAGAGGCCAGAGCAGAATCTGGCTGGGATAGGCCTGGCGACGGCTGAGCTGTTCATCTAGGTCAGTCGTTCCTACATCAAGCTCATCAACTTTGGGTTCAATGAGGAATCCATCGTCATCATAAGTAGCTTCATCGAGTGGCTGTGCAATTTGATGGATTAGGGCATCAATGTTGAAAGACCTTCGGGGACAAGGGGAATCATGGAATGCAGTGGCAATGAAGGAGCTTGAGTTGTCATCGGGCGAGATTCCTTGGATGGAAGTGGCCGAGGCCGCCTCTTTGTCCCAGGTCAAAGGTACACTGCAATCGAGCAGGAGATTGCGATTCGGCCGGATGGGCGCGTTTTGGATCGGATCGAGAAGGAAGTCAATTGAGTCATCCTCATCAGGTTCATCCTCCTCCGGGATGACAGAAAGGGGTGTGGTAGGGCCAGTGATTGTCTTGTCGAGGTCCAAACACGTAGTTCGCTCCTCTGGGTCGATGTAGATGACGGGATCAGGGCTCGAGAACAGGCTGTCTTTTTTCAAGGCCATTCTTTTCCTGGGAGATTGGAGCAAAGAGAATTCTCCGAATAAAGAGGTGTTGCCCTGTGCCTCAAGAGACCAATCGGCCCATCGCGCATTGACTTGGCTTCTGGCGAGCTCTGTGCTTGCGGTTGGTCGAGACTGCCAGTTCTCCTTGTCAGACATTGCATCTCGATCTCGGCGGCCTTTTCCATTTCCTGAAACGGGCTGGAGAATGTTGTTCTTGAGAGACGGAGCTACAGATTTCGCCGACTTGCTTCGCAAGGGGATTCTGCTGACTCTAGAGGCCACGGGCTTCCGCTTGATTTTGTTGATCTGCAACGGTCCGGGCATGGCCAAGGTGGTGTTGGGTGACGAGTCAGTCGTTGTGTCCTTCTGGACATTCAAGGGTGCTGGCTTTGCTGAGGAGCAAAGTATCCCTTTCTTTGACACACAAAGAGGCTCAGGCTTTGCGGAGGGGTCGGCGTAGACGTCTTCTTCCGAGTCGGACATGTCAGGATGTCGCTTGCGAAAGGAGACAAGTTCGGGGATCTCCAGCAGAGCGTCGATCTCCTGAAAGAGACCATTGACCATGTTAGATACCTTTGTCCCACGTTCATTGAATGCTGAAAGATGTTCGCAAGCGCCTTGAAACTCCCTGTCAATGGGGCTTTGGTGGAATCGCGATGGAATCATCAAGCTGTCTTCGTTACCGGTTGAGGTCTCGAGGCGGATATAAGGTCGAGGATAAGGAGACCCGCTCCCAATGGAACTGGCACCAATCTCGGAATCGGAACCTGCTTTGCAGCTCTTAACGCTTTTCGAATGGTCAGGTTGCGAGAATGGTCCTATCTTACCTGGACTGTTTGTGCAGTTTCGCGCGAGTTCAAGGCTCATGGCCGAGGAAGCGTCGCCAGTCTCTGACGGCTCCGACGAGTTCTAGTCGCCGTACATGTCGACAATCTGGTCCAGCATATGTTCTCCTTGATCGCCGAAAGGACCTGAGGCCCAAGCCTTGAGGTAACACTCGCCCTCGCAGGCTTTCTGGGGTTGGCGTCCTGGGTGGGTGATGGTTTCCAGAGCCATCTCGACGCGGCAGGTAAATCGTGCCATCGTGAAAGGAGAGTAGACCCAGGGTCGACGTAGTGGACCAAAGTTGATACTCGGAGGAGCGGATACTGCCAGTGTTGGCGCGGAAGCAGTAATCCCAGCTCGTTGAGTGCTACGAGAAAGGTCGATGATGTCTACCTTGCCCATAGCTTTGACAGATGTGCCCCTGCCAAGGCGGGCTTGTAAGACCGTGAGAGTTCTTCTGTGGAATTCTCGTTTCAGAGACGCGTCGACGCGTGGAAGTTCTGGAAAGAGGTCAGTACCGCTACGCGTTCGCTTGAGGTTGTTGACAAGATGATGGGAACCCTAGAATCGGCGCTCATACGCAGCGAAGCAACCAACTTACCAATTGTCTGGGCTTTGCGCGTGTCTTTGCGGCTGTCACGTCCGTGATGTATCATCAAAAGACAATTCAGCTTCTTTTCAATTCTCAGGATGGCTCTGATTGCAATCTGTGAGTGATGCTGGGTTGATGGGGGCGCACGATCGACTACTTTGCGACTGTCAAAGCGACAGCTTCAGAGAAGGAGAAAGACAGAAGGCGCGCGATTTGTCGGTAGTGGATGAATTTTGCGATTGCTTCTTTTTTTGGACGAGAGTAGTGAAGGTTGAGAGAACAAGAATCGCCATGTGGAGGAGAGAAGAGAGAGACGAAAAGCCAGGAGGGGTGGGAGGGGGAGATGTAAGTGACGGGCGTGTGTGGGTGGGGCCGGCAGAGTTGTTGCCCTGGGCATGAGGCAGCACCCAACCTGACCTTCGACCACGAGAGAAGACGCTGGTCTCCATGGAAACGATCGTAAACATTAATGCAGCGTATACCCGACGCACGAGAAGACTCCGAGGGTGTCCACGGAAGGTAAACTGGCGCGAAATTTATGGCCGAAGGGCGCAAACTGGAGACCGACGTTATTGCGCCCCTTTCATGGTAGCGAGATTTACTATTCAACATAGATTTAATCCCTTTTTCGAGGACAGTCCCATATTAATAGCTAGTTGCGTGTAAACTTCATATTACGACATCGGCTCTTCTTCTCGTAGGAGAGGGTTACCAGCCTGGCATACGAGCTGAAGTTTCAACTGCTTTCAAATATTACCAAGTTCGAAGTAGAAAGGTCTTCCAGGCACAAGCAGCGCGACATATTGACCCGGATACGGCCGACGCTTTCTTGGTATATTGCGTACTTATAAAAGGACCATCGAAATCATATCCGATAGGAGTTTGTTATCCGATGCATCTCTAATTTGGAAGGACGATAAAGAACGGCAGAGGCGCCGACAAGGGCCACAAGGACGGCATCGATTATCACAGATATGTAATGGGCTCGGCTTTGGGGACTTGTCACCAAGAACACTGTGCTTCACGAAATTTGCTAAATGTTGGTGACACCTGTCTGATTTAATGATAAAGCTTGTACTACACAGACGGCATAATTGTTCAGTGCCTATGCCAAGCTGAGAATCCCTTACTTCTAGGTGACACGCGCAGTCACAAACAAAAGCCTCGCCTCTTCTACATCCTGCCCCAGTAAAAGTCGAACCCCAATCTCAGTTACAGAACAACGTCAAATGCCCACTCTCATACCTACTGCAACAACAGGACTAGAATGCCACCATTTTATTATCCGTCACCCCGACACCGATAATTCAAGTATTGTCTTAATGGATATCTTTGTATCATGAAGAACTAGCGGGCCATCAGATCCATGAGAGCGTCTGCAGGACCTTGAACAGCTCAGAATATCCTGGCGGCGAAGACGGGCTCTCTGTGAGCGAGTGGACGAGGCGAGGGACCGCCTGGGGCTCTGATTGTCCTTAGAAAGCGCCGCAGTATCTTTCGACTCGGTCATGTGAATCCACCCGACAACGTCAATCCAAGTAGTTGTGTAGGGTCTCGAGCGAGTCGGAGAGTCATCGGAAGGTTCAAAGAACAAGACTTGGGCCTCTCGGACGTCTTATCTACCATGACTGATGTCGTCGCTGTGACTGTCCTCATCGTCGTCGTCCTCCTCGCCGCCTTTTCTGCAGCTCTCGGCGCTTTCGTTACGATCCATATCTGCGTGGAATTATTGGATATGGGGCTGGCTGGCATAGTCGTTGTAGTTCATGACGCTCTCGTGCGTTTCCTCGCGACGCATAAGGTCTTCTTCATCTAGCTTGGCGTAATCGAGGCCAGACCTCTGGTCATCATCTTCGCGGAAGCGTTCCAGCATTGCCATTGAGGCCTCTTGGGTGATTCCTCTTTGCCAGCGAGTCACCGAAACAGGATCGAAGTCTGACTCTTAGTCATCGTCGTACTCCTGTCGATCGGTTTGGATGATCTCGCAAACCTCATGATTAGCTGCTAGCGTCACATTGATGCTCTGCCTGTGAGTGTCGTCAAATTTGTGTGCGCGTTGTGACATAGCCGATTGTGCGATGGTGCATGTCGTGAGCTGCAGTAAGAGTGACTGGACAGTCACTTTAGAGAAGGCGGTCTTCGCAACACTAAGCCCAAGGCTAGAGACAGATCCTGCCGCGCGATCAGTCTTTCGATCTGGAAGAAGCACCTTCACGATTTAACCAGTTTGGCCCGAGACAGCGTCTTTGATGAAAGGCCAAAGCCCATCGTCCTTGATCGCCTCCAGCGGTGATTTGTAGCAATCCATCACTACTCATAAAGTACGTTAGCAACGGCAGGGAAAGCGCGTCTCGTCAGAGCGTGCGGGAGTGCGGTAATCGAAATCATCGCAACTGTATCAGAACATACCTTTAGAATTGAGCGTCGTCATGCTAGAACAAAGTCGCCAGGTTTTGAAATTTCTGGTAATGCAAGTACACTGCGCGACAAGCCTGTTGGGAGATTTGAGGGGGGTCTCTAGCGAGCAGTAGAAGATGTATGAAGATGGAAAGAATTTGGGCCCGGGGGCAGAGAAGGTATGGCTTATGGACGTTGGCCTGACGAGGCAGATCTAGTTGCCATGGACATCACGGGGTGAGGCACCCACCACGCACCCATAGCGACCACCACCACCAGATCAACAACGGAGTCGATGAGTGAGCTATCTCACATTGCAAGTATTCCACAACGCCTAGAACTACTTGTGAAATTGTCTAAGTAGCTTTAAAAGAGAGACATAGACCGCAGTGACGAGGGAGACATCAAGGTCAGCATAGTCATGCAGTGATTGCCTACCTTAACAGCTTCCCCCGGAAGGGCCAAACTGTATTGAATTGGCCAGGGAGGCATGAGAGGAACAAAATCAAAAGGCATACCGGCCGCTGACAGAAGAAGAAAGTCACCAGAATATTTAAGTTATTGAACACGGTTGGGCACTCGTTATCCATGTATGCCACATGTGAATTGACTTGACTGGCTTAAAGTAGTAACTGCGATAAACGTGTTCCGTCAGCTGAATGAATTGCTCGGTCAGGTCTCCTCCATTTTGTCATCCACAATCACCGATATTCTTGGTCATGCTTTTCACCGCGCTCGCTTTTCCCACACAAATGGACTCAAGCCCCTTCTCTGTAGTCTACTCATCATCTCACGCTGCCAAGGGCGCGCCATTCTGCCACAAACTCCAAGTCCCAGCGCAGCACGTCCAAAATACAAACTCCAAAGCAAAGAACTACAGAGCCAAAACCCAAGCAAATCATCACAACCATTCCATACCACATTCTACTCCAAGCACCAATCTTTCTTCATCCTACGTCAAGCATGCAGACATCCGTGACTACAACAAGCTGGAAAGCATCGCTACCGATTGCAGACACCAAATGGACCAATCATCATGCAGAGTATAACGGCAACCCTTTTGGACCACTCAAGAAGAGTGGGAGCACACAAGTCTGGTATGGGCCTAGACTGAGCTCAAGGGGCTTACGGTATCCTACAATATATGCCAAGCGCAGGAATCTCACATAGTCAACAGGAGCGGCTCACACGGCCCAATCGTAGGTCTCTCCATCATCTGTATTGGTATCTATTTTCCGGGCAGTGGAGGCTTCGTAGACGCCAAGGAGCGCGGCTCCGCTGGTAATGGTCTGGATGAAGCGCATGAAGCTGCTTCCGAGGGTGACAAAACACCATTTTTTCGTCTCCGCAGGGGCCTTCGCGCTGTCACTGGCGCGGATCATCTTGTACTGTCCCGTCTCGTAGTTTCCAAAGAGCAGGTTACGCGCGGACTTGGGAGAGGTCGCGAAGTCCTCGCCCTCGGGCTTGGAAAGCTCTTCGTAGATCTCCTGGATGACGCTCTGCTCGGAGTACGTCTCGTAGCCAATGATGTTCTTGTGGCCGGTCAGAGCCCAGCCTTTGAGGTCGAGAACAGCGGTGTTGAAGCCCTCGTCGGCCTGGATTTCCTCGACGTCCTTATATTGCGCGAGCTTTCCTTCGGTCTCAAGGAGGCCATCGAGCTTTGTGCCACGGCGACCAGCTGATCTGAAGGTGGGGAAGGCGACAAGAGCTGAGTCCGTGTCTGTGCGAATGGTGCTGATGGATGAGACCTGGGACACGGAGATGGACCTGACACGCTGTTTGTTGTCGGCTTGGATGGAATTGCCGTCGATCTGGTATTGATCGGAAAGGCCAATGACGCCCTTCTTCCTCTTCAGGGTGCGGGTGCTGCTTTGTCCAGCTGAAGACGAGGTGCCGGCGCTCGAGGCAGACGCGCTGCGGCTGTGAATCTGCGTCTTCTCGCTGGTGGCGATGTCGATGGACTGGTAGCTGACGCCCTTTGATGCGAGCGGGACAGCTCTAGTTGTTTTGGGTGAGCCCGCGACGCGTGAGGACTAGTCAGCATCTTGGGTCTCAGCCTCAATGATAGGAAAGGTGGCCGAATTGGCACCGTCGATTTGTTGTCCGTCTGTGCCTGGAGTGGTAGCCAGGTGTTGGGCGCCCTGACTCTCTTCGGTGAATGCAATGATGTGCTTGCGCGTCTTGTTCGCGTCGTGAGAGTCAGGCATGGTGATGCAAGCCAAAGGCTGAGAGTGCGAAGTGGCCTTTACAGTCACCCAGGGCTGCTTGTAGGGCTTCCGAAGGGCAGAGCGAGTGGTGCTGTGCTTGGCAGCGACGTCGCCGTCGACAGCGTTCTTGTTGCTTTTGGCAGCGTGAGCCTGAAGGCCGAAGACGCGAACGAACAAGCCCATTGTGGAAGCTATTTCGAAGTCAGTATCTTTCACTATCGCGAGATTGTGGAGGGGTCGCGCTGACGAGCGAGGAGAGGATCATCGAGGAAAGGAGCGGGTATGAACGTACTAGTGTTTTTTTTTCCGTGGAGATCTATGTAAGTAATTGTTCTAACCTGTAGAACGTCTTGATAATCGGTGACGTCTGCGAAAGAGCACCTCGTGAAGGGCAGTTGAGGGAAATTGAGGGCGCAAGATTCAGGGCGCAAGATAGAACAAGTCGCCGTGTATGCTCAACTTCTCAGCCTGCAGGGTAGAAGGGAGTTATCTTTGTAATTGATTGTAAGGCGATCAGGATCGGATTGCTTGCGAGGCAATTGGGGTACCAGTCGCGTTGATATTGTGGGTTGATGAGTTCCGCGTGATGTTGTGGGAGGGAAGGAAGAAGGGAGGCTGGAGAGAGTCTCGGGGCAGAAGAAGTAGATGCCCCTCGATGAAGAGGGATTGTGTCGAGGACCCACTGCATTGAATATAGAGAATTTCCTATTTGGGATAGTCGCGAGGCATCAAGAGTATTGTTCGATGGGTGCCTTGGGAATAAGGAGAAGATCACGACGCGTTGCCCAGCTACCAGGCCCAAGCCTCAGGCGCGCGTCGAAGGGATGGAACCAGTCAGGCATCAACCATCACCAACGCCATAAGGCCACGGATAGCTATTAGGCCTGGTCTTCCACGCCGATTTACATCTGAGTGTGGTGGATGGGAGAACTTGGTTGCTTTTCCTAGACTACGGCCACGAACTACTCATCAATTTTACTGTCATGGATGCCAGGGCGTACTCGGTCATGATCTTGGAGGCTTTTTACGGTTTCAAACTACCTCTTCCTCTTCGTCAATGAAACGTGAGCCCTGCTTAAATTCTTGAAGGCGCCGGAGCTCTCCTCGACTTATTGAATCAGCCCAATCTCGAAATGCGGAAATGTGGAACAGATGTCGGCAGCGGGAAGCCGCCTCCAAAAAGTCGCGCTTCAAGCCGGACATTTCCTCTTCTGCACTCCATCCAGGGCGTAACTTCTCCATACGCGCGGTGTAGAGCTTCCTTAGTTGGGTCTGCTCGAATTGCATCAAGTGTTCCCAATACAGAATAGTCTTCCCTTCACTATCTAGGCCGTCGTCTTCCCAGTCGTCTCCATTGTCGTTACCGTAAATCTCGCGGACTGGTTCTTGGTTTCTCACCTTGCCATCCAAGAATGACGGCATTTGCGTGAGAAACCAAGAGGGCATCGTTGAAACGCAGTTCCAGTTTACCAAGCCAGTAATGTTTCCATCGTCGTCTATCAAGATATCTTCCAAGTCCGTTATGGGGCTCCAAGGAACAGTTTGTTGAGAAGGTTCTGAATCGCAGAACACTATCGGGAGCACAGTTAAAAGCTTTCGTTCGACCTCCGCGATAGCTTCCGGTTCATCCTTGTCTGATTCGGTCTCCGCATTTTTTTCTTCTGCGGTTTTCTCCAGAATGATAATATTTAAGAGCGACTTGAGCCATTCTTGGCTGGACTCAAATGGCCCTCGAGGTATATCGTAGTTGTAGTTATTGCCGCAGAAAAACACGTAATCAACCACCCTGCCTGGTGTGAAATGAAGCTCTGAGGGCGGCTGCTCATTGTCTTTGGGCTCGTCGAAATAAAGAGTCCCTATGGTTCGAAACTCTTTCAGCCTGGTGCCGGCGTCAAGAATTTGTGCGTGGTAATCGGCCATTTTCTCAGCAATAGCTTCCTTCTGCGCCATCGGCATCTTTCGCCAACGTTTGTGGGATCGTATGCCGGGCATAAACTCCATGAGCATCCACTCGAAGCCGATCTCGTTGTCACTGGAGTCATCAAATACAAAGACTTCAGGGACTGGAATGCTGGTTCTTTGTTTGATCCACCGCATGGTCGCCACCTCACCGCGAGTCTGGTAGCCAGGATCAAGTGGAAGAAAGACGCGCATGATGGCCTTTCTGTCGTTGCCTTGGACGAGATATGTCTTCTTGCCACCCCATTTTCCGTAAGGTGAGACATCGCAGCTTGAGTTCTCATCGATGTTCAAATGCTGGCGGCAGACTTTCTGGATGGCTTCCAGTGAGGGTTCTCGTGCCCACTCAGGGCTTGGACCCCAGATGGCGTCGTGCTCCCAGAGCAGGCCGTCTCGGTTTGGTCTCGACATCTAGCAGATCCAGTGGGTAGTGATGACATGAAAAACGACAATGGACTTTCAGGCGATGTTGACGTGACTTCTGGTCGTAGGTAGCAATCGTGATGGGTGAAGTCGCCCGGAGGAGAATGTTTCTTAGCTAGGAAAAGGAATCTCCGCGCGATCTACACTTGTGGTTTCGCGCAGAATTATATTTGAAATCTCCGTGTGTACCCCGAATGCAAAGATCTCACCTCAAGGTTGTGGGATCTTGATGACTGGACAAATGTTTTGTGTGCGGAGGAGAAAAGGTGAGCAATTGTCATACCAACCGGCAAAGCTTCGGCACTCTTCCTGGCGTTCCACCATTTCTGAGGGGAATAAGCAGCCTGGGACTTTTCCATTGACCATGGTGAGATTACTCGGATGAGCAAGAATTTTAAAAAGATGCGCGCAGCAACGCCCACAGCAGGAGAAAGACTATTCAAAGCAGACACAAAAAACTGAAATAGAAAACCTCCAGCTATATTTATCAAGATTTCTGCGGTCAGTATATCCGTCATCTCTTACGTTACTTAATTCGCGTAATTATTTAATAGTAATCGTCGTAGTTCAGTTCATCCATAGATCTATCAGGCGAACCCCTTCTATTCGGTACAATAGAAAAATTAATTAACCAGGATTCTTATGTATGTCAATTCGAAGCCCATATCTCCAGAATGAGTCTGTCCCTGTACGGAAGCTTTCTAGTTCTAGAGCCTAGTTTTACTGTCTGGACGATGGCGACGATGGTGACGATGGCGACGACAAGGACGACAAGGACGACAAGGACGACAAGGACGACAAGGACGACAAGGACGACAAGGACAATAAGGATAATAGAATTATTAATTTTGTAAACAGAACTAGTAGAGCTCATACAATACTTATCCGCCTGGATAGCAAGACTATTTCAAGACACAATACAGCTGGAATAATCAGGAGACCAGCTATGATAGCGACGATAAGTGGATGCTCGATTCCTCTCGGACAGTATGAAAATGCCGCCTAAGTTGTCTCTGTCTTTGGGCGGCTACATTCTCTACTTGCTTGGTGATTTCGATGAGGACGATTGGAATGGATAGAACGATAGAAGCGATGATGTTGATAACGATAACGACGATAGACGACGACATGCGACGAGGGAAACGATCAGAGGTAACGATGGCGACGACGAGACCGAGTGTATGCGCTAGAAATAGAGGGATAATCCCAGGATTGGGGCAAACGACTATTTAATACGTTTGAACCACCCGATGGCCCGACTCATAGTTTCGTAACCCTTCATTGGCTGTCAACGAACGCTGTTAGTTACTGCTGGTCGTCGTATAAGCCCCGTGTGAAGCGCCCTTGGCACAATAAACTGCTGACCATCCTCTTGGCAACACTGCCTTGGCACTGCAACTGATCCTGCGAATAACGCCACTGCCGAAAAGCCAAGTTTTATCAGCTGCTTGGTACCTTGACAACATCAGTCATCTTTCGGACCATTTGACAACCATCTTGTGATCCTCCCGAATCAACATAACCTCAATGTATAGATGTAGTTGAATGTGAGGCGAATTCGTGTTGAACTTTTCATCCGCCACAATCATAGGTTATATGATCAGCAATTATTGTATGCCAGCACATCATGGCGTCCCAGTGACCCGGCCCAGGCTAGTCATCTGCTAGCTCGAGCCTCCACCTGTCCACCAGCACCGTGGTAAACCCCGATTCATCGTACATCCATCGTGGTATTTGTTGACAGCCAATCCTTGCATCGGAGTTCAGCCTTAGCGATCGCTATCTGGCCTTGCAGCGCTGCTCCGCAACTCCGCCGGAACAAAACAAGATACCGTTAAACTTATGGTTATCATTCCGGCCGTCGATGCCTAAAGAAGGAAGCCTTGCAAGGAGTCGTCGTCATCGGCTCATGGTCAGATACTTCAAAGAAGCACATGCGCCCGCCAAAAGGTCGAGGTCACGCTCAGCTGCAGTCAACATCAATCATACTTGCCATCCGTTCTCGGGCTCGCACGTTCCGACAGAGGCGCAGCTCATCCGAGCCTTTGGGACTGTCTGTCGCAGGGCCCTGCAGGATGCACGATGCACAATGCAACCACGTTCCGTCTCCGGGTCAACCGCCTGCCCGGTACGGAATGCAGGATCTGCTGTTTCGATCGATTTGAATTGAAAGGGTAAGAGCACCGGTTTCGGCAGTCCAAGAACGCGCCCTAAAGGGGATTCGCCTGAGCGTCTTTCGGCGCGCTACGAGCTGAGGATGCCGACGCGGTGCGTCTTGGTGTAAGGGGGATCATCCCGGTTAGCCCTCCTAGCGCCGATCTCCCGCCCCCAACAGCAAAGGGCGATGTGAGAGTGTCCTTTTTTTGGTCACTTGAGATTGGGTTGCATTTCTTATCTTACGGATCCTTTGATGCTACCCATCAGCCCTAAACCTCGTCCTGCAGATCTTGTGCCTTTGAAGCATTGGATCAGAATGAAGCGTTTCTTGACGTGAGACTTCGACAGCGTGTTTCCAATCGTTAGTATTCCAATTACGAAATCCGATGTTCAACTCTGCCACAACCGTATTGGGCGACACAGCTCGGACGAGAGTGTGCAAGCACTCAAGCGGCTGTGTAGCCCGGGCTGAGGTGGATGCCAGAACAGCAGGCCTGCTGCACTTGCGCGGGTTTGAAAGCCGAGGAAACATGGCATTTCACGGCATCTCCAAAAGAAGCGCTGACAGGTTTGGAATTATGGTATGACAGTCTGCTTGATTCATTCTAGTGCCCCCGGAAGTCCGTTTCAACGTTTCAGGGCGCCGTTCATCGTAGTCGCTCTCGGGTTCTCCACATACGTAAGTCGAACGGTATGACAGCCCCATTCAAGTTGCTGCGCGAATGAAAGGTGCATATTGTTGGAGTGGATTCCCTATTTCCGACGGACCCGAATACATGACCCGAATATGTCGGTCTTGAGTTTTCTTTGAGTCAGACGAAGGATCCTTGGTGCAGATACGTATTCTCAACCGGCGGCTGAAGCGATTCCACAATCGTGTAAGCGCACGAACAAACTCTAACCATTAGCAGACTCGTATCAAAAGCCTTCCCGCTACACCCGCTCTAGCTTCCAACGGCCGCTTCCCGTTCACCTGAACCCCCTTTGTGAGCCCCCTTTTGCATGTAAGACTGGAAACTTTTGATCCGATGACGATGATTGGCAAATTCTGTTGGCTATACCAGGCAGTGAACACAGAATACTTTCCAAGGCAACCGCTGCGCGTGATGTGTAGGCGGTACCTGGCAGCTCGAAGCTTTCCGACGAACACTCTACGGCTCGGAAACCTTCACAATCTTACATCCATATTTGGAAATAATGTCAAATTTTCGTAACTCATCCAATCGACCCGGCTTCCGTCGAAAGTTACCAAACATCTGGCCCCAAATCGTCTCTACTCTCAGGCACAAGACACGAGCCTGGCGCTAAGCCACGCTAGAATATCAGGGACTACGCATGTGGCTGGCACCATTATTAGCCCACGCGCCAGTCTAGCTTAGAATCATCTGTCCTGTGCAGTAGTGCAGGCGCCGATCAGGTCAAACTTGTTGTTCTCGTTACGGACATCGTCCAAGTATGGAGGTTCCCGAGCCGGCAGCCTGGGATGTGGGGATGGGGATCGACTCTAGAAGCCGTGAAGCCGGCATTATGCAGTCCGGTCCCTTTGAGTATCCGATCAGGACTCGAGTTATGATGAACTCGAGCCTCCTTCGAGCAGGTATATAGCTCAAACATGCTCACCCCGTTTCTTGGCTTTTGGATCCATCATCAGTCACTCACTCATGCTCTTGACTTCATTCTCTCTTTGGTCTCTACTTACATTCGTTTCTTCTGATCCACATTAGTGCGCCGCCAAGATGGTCGCCATCAAAGACCTTATGAAAGGCAGCCTTAAGTGGCTATTTACGGTCCAAGCGGCTTTGCAGCAGAGCAAGACAAACGGGTACGCTATCTCACTCTTCATTCTACCATAATGAGCTTCGTCTAATTTTCTAAACAGAAACTGCGTCCTCGGCACACCGAATGCCCCTAAGCTTCCGAACTTTTTGAACAACAACCCTTTGCCCAACGGCTTCCCGTGGGGCCCTCTGACAGCCGATGGCACGAACTACTACAAGCAGTGGCCCAACACTGGCGTCGTCCGCAACTACGACTTCACCATTAGCCGAGGTGTCATCGCCCCCGATGGATATGAGCGTCAGGTTCTCCTGGTGAACGGAGCTTACCCCGGCCCCACCATTGAGGCAAACTGGGGAGACTGGATCCAGGTCACGGTTCACAACAACGTTGACAACAACCCTGAGGGTACCTCCCTGCATTGGCACGGATTCCGTCAGCAGAACACCCAGTGGGAAGACGGTGTCCCTGCCATCAGCCAGTGCCCTATTGCCCCCGGCAAGAGCTACACGTACAAGTTCCAGGTATGCATCCCCACCACCCACGCGAGATTCTCCCGACTGTGAGATGCTCTAGTACTGACAGCTCACCTTAGGCTACCCTCTACGGAACCTCTTGGTACCACTCTCACTACTCTTCTCAGTATGCCGGTGGTCTTACCGGTCCCATCGTGGTCTACGGCCCTGGAAGGTCTGCTTACGACATTGACGTCGGCCCCGTGTTCCTTTCTGATTGGTACCACAAGCAATACTTCGACATCATTGAGGACATTCTGACCCCTAACGCCTCTGGCCTGGTCTTCTCTGACAACAACCTCATCAACGGCAAGGGTAACTTCAACTGCTCCACTGTTGCTGCTGGAGATAAGACCAAGTGCACCAACAATGCTGGTATCTCCAAGTTCAAGTTCCAGACCGGCAAGACCCACCGTCTCCGTCTCATTAACTCCGGTGCCGAGGGTACTCAGCGTTTCTCCATCGATGGACACACCATGACCGTCATCGCCAACGACTTCGTCCCTGTCGAGGCCTACGACACCAAGGTCGTCACTCTCGGCATCGGCCAGCGCACTGATGTCCTCGTCAAGGCCAACGCCGGCAACGCCAAGAGCTCTTACTGGATCCGCAGCAACCTCACCAGCTGCAGTCTGGCCAACCAGCCTCTCGGTCTCGCTGCTCTGTTCTACGACCAGGCCGACCAGAACCAGAGCCCCACCAGCACTGCTTGGAACGTTCCTGACCCCGGCAACTGCGCCAACGATGACCTTGCCATCACTAAGCCCGTCATGAAGCTTACTCCCCCCACTCCTAGCTACGTCAAGACCATGGAGATCCAGGTTACCCGCAATGCTTCTGGTATTGTTCAGTGGACTCTTGACGGCGAGGACTTCCGTGGCGACTTCAATAGCCCTACCCTTCTTCAGACCAACAAAAACAACCTCACCTATGCTGCTGACTGGAATGTCAAGAACGTCGCCAACAACGGTAGCGTTCGTGTTATTGTGAGCAACAACAGCCCTGCAGCGTAAGTACCTCCTTATACTCCCTAGAATTAACTGGAAACTAATCGGTTCTCAGTCACCCTATGCATCTTCACGGCTTCAACATGTACATCCTCGCCGAGGGTGACGGCCTGACCTGGGATGGAACCATCACCAACCCCTCCAACCCCCAGCGTCGTGACGTCCAGCAGGTCCGCGCCGGTGGCCACATGGTCATGCAGTTCGACGCCCAGGAGAACCCTGGGGCCTGGCCCTTCCATTGCCACATCGCTTGGCACGCGTCTGCCGGTCTCTTCTCTCAGTTCATCGTCCAGCCCGACAAGATCAGACAGTTCCAGATCCCCTCCAAGGTTGACCAGGTTTGCAAGGACTGGAGCGCCTGGACCAGCCGCAACATCCCCGATGTCATCGACAGCGGTCAGTAAGGGGCTAACTTTTACTTCTTGTTCATATGTACCAATCTGTTTGTAATTGTCTTTTTCATTTCGTTTAGGCATTGCGAGCTTTAGATCTTGCATTTGGCGGGCCCATTGTATTTAAGTAGTGGAGAGCATACATAGCATTTTCAATAAGAGTACATACTCTCCCAAATCCCAAGTCTTTACTAACGTGACGAGATATCCTTGGCATGATGTTTCTCTCAAGAGATCCTAGCAGCCGGGTAGTATAGTCTCAGTACGAAAACAATTAGATTCTGAGAGGTGTAATATCTATCATACATGGTCACACAAAATTACCCTTCAGCACACTTGTATTTGCGACTACCTTATTGGGTGTCCAATCAGCCTCAAGTTGTTGCGCCCACGCCCCCCATCACACAATACAAATACCCGGACATGAAAGACGCCTCCTGCCTGCATTGTTAAAAGCCGGACTAGTTGATGAGCCATTTCTGTTCGAGGCCTTTTTTAATTCGGGGCCTTATACCCCGTTCAAGTCCCGCACAAGGCTCGCGACGCTGTCTTGGAACAAGAGCATAGCGTAAACCCGGTGAAAGACAAGTGCAAAGTCTGGGGCGAAGGGCTTGTTCACAGTAGGATTGCATGACATGCTCTCGAATACCACCCGAATTTCGTCCGATCGATTCGAGTTTCGTATAACACTAAACCTATGAGCGCCTGCAAATCGGCCTGGGTCGCTGCCGTAGGCGAAGTCGATGCTGCTCCTCGAACTGGGACTGTCCCCAGCGTCCTTATCCTCGTATTGAAGCTCGATGTTGCAGACTTGAAACGCGCCAAACAACAACGAATGCAATGTAGGAAGCTTTAGGGAAGAAATCCCCGAAACTGTCCAGACTCTTTGAAGTTCGGAATTTGTTCCCACGCCTTTTTGATAATCAGCTATACTCGGAAGACAAAATACCCTGACTCACCTTCGAAACCAGCGAAATCCCGCCCGATGGCTGCCAGCACTATCCTCTCCGGCGCAAAGACTTGACCACCGAAGAAGCCGTGCGTGAAGGCCGCCAAGATCCGTTCGTCTGTTACTTTACTTGCGTTCTTCGGTAAGGTCAAGTCCACGTATCGTGAGTCGGATGTCGAGACATGGTTTCTCGGGTTGACGATATCTTTAATGGTTGAAGATTGGCAATATGCATCAGAGATGCCGTTGTTGCTATGTATTCGACGTCTGTCGACGACACGGATCTGATCGTACACTTCCCACGCATGCTTGACGGCGAAAATGGCTGGTACGGCGACCACAACGCCAACCATGCTCCTGGCGCTCATCACATGCGTTGAGATCATTTTTACCAACGAATTCTTCTTTGGGTGTTGGATGAATAGGCATCTAGGATTGATGTTTACAGCATTCAGCTGGGCCATTATTTTACAATTATGGGAGTCATACAGCATTCGCGAGTTCTTCCGTCACACACCCGACTCTGCCCGTGTCTTTGGTCAGCACTGGCGTCCTTTCGTTCTAGCGTCTTGTTCCTTGGCGGTCAAAGGCAGTTCGTCAGGTATTTAGGCAAGTACAGCACGAACGTTTTCAAGAACAGGCACATCGGCACGACTTGCAAATCATCACAAGAAAAGCCCACGATCGGGAGCATGCATGATGCCAAGTGTGGTTTCTTCCGTATCGGTTCAACGGACGGGTCGGGTCCCGGCAGGCGGCGGCTAAGTTCTTTTCCGCTCATCGGCGACTTGGCCCGGGCCCCGCCCCCACTAAAGAAACATCCGGGAGGTTACCCGCCACATGCCGGATCGATTTTCCTCCTCAACGTCAAATGCCGTTGGAGAAGACGTGAACACCAACTTTTCCCATAGCACCGCGTTCAATGTTTTTCCGAGGCCTTGACCACTTGTCTTGTGTAAGCGACGTGTCGCACAGCAAGACTGGGTGCTAGGGCGGTTAACGATGCCGCGACGACGACCGAAGCCGACACCATCTCCCGGAGTGGCCTGACTCTTTTGAACGGTCGACTGTCTCTCACGAGGCCAATGTGCTGGAAATCATCTGGAAACCATCTGGATAGCCATGTCTAATTCATCCTCGTTTGTGTCCACATCCCCAGGGACGTCCGCTTGTCATGGCTTCAGCGACAACACCAGTCTAGGGATGTCGCCCCCTCAGTCCTCGCCGCCGACGCCCTGGCGAGGCTTCAGTCCCCGCGCCAAGGGCTACAATCAGGACGCATCCATTGCTCTGGTAGGAATTCGTGGGACTGGAAGATCGACTTTGGCAGTCATGGCATCCGGCGCGCTCGGATTTCGTCTCCTCGACGCAGACCAGCATTTCTTCCAGGTGACAGGTCTTTCGCGGGCGGCTTACAAGGCGGAACACGGTGCCGTGGAATATCGACGTGAGGAATTGAGATTGATGAGGGCAATGCTATTCGATAACCCAACAAGAGCCGTCATTGCATGCGGGCCAGGAGCCGTGGAGGGTACAGGTCAGACCTGGCTATCTGAGTACGCCCAGACTCACCCAGTCATCTACGTCCTTCGAGACGCCGAGGAAATCAAAAGACATCTGCGGGTATGGGATACAGAAGCCATCAGCCGCTTGATATACTTGAGCGGGCCAACACATAGGTCGCTTTCGAATTTTGAGTTCTACAACATCTCAGACAGCTACGGCCAGGTAGCTGATCATGTTTCTGGATCCGGCCAGCAGTCTCCCAGGTCATTAGCCCTCAAGCGGGTAGAGCACGACTTCCTTGAACTGCTGTTTCGCATCACCAACCGCGACCATCACGAATCAGGATTGTACCACGTTAGCTATGGCACGCCAGCGTTAGCCCCAGAACACAGGCCTTTCACCTACTCCCTGACTTTGCCGATAATGGATGTGGACAACGCTGGACCTTTGCTCCGGGACATTAACACAACAGCTGATGTTGCCGAGCTGGCGATATCGCTGCGAGAGATGCGGGCCAGATCACCCAACTTCGATGAGCCGGTGGCCAATTTCATCAGCCGGCAATACTACGCCGTCAAGCGATACACGCGCCTCCCCGTAATATTCAACGTTCAATTTGACGACTCCTGTCCACGGCAAGACTTGGTTTACTACCTCCGCCTCATCGACCACGGCCTCCGACTCGCACCGGAGTATCTTTGCGTGGACTTGAGCTGTGGTGAGCAAATCCTCAAAAGCATCATTGCGGCCAGAGGAACGGCGAAGATCATCGGACAGTATACCGATAACACGGTCTTGGAACACGGTTGGGACAACCCAGCACTTACAGCCCACGCACAACTTGCGGAACGCTTGGGTTGCGATATCGTACGAATATGCCGAGAAGCTGAGTCGACAACAGACAACTTTGCGGCCAAGTACTTCATTCAGAGCAAGTCAGCAGACTTTAAGATTCCACTCATCGCCTACAATACCGGACGCTTGGGGCGAATGTCCTGTTACTTGAATCAGGTATTCTCACCAGTAACCGACCCTCTGCTGAGGTCCATCACCTCATCACCTTTGAACGATACCCTCCTCACCATCCAGGAAGCCCAAAAGGCTCTGTACTCTTCTTTCCTCCTGGACCCCATGTACTTTGGTATCTATGGCATCAACGTGCTGCAGAGTCTATCGCCGGCAATGCATAACGCTGCATTCGAATCATGCGGAATGCCTCACGAATACAAAATCTTTCAGCACCCTACAGTTAACCACCTGAGACACCTGATATCGGACGAGAACTTTGGAGGAGCCAGTATCACTGCCCCGTTCAAGAAGGAGGTATTTGCACTGGTAGACCTGACAAGCCCAGAGGCGCAGGCCATTGGTGCCGTCAACACATTGATACCTCTCCGGTCAGCAAGCATCGACTCTCTGATCGACCGAAACAGAACAGGCCCCGTTGCGGCTCTTTATGGAGACAATACCGATTGGATTGGTATTCATACATGCATACGCCAGAATCTCTCCCCAATCAATGGCGTGAAAAGGCGAACGACAGCCCTTGTGGTCGGGGCAGGCGGTATGGCGCGGGCTGCGATGTACGCTCTGCTTCGTCTAGGGGTCCGGAACATATTCATACACAACAGAACGCTCAAGCATGCCGAGGAGATGCTAAGGCACTTCCAAGGATACTGCTCAAAAAATGGGAGAGGAAGTCAATCGCGGTCGGCATCACGAAGCTCGGCGAACAGCGCGGAAGGCACACCTGACAGCACCACCGATATTCCTGCCATGACTTTGCTATCGTCCAAGTCAGATCTTTGGCCAGAGAACTTTGACCGACCTACTGTTATCGTTTCCTGCATCTCGACGTTTGCGAAAGACGGCCAACCATCTGCAGACACTAGTCTTCCCGCGGACTGGCTAGCTAGTCCGACGGGAGGTGTTGCCATTGAGGTGAGCATATGCTACAAGTTTCATGATTGACCAACTTCTGACATCGTGTGCAGCTGTCGTACATGCCGTTGGAACCACCATTACTCAAGCAGGTTCGGGAAATGAGCGACCAAGGCTGGATCGCTGTTGACGGACTGAAGGTTCTCCCGGAACAGGGAATCAAACAGTTCGAGCTCTTCACTGCTCGGAAAGCACCTGGGAACATCATGAGAGACGAAATTTTGAAAGCATATAAAGTAAGAGGCGGTAATGGAGCCGAGTGATCACTGTACATGACGCGGGAAACTAGACGATCAAGATACCAATATCAATGCATGAATGAGACGATGAATTCCATGCAGATGATACCGTCTATTGGAGGCTGTACTGTCATCGAGCAGTCAATGAAGGTCTGGCGTCATGGAATGAGCAGAATCCTTGGGAGATGCTTGTAATTGAATTCTTGAGTTCCACGATCCAGTTCTATCAGGATTCTTTTGGAATGCAATAAAAAAGTCTTCACTGATGTCAAATCACACGTCACCTGAGTCGATGTCATGCGGAAATGGCGGAAGATGTCTCTTCCGTTGTAGCAAGTAAGACTTTCCCCGTCAAGGGTCTCGGCGGATGATGGTAGAATTTGGCTCGCGGCCATCCCCATCCAAGAATCTAACTCGTCCTCGTTCAGCTTTCACCATATGATTTGAGAGCTTGCTGTAAAGTTTTGAACAAGCGCTAGCGATATCTTACTTGTCAATCTCCGGCAACAACCTATTGAACTCGCTCGACTGTTTGTCGCCAGTTTCTCTTGTCTATCATGGACGCAAATGTCTCCTCCCGCGAGGGACCAACGAAGAACTTTTTCATATTCGGGCACAACATCTCCCATACTCTGTCTCCAACGCTGCACAACACTGGCTTCAGGGAGCTCGGCCTACCTCATCACTACCAGATCCACCAGACAGTGAGCGTGGATGATACAGTCAAAGAAATCATCCACCGAGATGACTTCGGCGGCGCCTCCGTCACATTCCCCCACAAGCTTCAGATTGGCAGACTACTAGACTCGGTCACCGACTTCGCCGACAAGATCGGGGCCGTGAACACCGTTGTCGTCGACACTGACCCGACATCCGGAAAGCGGCGATTGGTCGGCGATAACACGGACTGGCATGGCATCAAGAGATGTATAGCGAAGAGCGAACTTCAGGATTTGCAGTCGTCCGCTGCTTTGGTGCTAGGCGCTGGCGGAGCAGCTCGTGCTGCCTGCTTTGCCATCCAAGAGCTTGGGATTTCGGAAGTTCTCATCGTCAACCGCACAGCATCGAAGGCATATGATATGGCGATCAATTTCCCAGGAATCAAGGAAGCTCATGTGTTTGAGACTTTGGAAGAGGCTGTCGCGGACAGACAAAGACGCGGTGCTTCTGCCAAGCCGCTTCAAGTTGTAGTCGCCTGTGTCCCGGCCGATGACCTGGGGTCGGCGAAAATCCCCGCGGCGCTGTTCTCTGGGGCTGACTCGGGGGTTCTTGTGGAGATGGCCTACCGACCTCAGGTCACAGGAATGATGTTCGTGGCCTCGCTACATGAAGGCTGGAGGGTATTCAGAGGTATTGATGTCTTGGAGGAGCAAGCCTACGCGCAGTTCGAGTTGTGGACGGGGAGAAAGGCGCCTGTGGAGGTGATGAGGGCGGCTATGCAGGCAAAGATTAAGGAAAATGAGCAATCAGCTTCCTCCAAGTAGAATTAAGTAATGCTTAGACATGTATGGGAAGTTATAGAAATAGATTTTTGCTATTCGGATGCATAGTTATTACAGATTAGGACAGAGATGCAGACGACAGCGACGGTGACGCTGTCACCAACAATACTAAATATGGCTATGATTGGGGGGCTAACCCGACCGGGATCGCAGAAGAACTAGAAAGGCTGGAACAAACGAACATCTCACTCGGGTGTTTTCTACCCACAATGTCCATTTAAACAGTGTCAATGTCTTTTTATAAACACTGGTTGAAATGCATCTGCCCGAGCATCTAGCTTTCTATGCGAGTATCAAAAGTTAAACATCAATGCTCTTTCCATCAAGCCAGTCCTTCGCCTGCCAATACAATAGGTCATGTTTCTCAAGGTTCTGAGTTCCAACATGCCGACGGTGACCAGGCATATCCAGCAAGACCTCGACGCCCATTGTAAGCTCTTGGAAGTAAGCAAGATACTTGTATCCGGGAGGATATTTGGATAGCTTCTCCTCGTCTATTTTGGGGAACTTGGCCGGGTTCGTCGGTATCACCTTGTCCTTCTCATACCAATGCCTCACAAGCCGAGCACCCCAACGGTCACCCGCCTTCTCAAAGAAGAAGCAGAAGCGACAGTCTGCCTCGACATCAAACTCCGTTCCGTCGAAATCGAAACGCTGCGTGATAGTCGCTTTGAGTTTGGTGACGGCACGAGTGCCCTCTGGGTTGATGTCTGTGCTGCAGCCGTGGCACCGGTGCATGATGAATGCCCCTTTATCCATTCCTGCCTTCGACGCCGCAATGAAGTCTGTGAAGGGAACTCGGCCGGACCAGGTCGTGTAGACGTATGCGCCCGGATGAAAAATCGACTCGAAATTTTCCCATTCGCAAGCATCTCTGTGGGGTAATTATAGGTTAGAACAACAATTGGTTAAGTTCGGTCATACAGCTTCATACCTGTAAGATGGCCAACCCTCCGCAAGCTCTCTCAGTTTTAGCCTCTCCAAAACAAGGTGGTCTGGGCCATTGTTGCGAATAGCATTCTGAGGGCGTGAGCCGGCTGGGAGGCTATGCAGATCGGCCATTTTGAAAATAATGTCAGGCTTGCGAGTTGAATAGTTTTCGAGGTATTCGAAAACCAATGCTACTCAAAGTATTTTCTGGAGGACGCAGGTAGCTTCAAATGTTCGCCTAGCATTGCAACAAGCAATGTTAATGGTGCTTCGCTGCTCGGCAGCATCGGATGAAGCCTTTGCCGCTCAGTGTTCCCGCGCTGCTTCCCCGCGTCCCCGCGTGAGGGGTAGATTGGGAAGCGCTGCCTGTCTTTCACGTCAGGTTAGTATATTTTTGCAGCCATGATACCGGCGGAAAGATCTCTCCATAATGAGCAGACCACTTCCTTGGGCATGTGTTGCGGCAGCTTGGCCGTGGTCGTTGTTGTTGGGCCAGCTCGGTCTTGGCTCGGATGCCGGAGCCGAAGATCGGCGCCCTGAAGTGAAAGCAGGCAGTGCCGGCATTCTTGTTTCGCTTGCATCCCTATCTTTTGAGCTTCTGATTTCTCCCTGCATAAGTGGTAGCTTTGTCCAATTTCTATTCATTCACCTTGCACCGGTTCCAATAGGTGGATGCGGTTCATGCAGGAGAGATCTCGAAGTGCCGACTCTGACACCAATCTGACAATGCCAGCGTACTCGGTGATTATGCTGTTGGCGACAGAACTGGAGGTCGAAATGAACAGGAACCATGACATGCGGCTATACTTGTGCTATTCGTGAGCCTGGCTTATTCACATATGCTGGATAGATGACTCTGGAACAGTCGCAGAATAGCGACTATTCATAACGCCTGTGGCGTCTAGTCTCGGCTTGTCCCAGTCATTTCATCCCATCTTCGCTGAGAAAGTCGCCGACACAGGTGTTCCCAACGCGGAGTATGCGGACATAATTTGGCGTCAAGTGGAGAATGCTGACACTATCGGCCTATTTCTCCGTCAAGCGAAACCCCTTGCTAATAGCACGTAGCACGCTTTCGACGAATCACTGACCCGCGTACAAATGCTTATTTAAATCAGTCAGGTGTAGCCGTGATTACATATCTCAAAATAGGCCAACGTAAGCGACGACTCGTTAGACTGCTCAGCACAGACAGCGGAGGAGGGCGGCAAAGATCTTAGCCGCCCACACACGTTTATTGAGATACACGCAATATCTACACATTCATGCCAAAAAGGTCCAATTATGCGCAGTTCAGGGTATAGCGTAGCAGGACCTGCCTCCCATAGCGAAACCGAGACTCTAATCAGGGCTCGACTTGAGTATGGGACTATCTTTGATCGAGAGCTGGTTCGTCCAATGAAACTTTGCACTCTCAAACCCAGTCTTTCTGGCAGTCTCCTCGATAAATGGCACCCCCTTTAATGCAATTGAGTCCGATTCAGGTCAAGTGGACCTTAGACACTAGCAGCCTCCCGGTCTTGCATCTTCCTGCCCATGGCAACATGCCCATCGTCCCCATTATGACGATTTGGTGCTCTTCCGCCTTTCGATGGACTTGATCACAAAATTTGATGTCAGCTTCGTAGCTGCGCACAGCATGTCACAATGAGTCCTCTCCGCCGGCACCGGACTTCCGCAGGTGACGATGATCATGAGCGACCTACCAGCACTCGAAAGGCGAAACGAGCCAGGACCGATGGTGAAGAGTCCGACGATGTGACAGCCCAGGGCAAAACTCGGATGCGAGTTACACGAGCATGCAACGAGTGTCGAAAACGAAAAGATCGTTGCGATGGTGGCCGTCCAGAATGCCGACCATGTCTAGACGCAGGGCGTTCTTGCAGCTACAACCCACCGAAGAAACGTGGCCTACGAACAGGCTATGTCCGAGCCCTAGAAATCCTCTTGGGCATGATTTTCAGCTCGATAGACGAGTCTGATTCCTGGATTTCTGCATTGCTCGATGGCCAAGGCTGGAAGCCGCCCTTCCGTCTGGCAGCCATCGGGCCCACCTTGGCTGATGATGGAGACGCCTGCGAGGGATTCGTCGACGCCTGGAGAAAGACAGAAGTGCTAAAACATATCGAACAGTGGCTTTCTGTTGCGGAACCGTTAGAAAACGACAATGAGGGCAACTCTGACAAATCCTTTGACTCCCGAGTCAAGGAAGCCATCCCTCTCATAACAAAGATTCGAGGCGAACAGGACAGCCAAAACAGCACGACTACTGACATGGCAAGTCCTATGAACACGAGCACTACCTCCCCCGCGCGTAACCCTAGCCAGGATACCGGGACAATTCCCAGCACATCTGACTCTATTGCGCAACACGCCGAGAACAACATCGATTCAATTCTGATGGCCACTCAAGTCTTCTCGCCCTTGCAAGATACGACAATGCGACAGGAATCTTTGTCTCGGCCCCAGTCTGGACGCTCGGAGCTCCCCGACAACTGGTCCATCTTATTGGATACCTATTTCTCAAACACGCACTCCTGGCTACCGATCTTCCAAAAGCACGAAATACTTAGGCTAGCGTACGTGCTGGAGAGTTGCGATAATCGTTCGAGTACAGCCGACTCAATGTCGCACGGAGACCGGTGCTCACTGTGGGCGGTACTGGCATACTCTTCACACCTTTCCAAGACCGAGGAGCACAGCACAAGTGCGGTCGCCCTACACGCTAGGACGAGGCATCTTCTCGGCGAAAAGTTGGAGAAATACGAGTTGGGCCACATCAGAGCTCATATGATTCTTGCATTATTGCACCTGAGTCGCGGCGACAAAACGGCCACATGGCTTGCCGCTGGAAAAGCAACGTATGCCGCCGCGGCCCTTCTCCTAGCCCCCGATACGACGAATACATCGCAAGGCCAACTTGACGAAGGCTCCAAGAGGACTTTGGCATGCTGCTTTGTATTAGAAACTATGGTTGCTAGTTGGTTAGGTACGCGACCGTACTTCAAGCGTTCCGACCTCGCCAAAGTTGGCACGCTAGCGACAGACTCTATGGAAGAGTGGGAACCGTGGCAGATGAGGGATGGACAGGGCCGCACATTCCACTCGCACCACAGCCCGGGACATATAATCAGCACCTTCAACCATCTTGTTCAACTAGCCGTATTTCTGAACGACCTTCTAAGACTTCGCAATCAAGATGGTGAGAATGAGCGAATCCGCAAGCTGGACCGGGCTCTGAAAAGTTGGAGTCAGCAGAACAACCCTCAATGTCAAACATCTTCCGGGGCCGAGGCTTCGCCACAGATGTTCAATTTGCAGCTCATGTATGCTGGCATCTTCGAGGCCGTGAGAACGGAATACCTACGACTAGCAGGAGACCGTCCTAGCTTTGACATTAATGGCAGCTACGGACGGATGGAAGAGCAACGCATGCTGCTGGAACAACGAATGAAGTCTATGGGAACTTCTTCTACACCCCCAACCGTTGTCATTCTTCTATGCTGGTTTGAGAGATCGGTGGATGCTCAAGTCAGGGTTCAGAATCACGCCAGGATGAGAATGCAACTCCAGGCGTTGCGGGTGGACATCTCCACGACAATCGAAAGCTACCTTCAGACCCAAACGCCCCTGAAAGATACTCATCAAAGCGCATCGAATCTTCTTAATGCTGGCAGCATGTCCAATTCCTTCGCCCAGTCGGGTGGACAGTCGACCCAGTCGGCCTTTCATCTGGGGTTTGCAACTCCCCCTAGCTCCGGCCTATCTACCCAGTCTCGAGAATCAAACCCTTCAATCTTCCAAGGGCTGGGCGACCCATACAACCGCAACTCGGCCAGAAACACGCCAATGGGCCAGAGCAATCTCTTAACGACTCAGACTCAAGGGCTCATGTCTCAGCCGCCGTCGATGGGTCCAGATATGAATATCGATCCTCTATTAGATGCAGTTTCGGCGGAAATGGACGACAATGAGCTTTTCCAAAGCTTAGCTAGCTTGGACTCGGCAGATTGGTCAGTACGTCCTGCCAAGATTATCTTCCGTCTTATCCCTGACAAGTCCGTAGGTCCACAAATCCTCCCGAGTTCATGGAGCATCTTGGCATCCCACGGGGCATTGCTTCAGATCTGCAATCATTCTTTGACAAGGACCCCGGGTGAGATCTTAAAGCCGCTTTTGCTATCAACAAAACTCCCCACGGGGTATTTGGCTCATGCGCTCTCCAATCGACCGGCATTGAAGCCGGCCCCGCGGGATACGTCAGTGAAGGGCCGGTACAAGGCTCTGCCGCCCGGTGACATCAACCAACCTGACCTTACCCGCCCACGCCACACACAAGTCCACCCTGGTCATTGGTAACCCGAAGGGTCCAACATCGACTGAACACACACAGCACACGAATACCATCTCCGAAGATCAACATTCACCTGCTCCAACCAGAAATCCCCGCGCAGCATCACCATGGCCGAATTCCGCCCTGCTCTGCTCTCTGCCTCCCTAGGCCGTGCCTGGCTTCATGACTTCGACAAGAAGGTAGCTGAAGCCGCCAATCATGGCTTTGAGGGCATCGAAGTATTCTACGAAGACATCGAGTACCTTGCAAAGAAGCTCCATGATACCGACGAGCCGACCACCGATCACCTCCTCGCCGCCACAACCCACATCCGCAAGGTCCTCGATGACCTGAAGCTGACCGTTATCGGCCTACAGCCATTCCTCTTCTACGAAGGCCTACTAGATCGCGAACAGCACGCCCGCCTAATTGAGAAGATCAAGGTGTGGTTCAAGCTCGCTAAGATCCTCGGCACGAACACCATCCAGATCCCAGCCAGCTTCCTTCCCGCGGAGAAGCTGACGGGCGATATGGACGTCATCGTCGGTGACCTCGTCGAGCTCGCGGACTTGGGGTTAAAGGAAGACCCACCGATTCGATTCGCATACGAGAGTCTCTGCTGGAGCACTCACATTGATACATGGGAAAAGTCTTGGGAGGTTGCCTGCAAAGTCGACAGGCCGAACTTTGGTCTGTGCCTCGACACGTTCAACATCGCTGGCCGCGTGTGGGGAGACCCAGCGTCTCCAACGGGCCAGACCCCCAATGCGGATGCCGATCTCAAAGAGTCGATGGAGAGATTAGTGCGGGATGTCGATTTGGCGAAAGTGTTCTACATCCAGGTAGTCGATGCAGAGCGTATGGAGTCTCCTTTAGTCAAAGGTCACCCATTCCACATTGATGGGAACCCGGCGCGGATGAACTGGTCTCGGAATGCTAGAGCGTATATCTATGAGACAGACAGAGGGGCCTATCTACCGGTGGAAGACGTGGCTCGGGTGCTGATCGAGAAACTTGGATATAAGGGATGGGTTTCGATGGAGCTGTTCTCGAGGACCATGTCAGAAGAGGGTGAAGGGGTACCGGCAGATCACGCTCGCAGAGGTATCGAGGCATGGAAGAAGTTTGTTCAGCGATTGGAGTTGAACAAATGAATATGGAAGTAGCAAATCATTGCGCCAATTCCCTCCTATAAAACGACACCAAAGACTAAGACGAGGAAGACGACAATGAAGATAGAGAGCACATACGAAAACTGGTTACTCTACCATTGGATAGAGAAAATAGGATATCACTCTCCGAGAGCCATTGGAGCTTTCATGGGTGATGCCGCTGCATTCCGACTAATCAATCGCTAGCCAGCTTTCTTTCTTCAATGTTTCTTGTGCTGTAAATTTAGGAGCAAATTAATATGATGAGGTTCAATTAACGGCCCAAAAACGCGATCAATTTAGACTAAAAGTTGATCCCCGGGCTTTTATCCGCAGCCTCCAAGAGAACTTTCCAAGCACCCTCCCCATCCAAATTCTTTACCCTCTCCACTCCAGCCCAAAGTTTCCATTGCTCCTCAATCTGGTACCCAATTACGTGAGTACCCTCTACACAGGGCCATCCAAGAGACTCCGCCAACTTGATCGTCCGCGTTCTCCTTGGCTTGAAGCACATGTCCAGCAAAACACCCTTCTCGGGTCTTGAGAGGAAGTCTTCCAGGGAGTCCCTCACCGTAAGCTCAGAAGTAGACTTGGGCTCAAAATCCGGCACCGTTCCGACAACGTAGTACGGCGTCTCGAGCTTCTTCGACTCCCCCGCCTTGACGTGAACTATCCGCGGCGCAGGGGACAGACGCTGCGAGTCGCGTATCAGATCGCTGACCTCTCCATCATCCCTGTTCAAGACATAGATGACAGAGGCCTTGAAGTACGTGTGCAGCGCGAAAACGGCCGCGCGACTCGCGCCACCCGCGCCGATGATGAGCGCAGGCTTGTTCAGGACTGGTCCCGGTTGGGCTCCCTTCTCAAGCAAACATCCTTTGACTCCGAGCCAGTCTGTGTTAGTACCACGCAACTTCTGTGCATCCGTAGGGTCGCGGTACACATTGTTGCAGGCACCAATGGTCTCGGCTAGGGTGTCAAGCCCATCAAGCCGGGGCATGATGGTATTTTTGTAGGGCATCGTGACAACCAGACCTGCCGTGGACTCTTTCCGAGCAAGCTCGAGAAGATCTTCAATTGTCGCACACTCGGTCGCGAAAAAGGTCCATGGCAGGTCTAGTGACTTGGCTATCGCATTGTGCATTGGTGGTGCGATGGAATGGCCGACGCCAATTCCAACGAGGTGGAGGGTCTTTTCTTCGGAGGTCGACGCATTGAATGCCATGATGTACTCGATTATGATCAGAGGAAATATTCTCGAAACAATCCTTTGACTCCAGACATCAGAATGTTCCGCGTAGAGGCCTTCTGGGCCGCATCTGAAGTAGCCTCACACGGCCGGAGCTGTAAACTCTACGGCGGCTTGGGCCGGAGAAGATCTTTGCCGCCACCAGCCTAGGCATCCTGGCCCAGTAGTCACCACGTCAAGCACCTCATCATTCTGCCGCTTTCTCACGTTGATCAAACTTGACGCCTTTCGAAAATACACTCAGTATCATTTATTCTGGAATTCATGTTATCTTCCGAAACAGGCGGGTCGAGGCGGCCTGGCGGAATCTTTTACCGCTCAAATGACAGAGTAGCGCACCACCGGCATTGTAGTCCCAGGCACAATTAATTCTTCCGCGATTCCTTGAAGCACTCAATTAGCTCCATAGAGTTACCGACTTCCATCCTCCCTGCCGGGGATAGCATCCCGAGCCGGAGTAACGACAGCCCCACACCGGGCCCGTAGCGGTGGTCCGGGACCCCCCTCTCCGGCGCTGGGCCGCGGTAGGGAAACTTGCAACTGCCGTAGGAAGGTTTCTAAATAGAGTGACAAATGATTAACATTACATTGTACCTAGAAATGATCTAGTCTATTTCATATCTCTCTTCTAATCAAAATGATAAAGTCACAACCCTTTACCCTAGCCGTCCAGTCCATCTCAGGTTGTGCCTACTTCCGCTTAACGCCCTGTCCCTTCGGCACCCGCACAAGCCAGTAAAGACCGCAGGCCACCACAATGTTGAAACCAATATAGACCCAAAGCAGCCCAAAGTTCCTCCACCGGTCGTCATACTTGATGTTGAAATGCGCAAGGTAATCATCTGTGGTCGCCATGCGACAATACCCGCAAGCGTCCGTCGCCGCTGCATCGACAAGGTATCCTCCAGCACTCTGCACGTACAGCCCAAGGAAATCACCACAAGTCATATTCGAGGGAACAGGCACCTGCACAATCTCCTTCGTCGTGCACACAACCTTTGACCCGTGCAGACAGGTTGACAAGGCTCCGGACGCAAGGTAGGTCATGGGACTGACGTAGTACATAAAATCGCTCCAGATGGCTGGTAGGTCTGCGCGGATGACGCTGATGCCGCAGAAGGACATGCATAGAATGGCGAAGAAACTTGCGGGTATGCTAGCGAGGTCGGCGGTCTCGATGGCTACGATGGCGAGCTGCGAGAAGGTGCTCGTCCAGAGGAAGAACATCCAGATGAAGAGGAAGACCGTGAAACCGCGAATACTCACATCGTCAGGGGTGGTGTTCCGGAAGAACCGTGCCGGGTAGTACCAGCAGAAGAAGAATACGACGGCTGCTATGGTGTTCCAGACCATCTCGATGACGACGTTGGAGAGAAGGTATGCTGGATCTAGATTAGTATCATTATTCGAAACATGGGAGGGTTGGACTCACTGTTCCATCGATAGACTCGAGACGGTCTCTCACGGACTTCGTACAGTGCTCGTTGAGGGATGAACATGGGCATAACCTGCTTGCTGAACTCGTTGACGGTTGTCAAGCACATGAAGAAGGCGTAAAGCTGGTTCTGCAAGCCTTGGAGACTGTTGTCTGACTTGAAGGTGAAGCCGATGTACAGAGCCAGGAGAATGGTGAGAGTGAGCTTTGACCAGATGTACACAGGCGACCGCCAGAAGTGCTTGGCTGTACGGGAGAAGACTTGGACGAACTGCGTCCAGAATGAGGTGACAAACTCGTGCTCTGAGGACGGGTCACCCTGGCTGGTCTGACCTTCTGCCAATTGGCGTAGAAGACGAAGTTCATCCTTGACTTCCTGGTATTCGGCAGAAGAATGCCAGACTTCAAACCAGTTTGGTCCGTCCTCGGAAAGAGTCGTAACCTTGAGCATCCATTCCGCGGGGTTGGCATCAGGAGGACACGGCGGCGCGCCGTTGCGTTCGAGGTATTCAATCATAGTCCTGGCATTGATGCCAATTTCTGCGTCACTGTCAGCTTATTCTCCTCTATCAAACCGGGTGACTAACCTCCAAAGTAAACCGTTTTGCCGCCACGCTGAAGCAACAGTAACCTGTCGAAGCGGGAGAACAGCATCGCCGACGGTTGGTGTATCGTGCAGAGGACCGCTTGTCCGCTCTTGGCAAGCTTCTCAATCAAATCGCAGATGGCCCAAGATGTTTGCGAATCAAGGCCCGATGTGGGCTCGTCCAGAAATACGAGTAGCTGTGGGCGTGCAGCAAGCTCAACCCCGATAGTCAAACGTTTACGTTGCTCAACGTTGAGGCCTTGTCCAGGGACGCCGATCACTGCGTCGACGAAGTCGCCCATGTCAAGCAGGTCAATCACTTCGTCGATATAGGCCAGCTTTTCAGACCTCGGGATCTCCGCGCTCTGCCTGAGTAACGCACTGAACTCCAGCGCCTCGCGAACCGTCATGGTGTCCATATGCACATCCTGTTGCTGCACGTAGCCGACACGATGGGGGAAAGATTTGTCGGTAGGCTGACCGTTGACCATGGTATCGCCGGACAGAACGCCCATCGTCACACGGGTTGCCAAGGCATCTAGCAAGGTCGTCTTCCCTGCACCGGATGCCCCCTATGCCAACGTTAGCATGTCGTCCAGCATTGGAAGGCAATTGCGCAGGACTCGCCATGAGAGCTGTGATGACGCCTGGTTGCACAAAACCGTCAACGTGGTCTAGGATGCGGCGGTCCTGGCCCTTGATCTTGACATCATAGCAGATATCCTCCCAGTGGAAAATGGGCTTTCCGCAAGCACTTGGTCGTGGTCGGTGCTCGGTTCCTTGCTTCTCTGGACGAGAAAGATGCTCCATCTCGATGACTGTGGTCTCGTTGCGTTGGCTCTCCTCGTCCATGTGGGCCTTGTCGTCAACGCCAGCAGGGGCCTTGCCGCGTCGAAAGACGAGAACCTCTCCTTCGCTCTTGGGTGGCTTGGCGTACTCGGCAGTGATGATGTAGGTGATAAAGAAGAACACGATATAGCCGCACAAAATACCGACGTTCCTGGCGAAGATGTTAGTTGATGATTATTAGGGGTGGACAATGTACGCACCTCCACTTGTGACTGTTGAAGTAGCCGAAAGACTCTTCAATGTATCGGTCACCATCGATCGCATCTGAGCCAGGAACAGCTCCGACTACAGAGCAGGTTCGTCCGCTGAGGGGCAACGCATCGTAGTCAGGCCCAGATGGCACGAGGTTATCGCACTTGAAGGTGCGCCCGTGAAACTCATTCGCCATCAAGGCCTCGAAGGCATATGAGAGGGGGTTGATGTATCCCATCCATCGACTCCAACCTTGCATATAGGATGTTGGCACGGTGAACCCAGCGTACATCATGACTCCAAGGGTAACAAGTGTGACAGGCACCATGGCCTGGTGTGACGTTCTCGCGAGTGAGGCCATTGTTCTGTAGATACCAGACATGGCCAATAAGACCGCAAAAGAGACCAAACAGAAGAAGAAGAAGGGCCCAGGCTCGCGATTCAAGTTAGCCATGAAGTAAAGAATGGAGTTAAAGGTGAAGACGTTGGTGATTTTGTAGGGAAGCTCAATAATGTAGCTGGAGATGGCCTCAGCAGATTGGTGATAAAGGGCGTAGCGATCATGCTTCTCAACGACAGGCCTTTGCGCATAAAGAGTGAGGACCTAGAGGTTTGTCAGCTGCCTGGGAAAATTGAGAGATGAACGAATCAAATAGGCTTACTTCCATCTCACTTGCGAAAGCGTTGAATAGTAGCGCGAAGAAAATGATGCCTCCTCGATAGTAGAACGTGCTCGAGTCAGTCTTGAGGTTGAAGAACATGCTTCCCAGCACGAATCCCACGATAATGTTGTACACAAGCGACGAAATCGTAAACCCGGGATCGGCAACCAAACGCTTCCATCCCCGCCAAAGACAGAGCCTCACTTGGCGAGGGTATGTGATCATATACGGAGACTTCATTCGTTGCATGGGACTTCTTTCGGCTTTGATGCTTTGCTGAAACTCTTCAAGTCGGTCCTTGGCCGGGTGGGTCTTCTCGTAGGCTTCAATGGCGGCCATAAGAGCTGCTCGGTCCGGCGATGCTTTCCACCTGGCTGCGAATTCGTTCGGAGTTCGAGGCGTCATGTTCTCGTATCCGGGTCTGATACGTCGTTCACTTGGAGACGTCATGGAGGTGAGGAAGTCGGGAGTCGTTTGCCTTTCGGGACCTAGACCCGCTCAATCAGACAATGGATTTGGGAATTTGAACGGGTCCTGCGGACTTACACAGAAATCCCATGTCTTCGAAATACAATTTCGCTTGCTCGATTCTGCCAAAGTAAATCTGGCGACCTTCGTACAGAACTGTCACTTTGTCGAACAACTGCATTTTGTCAGCCGCTGACTCGAGTTCCACTTTCCAGCGCTCAGGACTTACATCATAAGCAGACTGCGGCGCCTGATAAATGGCCACCACGGCTGCCACATTCAACAAATCTGCTTGCGTCCGGAGATTCTGACAAAAGGCAATAGCATTGCCGCTATCCAGGCCGCGAGTGCTGTTATCCCAGCACTGAAACTTAGCACCCGTCAGAGCAGCCTCGACGATGCTGACTCGCTTCCGCTCGCCTCCCGAAACCCCGCGCACGAAATCATCGCCGACCTTCGTGTTGATCGTGTGCGAAATACCAAAAGCAGCCATAAGTACATCCCGCATGATGCGAGCATACTGCTTGCTTGTAAGGCCGGCTGGAACATTCGTTGGAACTCGGGCTCTTGAGGCAAATTCCAGAGTGTCGCCAACTGTGAGGGGGGCCAGGTGCACGTCGACTTCGGCATTGTAAAGTACGTCGCCGCGGAACCAGTCGTGCATGTACCTGGGATTGATGCCTACGCGGCGTTAGTTGATGTCTCGGCTCGATGAGTTCTGACCTACCGCGGAAGTTCATGTATGAGTCTGTTGAAACATTGAGTCCTTCAGTCTGACCAGCAAGTGTCTTGAGCAATGTCGAGCAGCCCGATCCAGGTGGGCCAAGGGCAAGAAGCATCTCGCCAGGCTCGACAAGGCCCTCGAACTCTTGCAAAATGTCGATCCTCCCCTTCGTTCTCCCAGTCGCAAGCCCAATGAGATTCGTTGCTATACTCAGCGCGATGTTGCCTGTGCTCTTTTGGTATTGGGTACCGGTGCTGTATCCGAAGACGTTAAGGTTCTGTAAGGCAACACCCGTCAATCTGCTTGGTGTTGACGCAGGATCTGACTCGTACAGACTCATGAAGGCTCTTGTCCAGGCCGCTGAGTCAAAATTGGGAGATGACGGGTCCAGATGGCTGTTCTTCGGCGGGTTGAGAACATCATCTTGGGCGTGGAGGCTCTGTGGTGTGGAGGTAGCTGTGACTTGGCGTGCAAGATTCTCAATCTGTCCGTGCATGTCGTCGGTGATTGTTGTTTCTGAGAAGTCAGACGCCCTGGCGTTTGAGGCCTGAAAGTGAGCGACCTCCTCTGATGGATGCATGATTGCCCCCACTGATGAAGAGTTGACGTGGGGGTTCGTTCGAGGTTAGGAGTGTATGTGTTGCAGTTGCGGGAGTAAGGTTTACAAGGTGAAAGCAAACGTGACTTGGTCAGTTGAGTTGGTCTATACGTCCGTTGGATAGGTTCGATTCTGCCATCCGATTTCATGAAACCATGAACACTTATATCAACCGTTTTGAACATGGGCCCGATCTTGCCATCTCGGCCGTCCGCGGTGACCGGCATTGAGAGCATCGCTCACGGGCCAAGACCCCAACAATGGCAGAAGCTCAACGAGAGTGCAAAGCCACACAAGCATCAAATTCCCAGAGGACTTCAACCCTGGGGCCTTCAGCTTTTCCAGCCCCTTTGGCCGCGTGGTGTCATAAAAGAGAGCGAACCGGCCCCACGCGGTTCGGACGGCCGCGGATGGCCGAAGGACAAGCGGTTCATCCAACCATGTGGGTCCACCCAGAATCACCGCCACGAAAGGAAGACCAACAACGCGAGAAGGCCTGGACTCGCGTCTCTGCGTATCGTGTACAAACATTCAGCTAGTCTTGTATATGTTTCCTTGTGCGAGGAAATTCGTCGGGAATCCATCACTCCGAAGTTGCGTTTGTGCTTCTGTCACTTGGTCATTCCGTCTCCGTTGGCGCTATTGATGCTCCTACACAACGGGTGCTTGGAATAACTCAAGAGCAGTCCCCTCCGTAAGGATTCCAAGTGGGGTCCGCCCGGGGTCATCAAGAAGCCAGTCTTCCGAATTTGGATACTTAGCCGCCAGGGTTGTGTCTCGCCCGAGTGGCCTCTTGTTTCCTTCTTTCTCGCAGCAGCTTTGCAGACCCATTCCAGTTCAAAATGCCAACCGTCATTCGGCCACACCCCGAAGTTGTGGGTAAATGTACATACACAACATCTTCTAATCGAGACTTCTTCAAGCGGATTTCGGCCGAGGATCAATCTCAGGAATCGGTCAAAACGTCCGTGTCCGATGCAGATGACGGCACTATTGTAGCCTGCGAAAACGGGTTCGTTTACTCAGTGCTCCGTGCCTGGCAGCAGCACTTACACCTCGAGCTGCGGCCCGATGATGTCTGGCTAGCCGTGTTCGTCCAATTCAGCTTCTTCATCTATGGACCTGGCCGCGCTGAAGCTCTGCGCCACCATTTCGTCGCCCATGAGGGCCAACGCACCCTCGTTGTTGAAGTCGGACCCGGTCAGACTGTCAACAGCTTTGACATGGTGGCCATAACGGAGCATTCCGTTTTTCTGCTCCGTAGATACTTGGTCGACCCCAATCTAGCCGACTGGCTACTGCCGACTTTTAGCACGACCTTACCGCATGACCGCTCGACTGCTGCTGCCGTATTTCTCGGGACCATGAAGCAATACTTGAACTACAACGTGAGTATCACCTGTTCCCTCTATCACACTGCTCGGCGAAGCTAGCGACTGGGTCGAACTGGCAAGGCATGTCGCTCGGCTGGCAGGCTTCAATACCGACACACTGGATCGCGATGGATCTTCTATATCTGAGTGGTCGCGCTGTCTCGTCATCGTGGTTGAGTGGTTTGTCGCCAGCTTTGATCGGCCCGACGATGTTGATGTACGCGATTTCTGGACGCACGCCTGCCACTCTGGAGGCGCGGGCATGTCAGGCGGAGTCGTCCACTTGTCTGGCTGGTTGACGGCATTTTGCTGGTGGCGAGCCGACGGGACCAGGCAGAAGACGTACAGCGACGATGAGCTGGTAAGAGAGTACTCATGGCAGGAGAGAGATTGGGAAAGGCTGCACTTGTCCGGGGTTGGGTTTCCGGTTATCGATCAGGGGGAAATACCCGCCGGCTTCACGAGGGTTCCGATCACATTCGAACTTGAAGAAAAAATACTTGGGAAAGAAAGAGAGGAAGACGAGAAGATGGAGATGACACTTTTGGCAGGTTCCAGTGGCATGAAATTGTTGGACAGCGAAGGTACAAGGGTCGCGCCGTTTTCAAGTTGGTGGCTCTTGAAGAGCGGGCCAAGCAGAGTCAACATTAGTACCAGACCAGCAGTCGCATCAACCGTCAAGGGAACCTTCGGCCAACCACGAACTGGCTTGGTACCTAGACCAGTTGGAAAGAAATCGATGAACGCCCCCCCGAGAACTCGACATTTCGCGGCTCTCGAGCTGCACCAAAAGAACGTGGCATCAATTAATGAAAAGGACAATGCGTGAGGAGATTAATAGTTTAAGCCTTGTACATCTGCTGCAATCATCTCAGTCAATCGTCCACCTAGGGTATTATTGTTCTTACAATCATTGTCTTCTCTGCCGTCGTCGTCGCTATTATATATCTCCATCATCGTGTGATTACTATCCGCCTCAGCAGCAAAACTCACTGGATTATCAATAAGATTGACCTTGTCTCTATCTAGATTCTACCTATCATAGCGTCTTCACTAAGTTGTCAGCACCAGAGGCCAAACTGAACTCATAACCTTGCCCCTTCCCGGTACCCTATCCAAACCAAAGAATTCCAAAAGCGCAGTCATCATAGTCATCCTCCATAATTATTCGTCAAGCATTGAAATCATGTCCAGTCATCCATCCAGCATTACGCATTCCCAGCCCACTTCTCAGCAACCCTGGAAGTGATGAAGATGCCCGCCGCAATGAGCGTGAAACCCGGTGCAAACAGCAGCAAGATTGCCACGACGACAACATTTGCGAGGAACTCTGTAGAGCCCAGAGGTGGGGCACGCCCGATGAAGCCGGGCCCGATGGTTCGCACATTCACGACCGGCTCCCCTGGCACCTGCTTCCCGGCAGGGTAGTGTCCGCCCATGCTTTGCCCTGTCGGACTCTGGATGCCGCTGAGAGCTTGCAGCACGTCCGTCACGACCGGCCTGTGTTCGTCTTCCATGACGATCCCGTCGAGCCAGGCTCGTATGTTTCCGTGCGGGTCGTCCCCGTAGCTGCGGGTCGGATTCGGGTGGTGATGTTGATTTTCCATTGTTTGATCGACCAATGTGATTGTCGAGCGGTCATCCTCGCGGGGAAAGCGGCTGTCTTCTTTGGCTCTCTTAGTATCTTGATCTTTCGATGTTTGGTCTGAGGACGGGTTCTCACCAATGTGCTTCACGAAATTCATTTTGAATGACCAGTTTGCGCACAAAGTCTCCTTCGGGATTGGATGGGATCTAGAGAAAACCGTGAGATGGAAGCGACTGATTTTCTTTTAAATCTGACCTGCCTGATTCTTGTTTTCTTAGCACGTGCGTTGCTATGGGATGAGGAATGTGAGGGAGAGCGGCATCACTGGAATGCTTCAATCAAACGGGGCGGCTATTCCTCATCAGCGGCGCCCTTTGCGCAGTGAGACAAGAGGCAAAGATTTGAGTCACTTAGTGCAGTTGAATTTTTCAAGAGTTACTGGGCCTGTTGTCTTTGATTTGAATGGATTGAAGCCGCATGTGGTGTGATTCTTCATGGACCCAGTCTACGTTCCTGTCGGACACTAGAAAATGGATATGCAAGAGCCTTGCTTTCTATCAAAGCCCGGTATGGATAACACAGGCAATCTTTAATTGTCGACTTTGACTCTGCGACGACTTGATTGGTAATCGCTTCATATTATTTAGTTACAAATTACGGTTCCAAGGTCTACTCACCGTACAAAGCTGATGCGAATTAGCAAAATGTGTTTAGACACACAATCAAGCCCAACATTTACAGGTGATCTCAGATACCACCTTGAGTCGACAAAAAGGGACTTTGGTATGGTGATAGGGCTGAGGCCAAAATGCCCAGGCTGGGCGCGCTTCGACCAGTGAGTCAGCATGGTCCTACAAAAGGCATTCTCCAACCTCAACGTCGCTTGACTTTTGCTGCGTCCCCATCTCACGCTGTAACATCAAAACGGCCGACGAACTGCCGGATCTACCTTGGGCAGACCTCGCCGCCAGATTCACCTTCACCCACGCCAACCCTGAGGCCAGCGACTACAAAGACCTCTTCCCCCGCCTAGAACCCGAGCCGACCCTGGTGCCAGGCATCAACGACTTCATCCGCGTCTTCACAGAAGCCATCGCTGAGCACTCCGCCCGCGAACGCAGCAAATACGCGAAAGAATATACCAGCCCATCCCACGACGAGATTCTGGTCGACGACGAGACCGTCAGGGAAATCACCCCACTGTTCGGCCGGCTGCCTGAGTATGCGCACCTTGTCAACAACCCCAGCTGTCGCCACCGTCCCGATCCGCCGTGCAAATGTCTCGTCCCCTACAGCGAGCGCCGGGCAGACAGTCTTCTACGACCGTGGGAGGTGAACCACTGTTATGAGTTTGAAGAGGTCAACGGCGCCGGCTGGAAAAGCTGGCAGTTCCTACTGACGCTGCTCATCCGCGGCAAAATGGAGCCACTGCTCCGCCTTGCTTCAAATCCTGACAACGACTTTGACATATGGTCGACGGTTTGTGTGTGTCAATGTGGCGTAGGTATTGTGGCCCCCGCTTGTTCTTAAAAAGATCCCATTGAGCTCACCTAAGGTAATGTAGGCGGACGAAGGCAGTGCGCGCCATATGTACGAAAACGCAACCCTGGCTTTCATCTGTCTCCAGATCCTACGCCAACATCCGGAGACCTGGACTCGCTGCGATTATCGATTGACCAAAATGTATCAGAGAATGATCAGCAAGGCGACCGGCGCCGACGCGTACTCGCAGCTACCCTACCTCTCTCACCTGTACTTCCTTGGCCTTCCAGAACGCCCAGCGGGCCTGGCTCCGTACACGCGGATTCCCCAGCGCGATGTGTTCAACGTCGAATACATGCCGTATGATAGTGACATCCTCCCCGTGGAGGAAATGCTGAAGAAAAGAGGGCTGCCGACGGAGCTCGTCGCGGAGGTCATGAATTTAGCTAATTACAAGCCGCGGCGGAGACTGAAAGTCGCACACGATCCATTCCATCGCGATAATCGGGAGGAGCTGGACAAGTACCTGGCGGAGTGTTGGGCAGTGATGGTGCGAGGGAACGTGTTCTCAAAGGCTTTCGGCTGCGAGATGAACTGGGACAACGATTTGGTGACGGCATTTGAGCAGCTTTCCCCTGGTCTTCGCTCGATAGGGGTTCCGGAGATGGTGCGGTCCGACGAAGCCTATGTTCCAATGATTTATATGTTGGTTTGCAGATCTAATTGTGACTGAAGGGTATTGATGGGTCGTCACTGACGGCAAAGAGCCGGGCGAGGCCTGGGGTATGGTAGGGAAGGTTGCTTCAACGGTTGCCCTTTCCGAATGGGGAGACTATACTCAGCTCATAATCATGATTATACAGGTTCTATCAATCGCCGCAGATTATTGTGTCAATATGCCTCGGACGACATACCACTGAGCATCGCATTGCCGCTGGGCAATGGATCGCAGCGCTGCATGTCCGCAGCCGCAGTGCAGGTGAGTTTGGTGGCGGCTACTCCGTCCGTTCCGCCCATCAAGGAAGAGAGAACAAGACCCAAATTTTCGAAGAGACCGGCTGGCTGCTGAAATTTGCACTTCTTCCTCTTCCCATGACGAGCAGGCAGTGGTGAGCCTTCTAGGTTCAGGCCTTCTTGACAGCAGAGCAAATCGACCCGCTGCTTACTGGCACTGCAGCAACATTGGCGTATACATAACCCCTGCTCATGATGCAGTTTTCGGTCTGCTTCAAAATACTAAACAGCTGTCTACTAATGTTCCGGGTGTCTTGATTCACCAATTGGGCGGCGCGGCTCAATGTAGCTAGAGGCTCCGGTTCGACCAGACAATCGTGGTAAAAGCAAGGCTCTTGATGGGGGTGACCGGGAAGGATCCAGTGTCACGTTAGCAATTATCATTGCACAATGTGATTGGCCTTGTGTGGGGTAAAAAATCTCGTCATACCATCTCAGACGGGGTAACACTAGAAAAACTGGGTAACAAACCCAAAGTAACATTGGATACTGCTTCCGCCAAGACTCACTCAACGCTGAATGTCCCGTCTTATACGCAGACAAAATACAGGCAGCCGTAGTAGTGGATCATTTTCATGGGGTAGATGCATACGGTCGAAAAGAAGCCTTGCAAAAGCTGTCAACGGTAACGTAGGAGCGCGAGCCGCCCACGCGCACGCGCACACACATTTTGGAGTGCCTCATTGCTATTCGACGGACCATTGACCCGCCAAGCGTGTATAGAGGCGCCCCTTGGCATTACTCGAGGCTTATAAAATGCTGGAACGTCTCACTCATTTCAAGTCCTTCACTACTTGGATTCGATCGAGTGTAGCTAGTAGGTTCATGGTATCATTGTTCATCATGAGGGTTATTCATACATATACGTTTGTGTACAATCATCGACATCGACCCAAGGGATGGGTGCCTGATTGTCACATCGCCACTCGTCTATTTCCAGGGGTACTCCTGTGCACTGCTGCGATATCTGTTCTTGAGTTGGTCTTGAGGAGGTCAACAGATTGGCATAGATGTTTAAACATCACAGGTGAGTACTTCAATGATATTCTACTACAAGGCTGCTATGCCCTACTTGGTTATTTCTCTAGTATCTTTTCATGACTGGCATCGTTGTTCACTGATTCGGTCATTTGATGTGCTATAGACACATGTTCTTACGAGCTCTTCTGCGCCCTTGCTACGGCTCTTGTTCGCTTGGATGTCTGTCATTCCAGGCTTGCCGTGATGCGGTTGGTGCATTTCGCATCCATTACGGTTATTGCTGCTCTTTTTGCTCAGGGCTTAGGCTCTTTCTCCAAAATGACCATTCGGAGGGTCATCCTTCCCGTTCACCGCCATCTTGTCCCTATGCTTCTACAACAATTCCATTGCCTGAAATGGTTTGCATTGCGTCTCGACATGAACAGAAACAAAAAGGCTTCATATAATGCTTGGACAGCTCAACGAACTAGCTTTGTGAGTCTCACTGGGCGCAAACTGTCACGCCACCGGACCATGCAAAGTGTATCAGCGATACGATATTCAACACCGATGTTCCCTTCCAACGCTAATGGCAGCACTGCGACTTCGGAAAAGCTCTCTGAAATGCCCACGTCGGCGGCGCTTGATCTCAATACTACTGACAAGCCCTTCGATCAAAAGCGTACAAGAGGCCTGCAAGCTGTGCTCAAGCTGGCCACGGGAGGCAGCAGTCATGTCTCGACTCATGTTACTCATGGAAACATGAATTGCCCTGAAGGATCTATGTCAGGCCAGATTCCGCCGGCGCAAGTTCAAGACAACCAAACCAGCAGTGATTTCCAGACATCAGGAAAGCGCTCGTATCCCCAGCGCGAAGGTAGTGACGACGGTGAAGATGAGGATACCCCCAGAAGAAAGAGGTCTAGAACCGAGAAAAGTCCTCCCTTTGCTAAGAAGCTGGCCTGCCCCTTTCATCGCAACGATACTGAGAACCACCGAAAACATCGATCTTGCGCGGGGCCAGGATGGACAAGCATTCATCGTCTCAAGTGAGTGTGGCTTTTTTGCAGGCGTTCCCTTCTCAACTGCTGACTTCCGGCTACAGAGAACACATACTTCGACAGCATGCCTTACCAACCTACTGTCCTCGCTGCTTGAAGACTTTCAACGCCGAAACGGAGTGTAGGCTCCATCTGAGGCAGGCTGCACTCTGTCCATTGAGTGATTCAACTCCCCCAGAAGGCTACAACAAAGAGCAAGGAACAGCTCTCCGAACAAGAAGCAAGGGCAATGCGGAGCGGGAGTGGAAGGCCATATACCGACTTCTGTTTCCCGGTGTGCCGGAGGAGCTCATTCCAAGTCCATGTGAGTCCTCCTTACCTCTCATACCATACTGATGTCATTGTTGTATCCGATTCTTACTGAATGCAGATTATGATGATGACGATACGCAGTTGGAAAATCTCCAGCGCAGGGAATCAAATCGGTTCCAAAGACACATGGAACATACTGTTCCACGATCAGTATCACAGCTTCTTGAACAGACGAGGTTCGAGCTCTCCACCTCCCTGGATGTTCCAGTGCGTACTCGACTTGTCGAAATCGTCGTGCGCGCTGTTGCAGAGGCGTCTCAGTCTTATCGACAGCGTGAAAGTCCAACGACTGAGGCGCAAGCCCCTGCCGTCCTCAATCGGCCATCCACCCTCACTCAGCATCCTGGGACACATGGCGCTCTAGACAGCATTCTCCACCTGTCAACATATACGCCTACGCAGGAGCCATTTCAGCCTCAAGCCAACGTTCAACAACATGACAGTCTGGTATATGAGTTGAATCATTCTACTGGCGTTCGTGATGGTATAGAACATCAGGACAATGATTTGCGACCTGGGAACGAGCTGCTTGTGGACCCTTTGCTTCTAGACATGAGTCTTTTCGACTGGAACCCTGACCAGGATACCTCGTTTCAGGGCCCATAGGAGCAAGAGGGATAGAAAAGGGGGAAAGAGGTCGGATTCTGCTTTTGCTTTTTAAACTTTCATGTCAATAGGCACGATACTTAGGCCAGCTCATAGTCACTCCTTCAATCGCAAATCTCCTGGTGTTGTCTTGAAGTTTATCACACGTCCATTATCGCTGCATGCCATGAATCTAAAATACACATATGAAAAGGTGAAGCTCCAGAATGTACACTATCGTCTTCAGTCCCGCTGACTTTTCCCGCACACCTTTAACCGTAGTTAAGCTCGAACCTGGTGGCGAACCCAGCTTCCGTCGGCTCAACCTCCTTGACGGGATGAAGAATCATCGGCGGCAGACAAGGCCGGCCGTGCTCAATCTCCCAGTTCCTGCCGCCAATATCCGTATCAACGTAGCCCATCCAGTTGTTGTACAACCTGGAAGGGGGCTCTGCGCGGTAGTACCACGTTGTTCCTTGGTATCTCCTCTCCCTCCCGTAGCCGAACGGACTACCCTCGCCACCGCTGCCCATGTCCCCAGAATTGAACCACTTGTCCAGGAACGCACCGTTCCAGGGACGGTCAAACCAGGTAGGGTGCGGTGCAAAAACGGCCTTGAAACCGTGCAGCAGAGACACGGTTTGAGGGGTCATTTCCGACGCAATGTGGTTACCGCGCAGGTTCTCAACATGCATGATATCCAGCAGACGCTTCGAAAGGCGGGACTGCGTCACAATCGTCGTGCGCCTCGGAAGGGTCCTGGGGTCGGGGTTCTCTTCATCCTTGTATCCCCAGATGTTATCACCAAAAATCCAACTACTGTTCACTGGGTTGAAGATCGGACCAAGCGTGATCAGGTCGGCGTCCTCCCCGACACCCCACTTATACGCGTCGTCTTCGGGGTTCGCGACCGGCGGCTTGGGTCCGACGGGGTTGATAAAGGACACCTTCGGCGGGCCCCAAACCTGGCTGCCGCGCGTGGCCTGCTCGGTGTGCAGACGGAAATCGGTATCATAGTCTCCGTGGAAGGCGGGAATGTAGTACCGCTCGTTGCGTTCCCACAGGCCCCGGCGCGGCTGGTTCCTCGCAAAGCCTTCCAACCGCCGCACGAAGTCGTAGTTGTGCCCGACGACGCGGACGTCCATTTCCCAGTTCCAGATGAAATCGAACTCCGGGTGGTCGATGCTGAACTTCTGAACAGAAAGCCACTGCGCGTGGTGGACGGTCCGCTCCTCGGCGTCCGTCAGCGCCGTGTAGATGTCCCACACGGCCTGGTCGTTCCAGACCTTGGTCATGCTGTGGAATTCCTTGGGGATGTGCTTGTCCAGCACGTTCTGGCGCTCCTTGTCATCGAAGATGTTCACCGAGTCGTCGCGCACGTGCAGCAGGAGGAACACCTCGTACTCCCCACCGGAACGCAGCGACAGCTCCGAGACGAGCGCCCGGATCACCTGCTTGTCGTTCTCGGTGTACTTCTTGCCGGTGTACGTCCTCAGCAGCACGGCGGTCCGGCTCTCGTGCGCCGTGTCCTCCCGCGCATCCAGCTCGCCGCCGTCCTCCCTCTTCCTCATTTCATTCCCGTACTTGCTGGCGATGTCCTCGTACGCCGTGATGAGGTACTCGTTCGGCTTGCCCTTGCCGAACCGAGCTGCGTTCTGCTGCGCGCACTTCGTCTGCAGGTCACCCCATTTGATGCTGTCCCAATCGATCGGCAGGCCCGTCTTGGCGTGCAGCTGCGGCGTCAGCCCGTACTGGCCCAGCCGCGTGTCGCGCTCGTAGCAGATGTCGCCGTCCATGTCCATGATGTCGAAGCCGCCCATGCCCGGCTTGGGGAAGTCGCGCGGGTGGCCCTTGAAGACGAGCAAGTCCTCCACGGGCTCGCCGAGCGCGCCGACGCACGGCACGTACGCGGCGCGGCGCGTCTTGTTCCACTCGTCGCTGTTGTAGTCCGGGTACGGGTCGAAGTGCACCGGCCGCTGGTTCGCGGCCCAGGGCTGCTCCTCTGCGGCGGACTGTCTGAAGCGGTCTGCGAACTTGGCCGGGCGGTCGTCCTTGCGGCTCAGAGAGGCGAGCGTGTTTCCGTAGATCGCGCCGCTGCCAGGAAGCCTGATCATAGTGTGAGTTGGTCTGCGTTTTTGATGAAATGAAGATGACGCTCGAGTTAGTTGCGGCACTTACTTCTTGGCGGCCTCATACTCCCTCGCGAAATGGTCTCGCAGCTGCTGCTCGTGGTGCGACCTCGCAGCCTCGGCCTCCTGCTCCTTCTTCTTCCGCTTGGCCTCCGCCTCCTCCTTCTCCTTCTTCTTCTTCGCCTCCTCCTCGATCTTCTTCTTCCGCTTCTCCTCCTCGGCCTTCTTCTTGTCCTCAGCCTCGTCGTGCACTGGCACCGTCTGCGGCTGGTCCTGCTGCTTCTCCCACTCCTTGACCCTCTCGTCCTCTTCCGTCTTCTTGTCGCCCTCCTGCTTGCGTAGCTCGTCGTCGTCGTCCTGCGGCTTGGCGTCGGCGTCCGCCGGCGTTGTCTTGGGCTGCTCCGGCATCCACGGCTCAGTGAGCGGGACGACTGGCTTCGTGGGCGTCTCCTCGGCCAGTGTCGCCGCGTGCCCGTGGCGCCAGATGGCGACGTCCCGCCCGTTGCGGATGTACGCCGTCCATGATGTGTAGAAAAGGAAAGCGGCCACGGCCAGGAGAATGAGTGTCTTGGGTCGGGCCCTGGCCCTCAACGGGCTCTGCTTGAACATGATGCACTGCTTTTGTGTTTTGGCGTCTCCGAGGCGTTGAGGGAGTGTAAACGCTCCGGAGGGGGTGAGTGATCCGGGGATGGCCGTGTTCTGAAATGCCAGACCACCGGCGTTATGTTTCGAGATGCTGTCTCAGCTTCTCAAAAAGAAGGATGCCCAGTGAACAGTGACATACAACGGAACGAACACCACCAAGAAGCCAAGCAAAACCTTGACCCGATAAGAAATGGAAGTTGTAACCCGGTCAGTTCGTGGATGAGCGAAACTGTATTTCGATGAAGGGCATGGTGTGCGGGAAAGGGGGGGAGAAAAGAGAGTTCACGGAGGAAGGGCCCAACGGGTTTGTCCTGCAGCGCGCGGGTTATAGCGAGGCGATTCAGCTTTCGCAGGGATGGCCTTCCCATCTTTTGATGTGACAAGTGTGCTTCCTGTCAAGACTAGATAGATTAAGGGGTCTCATCTTCTAGAAAGTGTGATGCCGCGTGCGTGGGAATGGTGGTGTGGGAGGCGAAATAAGGTTTTGGCTGAGTCGGTTGTGATACATGGGATGGTTGACAACTGCCGCCTCATACCCCGTCCACCGCGTCTTGGCAACTTGCCGGGAAAGACTTCCTCAGGCAGCTGGGTGAGGGAAGCGCCCAGCTTTTCTGCCGATTGTTATTTCTTTGCAGAGCCTTGCGTCTCTTTCTTGAGTGCAGGACTGCAGATAACCTCTGTTGGCTCTTCAATCCGTCCCACATTTTGAGTTTGGACTTCCGACTTGAAGTTCCGACGATGCCGGCCACAACCCAACACACCACCACCTATCTCGACAACAAGAATAGAAATATTCTATGCAAACCATTCTGTCTTTTTATTTGAGATGAACTCATCAAAAATCTTCAGTGTCATGTCAGGTCTGAAACTCTAGTATTCAGTCCCAGAGGGCAAGGTGCAGGCGGTGGTCTGCCGGTGTTGGGGTAATAAAACAGAGTTTTTGTGCAAGCAAGGACTACTCGTCCAACGAAGTCATTAAACTTTCCTCGTTGAAAATGTGATGTGGTAATTGTACCTTCACGAGGCGACCCTTCCTGCAACAGGGGGAAGGGGGGGCAACGCAATTCTCTTGGCGTAATGCTTGACGTCGCACCCGGTGGCTGCTCTGGGCAGAATAGAAGCAGTGATAACGGCTACGCAGTAGGTTGAACGCGTCAAGCTGGGTGGCACAGAAAGAACAGCCCAAGATTGCATGCAAGAACGGGATCAACGATCTTTTCCCCCGAATGCATTCCCTTTGATTGCCATCTCGAGAATCTCTCTTCCTGCGTTGGACGAGGGCAGGGGTTCGGGCCTCGACAATCTCATTTCGGCTCAAAATTTCGTTTCGATATTCCTTCGAAGAGTAGGATCTGGGCAGTTGAGACTTATCGCCGCAAAGAGCGTAGATAAGGCCATGACAAGCATGGACTGCGTTCCATCACGCCATCCTCCGCGTTGTTCTTGCCACCATTCGGAAATCCCTACTCTTCAGGCAACGAGCGCTTTCAGAGAGCTGCTGACCGCTCAAGTCCGTTGAAAGTCCGTTGAAAGTCCGGTGAGCATCGAGTTGCAGTCCTCGCATTGTCCCTCCCCACTTACAACGTCTGAAGAGCCAATCCGGCGCCCTTGCTTAATCGCTTCGAATCGGCACCCCGCGGCGGGGCAACTTCGTATTCTATCGGAAAGTTTAAATCACCGCAACTTCATCTCCTCTTTGGCGAGCTCCAATCGAGCAGATTTTGGTCCATCGCAATTCCAACAGCCCGTAAAAGATGTTGTCTCGAGATAAGGCTGAGAGGGCGATATTTCCTGGTTCCATGCATCTCCCACGTGAAACTCAAACAATCGCGGCTTGGGGTTCAATCGAGGTTGTATTTGACTTGTTTTTAAGGTTAGTAGTAAGGTATCAAAAGACCGCGCGACCTCCCGCTGTGTTCTATCCGGCCGACTCCTGGCAATCCTTTTCGCGTCTTCGGACGATGGCCTCGTGGCCGCCAGCATCCGGGCTTCCATCCCGCCTAGTGCTCGACCTTGAGTGAGAAGTCGACGTGCGGCACGCCCTGGTGAATCGCGCTCGTCGAAACAATATCCACATCTGCGTAAATCGTCAGCCAAACAATCCCTCGAGCCCGATGTATCCCCAGAGTTCAACATCATCAACGACTCACCATTGCACACGTAGTTCTCCACATTCTCCAACGTCAACCCGCCCGAGACCTCGACCAGAAAGTGCCTCTTGCCAGCCCACCTCTCCTTCAGACTCCTCGCCGCAACCTTGACGCCCTCGCCCGTGAAGTTGTCCAGCATAACCACGTCCGCGCCCGCCTCAATCGCCTCGTCCGCCTCCGCCTCGCTCTGCACCTCCACCTCCACCTTCAAGCTGAACCCGCCCACGCTCTTCGCCGCCCGCACCGCGTTCGTGATGCTGCCCTTGCTCCACACGTGGTTGTCCTTCAGCATGATCATCGAGCTCAGGTCGTGCCGGTGCGCGTCCGCCCCGCCGACCATCATGCCGTACTTCTCCACCAGCCGGAACCCCGGCGTCGTCTTGCGCGTGCCCGCCAGCACACCCCGGTACCCCGCCGCGCGCAGGTTCACCAGCATCCCGCGCGTCATGCTCGCCACCCCGGAGCACCGCGCCAGCGTGTTGAGCGCGACCCGCTCGCCGAGGAGGAGGCCGCGCGTCGGGCCCGTGACGGTCGCCACGGCCATCTTGCCCTTGGGCGCGCCGCCGTGGCCGCGCAGCTCGATGTGGGAACCTTCTTTGACGTGCCACTCGACGGTGCAGTCGCACTGCCGGAAGATCTCGTCGACGAAGGGGCGCCCCGCGACGATGCCGCCGGATTTGCCCCAGAGGGTCGCCTTGCGTGGGTCTGAGCCGACGACGAAGCCGCCGTAGTCGAAGGAGGGTGTGTCCTCGGCCAGCCAGGCGGTGACGAGGGTCTTCCAGGAGGGCGGGAGGAGGTGCTCGAGGGAGCCGTGCTCGAGGGGGACGTCTTCCATTGTGCGGTTCGTGGTGGGGGTTGCGGGGTAGTTTTCGTTCGTTCGATCGGTAGGTGTGTAGATTTCGTGGGGGATGTTCGGTGTCGAAGGATCAATTACTCGTGGGGAAATTGGCAGGAATTAGAAATTGCAATGTGAGATGTTTGCGCCGCGAGGAAGGGAGGCAATCTTGAAGAGCAGGAAGGGGTCTTTGTCGCCACGGTTTGAGTTTCGTTGACGTTGACGCCGCGGCTTGAGTCGGTGCCGACTGCTGCCGGTCGCTGCCGATGGTGGGGTTGGCGGGTGCCAGCTCGGCGGGGCGTCTGTGCAATTGCCGCCAGCTGTGCTGCATCCGACGCGCCCATTCCCGACGGTGTAAGTCTTCTCACTAACAACGTTCAAGGCTGATTGATGGACCTTGACTGCGAACAAGCTCTGGCCAAGGTGACCTTATGGCAATTGTCGTGTTTAGGAACCGAGGACATCTGCAAAGTTTGGCCAATATTCGCAATCAAGTGCGGGTTTGACCTGCGCAGGAGAGATCACCACTGGATGCAGCTTGGCTAACACCGGGTGAAGATCACTTAGACGCGGCAATTCCATCAACCGTACGGCCCAAAAGCCAGAGTCTTGCTGGTCAATTTCATTTGGAAGTATTGATGGAGAGATGATATGAGTTTACTGCTCTCAACGAGCCATCGCCGCCGAGTTCTTCAACCTCCAGCATCTCGTCACCATCCAACGCCGGCCTCTGAGCAAGCAACCCTTGGTTGCTCCCACCATGACATCCAAGAACAACCGTCGATCACCCTCCACGCCATGTCCCATCTCTCCCCTCTACTCTCAAACGTTCTCAAACTTTGCATCGTCTATCGCGTATGCGCCCCGACATCCTCAGCATCAACATCCGGTCCCGGCCCCTGAAGATGCGCCGCCGGATCCCTCTGCACACTACCCCCCTGCTTCGCCCCGTTTGCCCCGTTCTGTCCTGACTCTCCACAGCACGGCACAATCACGCTCGTCTTGTTCCTGACCCCAGGCATATCCAGCGCCGGGTTCGACGTGAAGAAATCCGCAGGCCGGATGTGCATCTGATGGATCTCGACGGGCCTGTTCCGACATTAGCAAACAACCCAACTCACTCGGCCAAATGCTACTCACATCACAGGCCAGTCCTCAACCCGAGGATTGTGCGTCAGCCCGAAAACGCTCCAGATGACCGGACTACTCTTCCTCCCCTCACCTCCTCCGTTCCTCTCCCCAACATCACCATCACCATCGCCAAACCAGTCCCCCCGCTGCACCATATCCCACACGCCCCCCTCCTCCTCAACGCTCTGGTTCGTAAACTCCCCCGCCGCCCACAGCTCCTCATCCCGGTGCCCCGTCACCCACGCATGGTGCCGCGCGAACTTGGCCCTCTTACTCACCTGGCTCGCCTCGTCCGCGAGTATCAGCTGCGTCGCGCTCGGCACAAGCTTGTACGCCACGTTCCGCCCGCTCACCGCGTTCCGCACCCGCCGGTTCTGCATCTTCACCACGCGGTTCACCCGCGGCTCCGCGTCCACCCAGCACGCGCGCTCCACCTCCCGCTTCACCACTTTATAGAAATTCCCATACGGGTTCGTCCGCTCGTCTATCGCCACCGGCACGCTCTCCTCCACCACGACCCCCGTGTCCCCGGCCGCGTACGAGTCCACCGCGGGATCGATCCGCACCGCGAACACGTGCTGGTGGTTCTGCGCCAGCACCCCGTCCGCCACGACGACCCCGTACTCGCTCTCCGTCTTGCCCGCGTCCATCGCCACCACGCTCATCACCCCCGTCGCCCGCGTCTCCAGCGTGATCCCCCCCGCCGTGTCGAGCTTGTACGCAAACACGTACTCGTAGTTCGCCAGCGTGACGACGCACTGCACCACCAGCTCCCGCAACCTCGTCACCACCGCCCGGTTCGTGCGGAAGTTCGTGTGCTTCCACCCGATCCCGTTGTCCTGCTCGTGCAGACACACCACCGCCTTGGCCACCGTCGGGTTGCCCCCCGCATCCGCCAGCAACGCGTCAAAGTAGTGGATCGCGCCGAGGCAGTCGCACCCGAGCTCGAGGTTGTTCGCGACGCGGCCGAAGCCGCCGTCGCCGAGGTCGAAGGCCTGCTTGCGCTGGAAGGGCGGGCGCGGGTCGCCGTAGGGGACGGTGAGCTCGCTGTAGCTGAGGCGGAAGAGCACGGGGCGGTTGTCGTAGCAGAGGTCGTGCAGGACGGCGCCCTCGCGCGGGGTGAAGCCGAGGCGGAAGCGCCACTTTTGCCAGGACACGAGGTTGTCGCTGTGGACCGTGAAGCTGGCGCCTTCAGGCTGCGTGATGTTGATGGGTTTCAGGTCCGCGCGCTGGGGGACGTCGAGCAGTTCCGGGACGTACTCAGCGCCGGGGGTGATCTTCGTCGTGAAGAGCGGTTTGGGGCCGGCGGAAGTGTTCCTGGGTTGCGGGTGCAGGGAGTCGTCTTTGCCGCCCGTGGCGAGGCGGTCGACGCGGACGATCTTCTTGGTGGTGAAGTCCATGACGGGGATGATGGGGATCGGGTAGGCGTAGTGGTTCGAGTCCAGGTTGTCGGCGGCGGCGTCGCGGGCGAAGACGAGGCCTTGCATTGTGCGTGGGATGGCGCCGTCCGATGGGTCTGGGCCGCCGTAGGGCCAAGGGTCAATCGTGACTGTAAAGTTCTCGGGGAGGGAGAACTCCGACATTGCGTCTTTGAAGAGGGGAGAGGCGATGCAGGCGTCTTGGAAGGCGCCGAACTCGTCGCTTTGATATCGTGTCAGTGTGTGCAGACATGACTTTCCAGGAGGGGCTTACGGGGTGTAGCCGGTCTGAGACTCTGGCTTGGCCACGATGCGCTCGGCTTCTGTCTTCTTTTCGAGGTCGACGATGGATGTTGTGTACTCCGGGAGCTTCCCGTTCTTGATTACATCGTACTGGAGCCGCGCCCGTCGCGGAGGGCGCGGCGTGCTGTCGCTGAGGGTGCCTTCATGCTCGGCTTGCAAGAAGGGAATGAGCTCTGCTTTCTTCGGCTCTTGCAGGTAGATTGCGCGGAAGAAGAGCGTCACTTCGGAGGAGTAGAGCTCCTTCACGACGTCGCCGGCGAGCTTGAACTCGGCCTCAGAGAGATCCTTTAACGGATGAATGGCCATATCTGCGCAGTCACGTATTATTTTTCTTGGGAATTGAGACGGACTGACTGAGGCGGGCGAGGGAGCGGCAGCGACCAGCCTTATCTAGACCTCAACGGGCGGCTGGGCGAGATGCAATGCGGGGGATCTTGCAGTAGTCTGGTGATATCGAGCCATTCAAACGCCTCCGGTATGCGACGGTTATCTTGGCGTGTGACCACAGATATGCCGCTGCTTCCTGTGGGAAGCACGACTACACATAGTCTTGACGCGATATGCAAACCAACTAGGCCAGCTCAAGACCATGACGGCGGGGTAATTGGTCTTGTCAAGATGATAGCTTCATCATGGCGGGGTAAGCTGTCGTGCATGCCCAATCCAGACTCTCATGACCTGTAGTTTTCTCCAACATTTTTGGAGATCTTGTCGTCTCTCTAAGCTGATCTCATGCCGCATTGGGTAAGTCCATGCGGTGCAGCAAGGCGATTGGCTGCGGCCTCCATCGGCGTTTTGGGGGTCGTTGTCGGTACCGCAGCGAAGGATCGCGCGAAGCTGACCCAGCGTGGACGAACTTCTCCGGGCACCAGCCGAGAGACTGAAGGCACTGTCTGACCCAAACCCCGTTTCCTGTGTCGTTGCATCCCGTTTCTTGTGTGATTGTTCATCTGTGATGTTTTCTGTGCCATTCAATGGTCATGGAAACGACCGCTACACGGCCCGAACAGAGTTACGTCAACAACGGTCCAACGTCGGAGCCGTGCATCAACATGGCATGAGCAGATCTGCAGGAAAAGAAGATTAAGATTAAGCTACGTTCGAAGCATGCGATTCATCTGACCTCCGAGGTCGTAATTCGCAATGCTGGTTATCCCCTCAAACTCGAGCGTTGCAATCCGGACGGAGGCCGGTCCACAATCGAGTATCAAGAAGTGGTAGACAAGAAGCACCTCGGCAGGCTGGCCCGTGACACGGCATACCGAAGCTGCACGCTGCCGCCCGGTCAGACGGCCGGCCGCTCGTCCGTTGCACGTCTCGGCACATGAGACCAAGAGACTTTTTCAAACAAAGAGCGTTGATATGATGATCAGAGACATGTCCCGCGACCCTGAATTTAACACGCAAGGCAAGGTTGTTGACCCACATCCAAGAATGAGCGACGGCAAAGACGACAGCAAGGACGGCCTTGTGGGAGAGCCGCACCGAGTTGATGGGACAGCTCGGGTCAAGAGTTTGGGCTTGAGTTGTTTCGTATACAAACACTTGTTTGAGAGAAATGCTCGCTGTTCAAAATGAGAACGCACCACCGTAGAGACTAAGTTATCATGACCGAGACCGTGATGATTGTCGAAATGATAATCGACGGTGGAACGTGCGCCGTCGTCTCTTATGCGGCAAAACAAACTTCGAGTTAAGCAAGTCATCATATGGCATTGTCAAGCTCCCCCGGACGAGTTCAGATTCTGATCGACCGTCGTCCAACGGGGCATGACTCGATCGGCAGGAGTCATCCGCAAGACCGGGTCGCTGTGGCCTGCGGCTGAGGTTGAGGCTACCTAAGATAAAGCAGTGGGCCGCTGTTTGGAAAGAAAAAGGAAAGAGGACTGAGAGACGTTGCGTAGACGTGGTTCTTCTCGCAACGGCGGGCCGTTCTGTCGATTGCCAATGTGGGAGCTGTGGGTGGCATCAGTCTCGAGATGCGAGCGAGACCGGTCATTGGGTCGCTGGTGTTCGGATTGTAGTCATCCGCCTAGAGCCGAGACCATCGGATGCACCCGGCGGCCAGTCATCTGGTAGATGCATCGTGAAATGGCTTGCGTGGCATGGCGATTGTGCAGGGCGACAGGGCGGGACGGCGGAATGTCTAGACTTCTCGCAGAGACATCGGACGAAGGTGGAGGGCGCTCAGCCCCAAACGCGGGAGTAAGGTTGATGCTGTTTGATGTCAGGAATTTCTTGTTATGGGCACACTGCGTTTTGTAAGTGATGTGCCACGAGCAGTAAGGGAGCGTCTCATGTCTGCATGCTTGGCGAAACGGAGACGGTTCGGACTGAGGACGACACTGAAGTGGTGTTCAAGGCTCTAGGCGGTGTTTGGCGATGCGATGGCTTGATTCTGCGTGGGGAGTTCATGTCCTTTTACCGATCATGACATGAGGGTGGCCACTTGGCGTCGATGCCACGAAACAGGACAAGACAACAGCCTGCCTTGGGTGAGGTATCTTGGCGGCAGTGACGAGATGGTCATTCCATGGCGCACGGCAGTTCAGAAAGAAAAGCGGAGGACGGGGAAGGCTCCTGGTCGAGGCCAAGTTTAATGGCGAAGGATGTGCTGCTATTGGTTCGCGCGGGTGCGGGGAGTTGTCTCTGGTTGAGTTGACGAGGCTTGATGAGGCTTGACGAGCACAAGCGGTGGCCGACGTCTGCGAACCGTGGAGGCATTTTACTGCGTTCGACGGCGTCTGGGCTCTGGACAGCCGTGGTCTGAAAGATCCGATGCTGGTGGTGGTGCTGCAGGTGCTGGAAAAGGCAGGCATGTACTGCGTACATAGTAGAGTCAGTCCAGTTCTGAGAGGATGAACGGCGAAGAGGTGGAGGTGCAGATTGATACCTATTTTAGGAGGCGTCCATCCAGGGTGCTCCCTTCTGAAACGCGCCAATTTATCTGATGTCGTGATGGCCCGGGGATCTCCATGATTGTTTTCTGGGCCGGCTTTGGTGCTCAATTGACATTCTTATTTCTCCTTCTCGATCTTTTTCGGGCCTCCCTGTCGTCCATGGACACGCCGAGATCCGCGAGGGCATCCACAGGACGGATCCCAATTACCAGAAATCTTGCTGAGGCCCCTGTTCGGGACACCGAAGCGAAAGGAGGAGAAAAAGACACCTGGTACGTGCCTCGTCCGGGTACAAGGTAAGGCACCTAGGTACGTATCGTCAGGGGTGAGCCAGCGAGTGTCTGGCTTAGGTAAGGCACAGAGAATGGAAAACACGTGGAAGGAACTCCCAGGCAGGACTTGGCATTGATATGGCAAGACGAACAGCAGGTGCAGGAGCGCAGAGACCAACTGATTCCGCCTGCCCTCAGTGTCTCCTCATCAGATGTGCTTGGTGATCCATCCTGCCACCTGCGTATCCGTACGTGTGTGATGCCATCCATTATCCATGGACGAATTTGACTCGAATCCGTGCGCCATTCCTTGGGGTCCAACATGCCCAAAATCCAGCCTTCCAAGGGACGAGCATTGCTTCGTGCAGATTGCTCCGCCAAGGCCACATCAGGCTAGACGTCCGCCGTCCCACGACTCGTTGAATACCTACTTTTTCCAAGTTAACCGGGCCAACAATGTTGGGCGACTGACTTCCACATTCGAAGCGAAGGCTTGCTCAATCTTACGAGCACGCACACATACACATAAACTCCTTACTAAGAGCAGAGTGCAGAAGGCATTTGACGCGACGCGATACGAGACTTGCACGAGACGGGCGAGACGGACTCGAGTCAATCGACGAGACGGGACTCTTTGTCTGGACCGCCGCCGTGTCTCCCGTCCCCCGTCCCCCCGTCTCACAGTCACTCTCACTCGGCAGCTCTTCCCGAGCACAGATGCCGCGATGCTCATTCGTCATATCCGTCGGCAGATGGCGTAAGTCTTTGGGCACTTTCTTCGGGCACTTTCTTCGGATTGTTTGTATCCGTCCCGTGTCCCGGCTTCCAGTGCTTCAGTGATTCATCCATTGCCTCGCTCGCCCTACCCGCCTGCCACCAGACCTCGGGCTTGTTCGTGTCTGCAATGTCCATGCACACAGCGCGGTCGAGCACGGGGATCCCATCTCTTGGTGTCTTTCCCGTCCGTGCAATCCGCCCTCCCGTGCTGTCTCATCCGTCGTCTGGCCTGTCTGGCCTGTCGAATCCCCTGGCAGCAGCGCCAAGCGGCCAAGTTGCCCGTCAGCACCGGCGCCCATCCATCCACTACCTTAGGCCAGGTAAGGACTTGGGAAGCACTGCGCCGTAGCATTCGCGCCAGGGACGATCGTGTGGTTCTCCGACGGCCGGAAGCACCTCACGCAGTAGCGCATGCGCATACAAGGCAAGTGTGAAGATGGTGAGGTGGAGGTTACGCGGTGACGATGCAGTGTGTACGTACTTTGCTGAGGTGTTGTCAGCACCGCAGCCCGCAGCAGGCAGACCCGGCGGCGACATCCAGCCAAGCAGCAGGTGCAGCAGGAGCAGGTGCAGCCAAGGTACCTACCCTGAGGTGTACCTTCCAGGGGGCCACGCCACGGCCACCAGCCAAACCAAGGAAAGAAGGCACAGAAGGGACTTCCATTGCTCATTCTTTTCCCGACCCGTCCAAGTCTCGTCCAGTCCATTGCATTGCGAATCGAATCGACGAATCGCTCGACTCCCTATCGCAACTTGCTCCTCCGAAGTAGCGCAGCCTCCATCTGCCAATCGTCTCTTCTTTTCTTCTCTTTATCGCTGAGGTGCCCTCCACTCCCTCCTCCCTGAGTCCCTCCCTTGCATCCCGACCTATTAAAGACTCGCCCCGTGCCAAGTCTCGCCCGTTTCCCATATTCCTGCTGTCTCGAGGTTTTGCGAAACTCGACCTTCACTCACTCAACGAAGCAAAAACTTCGCTCCTTGGACAGAAAACCTGCCGACGACCGCATTTCTACGAAGACACGCAGCACGTCCAGATCAGCCTCTCGCTCAAGCCGTTCGGTGCCTTAATTGGAACACCTCAGTCGTACTCGGTGCGGCACAGCACAGCCATCCGCCATCTTACGCAGCCCTGCATCCACCCCAAATCGTGTCCTCCAGCCGCATCGCCCTGACCGAAGACAAAAAAAAAACATCACTAGGACCCTGGGCGAAGTCCCCTAATAATATCTTCGCCCATTTTATTCTGCCAACTTGCCGTCTACAACACAACAACTCTGCCCTTCCAGAGTCTCGACGACGTCAATTCGTCTTCATTCTCTTTCTACGTCTCTTGGCATTCAGATCGATCGCCGGGGAACTCGACCCAGTCGTCCCGTCCTGACCTGCGCCTCTCTCTGCGACGACGCTATCCCAAAGGTGCGCTCCGGTCCTCGTCTGCCCGTTACGTCTCCAGGCCCCACGCACTCTCTATCCGCTACCAGCTCATCCCTTCACCACCCAAACCTTGAACAAGCTCCCTCCCCTATTCCCCCGACCCAGACTTCCTTTACCTGCCAGCCCTACCCGCCTGCTCTTCGCTGCGCAGCTTCTTGCGCCTCAACCTGTTGCCGACGTGCCCGTTTTTCCTAATAATTTCCAAACTGACACCACCTCTCTTGGTTTCGCAGGAATCACCAAGCTGTAGTCCAGGCCCTCCAACTGCCGCGGCTTTACCTTCTTTATACTCCGAATTCGACGTCCCCAACGGCTTTTTTAAGCAACCACGTCGCATTCGTTTCGGCCCCCAAAACGTCCTTCTTTAAGGTCGCCGTCACTACAGCTTCCGTCTTTGCCAAGAGGAATTCGACTTCCCAATGACTTCATAGTCGTCAATTCATTCAACAAGAAAACTCGCTCTTTACAATACCACCTTCGCCATGCTTACCCCCAAGAGAGCCGTCGCCGCGGCCGCCTTCTTCCTAATCGTCTTCTACTTAATATCCTCCTCCCACGACACAACAACCACCACCTCCACGAAAGCTCCCGTCGCCGCCTCGAATCATGATACGACAGACTCCTCAAAGACGTCACATGCCTCCTCGATCGACAGCATGGAGCCCTCCTTCCCGAAGAAGGTGACTGGACAAAAGCCCATGATGGACATGTCCAAGATGTCGCTCGCCGACAAGCTGGCGTACCAATACCCCTATGACGTCGAGACGCGTTTCCCTGCCTACATCTGGCAGACTTGGAAGTGGACGCCTGCCGAGGAGGAGTTCAGCTTCCGTGAACAGGAGGCGTCTTGGTCCGAGCAGCATCCCGGCTTCGTCCACGAGGTTATCACGGACAAGGTTGCTGTCAACCTGCTCCGTCTGCTCTACGCCTCCGTTCCCGAAGTCCTCGCCGCGTACGACGCTCTCCCTCTCCCCGTCCTCAAGGCCGACTTCTTCCGATACCTGATCCTGCTTGCGCGCGGCGGCATCTACTCCGATATTGATACCTATGCTATCCGGTCTGCTCTCGAGTGGGTTCCCGAGCGCATCCCCCGGGAGAGCATTGGTTTGGTCATCGGCATCGAGGCCGACCCTGACCGCCCCGACTGGAAGGACTGGTACAGCCGTCGCATTCAGTTCTGCCAGTGGACCATCCAGTCTAAGCCCGGCCACCCTGTGATGCGCGAGATCGTCACCCGCATCACGCAGGAGACCCTGAAGCGCAAGAGAGCCGGCCTGCTTGATAATATTATCGACAAGAACGTTGTCGAGTTTACGGGTCCGGCCGTCTGGACGGATACCATCTTCGACTACTTCAACGACCCGCGCTTCTTCGACCTGAAGAACTCCAAGGGCCCTATTGACTGGAGGAATTTCACGGGCATGGAAACTTCCAAGAAGGTCGGCGACGTGGTGGTCCTCCCCATCACCAGCTTCAGCCCTGGTGTGCAGCAAATGGGTGCCAAGGATTATGATGATCCCATGGCATTTGTCAAGCACGACTTTGAGGGTAAGATACAGTTGAATGATGACTCCAGAATTCCAGCTAACGAGGATGTAGGCACATGGAAGCCCGAGGAGCTCCGCCATATTGGCGAGCAGAACGAGGAGAAGGCCTCCTCCTCATAAACCCCATGACAGCAACGACTTTTCTTTCGGCATATGTCTTTTGATAATTGCATCTCAAGCGGCGTCCTAAAGCCATGTTTTCGGTGCGGACGGGGTTTCACGTGTTTTGATTTTTGAATTGGCTTTGTACGGCATCGGTGGAAGGAACTACGAGCGAACAGCATATTCTGCAAAACAGGAAAAGCATAGAGATTTCGGCATAGAGGTCCATTTCCAGTTCCCATCAGATCTCAAGAGGAGGACGGCCTTCACAAGGAGGGCCGAGAGACTGCAGTCATTAGCATCGCGGTACATATACCCCAGACAGTTACAGTCAGAAATGAAGCGGTAAAGAGTTTAAGCCCCTCGATGCAATTTGTTTACATGGCTCGTGAAATGTCTTGGAAACTTAGGGGACCCAAGCCTCTGCATTGGCCTGTCTGTTCGTTGACGCACCTGCAATCACCCGCAGCGGAAGCTTGGCCGACTTGGCCAACAACGTAACAGCAATGAGGCGAGCTGGGCATTCGCAGGCGGCTCCTTCGGGCCCCCGGCCGAGGTTAACGTCACCGTGGACCTGCAATGGAGTTGTTCCCTGTCGCTTGTGTTGCGGCGCCGTGCAACCCCGCACATTTCCCCCCTTTTTCTCCGCATTTTGGGATCGGGCAGCTTGGAGCTCTCAGCTCTCTTCCCCTTTGCCAAGACTGGACCTTAGGTTGGGTAGGTTGACCCCCCCCCCCCCGGGCGCCGGCCAGACGCGGTCCGGTGGGAGTGCGCAACACCGCATACCAGACAGCTGCCAGAGCCGAGAAGCGACCAGCCTCCCCTCACTTGTTGTTTTAGCCTTGGCTGCCGGTTATTGCGTACCCGCCAGGACGGAACCTCTCAAGCAACGACGGCTCTCTCATATGAGAGCTGTGCGAAGATTGCCGGTCCGCCCGTTCGTCGACCTTTTTCTTGTTAATGTCTTTTGTCTGTCTGTCAATCTCTGAGGATCTGAAGTGAGGACTACAGAGCTTCCTTTTCAACGTCCGCGACCAAGTGCAAGATGAGGATGCCGGTGACTGGGGCCTGCCGCCTTGCGAGGTCCTCGAGCCTCGTGAGGTGGACGAGCTCGAGGGTCGCGGGCAGAGGGCTGCTTTCTGCCAGGGCTTATAGCTCCAAACCACTGAGCTTCAGCCAAGGTCCAGAGGATGTACGTCACTCATTTTCTTACCCTTTCTCCTAAACATGAGAGAGACCTCACTCTCATCTCAAACCACAAACATCCCTTCAAAGCTAACACCCGCCAGCCACCTCTCCTCACGCACACAGTCCCAGAACACTTCGCCTCCATCGTCTCCGCCCACGGCGACCGCCCCGCCGTCGTCGCCCGCGCCCCAATCGCCCTCTCCTCCGCCGCCACAACGCCCATCACCACGGAGCTGTCCTACTACGACCTCGACGTGCTCTCCAACTCCCTCGCGCACGGCCTGCGCTCCCTCGGCGTGCGCAAGGGCGACCGCCTCGCCGTCTCCCTCGGCAACGGCGCCGAGTTCGCCGCGCTGACGTATGCGGCCTTCAAGCTCGGCGCCGTGCTCGTCCCGCTCAACCCGGGCTTCAACGCAAAGCAGGTGGCCGCGGCGCTAAGGCATCTTGGCGTCGAGGTGCTTGTCATCGGGAAGGTGACGGATCTGCCGTATAAGCCCGGGCGGGGGCGGAGCAATCTCGAGCTGTTGAGGGCGCTGGTGCCGGATTTGGAGAAGGGGAGCGTCGAGAGCGAGGCGGTCCCGAGCTTGAGGAGGGTCGTGGCGGTGGACAATCTGGCGTTCCACCCGCAGGTCGAGTTCGGGAGGTACCGCGCGCTGACGAGATATGAGGAGCTGCTCGCCGGCGGGCGGGGGAGCGTGGTCCCGGACGAGGCGCTGCGCGCCGACGAGACGATTAATATACAGTTCACGAGCGGGACGACCTCGCAGGCGAAGGCGGCGATGCTGACGCACACGTCGGTGCTGAACAACGGGCACCTGATCGCGCGGCGGATGGGGCTCGTGCCGGGCGACAGGATCGTCGTGCCGCCGCCGCTGTTCCACTGCTTCGGGTGCGTGCTGGGGTACATGGCGACGGCGACGACGGGGGCGGGGATCCTCTTCCCGAGCCCCGCGTTCGATCCGGCCGCGACGGTGAGGATGGTCGCGGAGTATGATGCCACGGGCTTGTACGGGGTGTCGACGATGTTTGTCGCGGTGCTGGAGGCGCTGGCGAGCGGGGCGGGCGGCGTGAGGCAGGGGGAGATGCCGCGGGGCTTGAGGAAGGGGATCGCGGCGGGGAGTAGTGTGCCGGAGAGCCTGATGCGGCGGCTGTATGAGACGGTGGGGCTGGAGGAGCTGGTGATTTGTTACGGGATGACGGAGACGAGTCCGGTGAGCTGTATGACGGCGCCCGGGGATCCGTTTGAGAAGCGGACGGGGAGCGTGGGGCGGGTGATGCCGCATACGAAGGTGAAGATTGTGGACCCCGGTGATAGGGGGAGGGTGGTGGAGCGCGGGGAGAGGGGGGAGCTGGCGGCGGCGGGGTATCTTGTGATGAAGGGGTATTGGGGGGATGAGGAGAAGACGGCGGAGGTGAGGGTGGAGGATGAGGAGGGGACGGTGTGGATGTACTCTGGCGACGAGGCGGTGATGGACGAGGAGGGGTATGTTGAGATCACGGGGCGGATTAAGGATTTGATTATTCGGGGTGGGGAGAACATACACCCGCTCGAGGTGGAGAATTGCCTGTTCCAGATGGAGGGGGTGAAGGAGGTTTCTGTGGTGGGCGTGCCGGATGAGAGGCTTGGTGAGAGCGTGGGCGCGTTTGTGGTGGTGAAGAAGGGGTGGAAAGGGGAGGGGGAGGATGGGGATGGGGAGGTGTTGACGAGGGATGCGGTGAGGGCGTGGGTGAGAGAGCATCTTTCGAGTCACCTTGTGCCGAAGCATGTGTTTTGGATTGATGAGTATCCCAAGACGCCGAGTGGGAAGATTCAGAAGTTCAAGTTGAGGGGTATGGCCAAGGAGGTTTTGGGGGAGAAGAAGGATTAGGGGTAGGGGGAAGGATTTGGGTTGGTTAAGGACAGCATTGTTATGGAGTATTGGGTGTGTTTTCTATGATGACAGTAAATGAAATATTTAAGGAATGACATATCTAACTTGTTGTCCTTTGACTCTGCCACGAGAGTCCGGAGAGAGTTCAAAGTCCGCGAATCAAAAGTCTCTGGGAATGCAACAAGTCTCATGACCCCACGCATTCTTCCATCCCGTGCTCAAAGTCAGAGTTCAAAATCGCCAAAACTCGTCATCCAGAAGCTGATTATCCATCCAGTCTGCGCCCTCATGCTGTTGTCCCATACCGTTAGGGCCGCCCACAAAAGAATCAAGATCACGCTGAAGGCCAGACGATGGCAGGAGTGGTCCAAAGATGTCCGCAGCCGTTGACGGAGAAAGCCCACCATGGGCTCTCTCAGTCATTGCAGTGAGAGTCGGAGCCTCCAAAGTAGCCTCGAGACCGCACTCTTCAGTCGTCTGAGATTGTTGGGCAGCGTCGGAAATGTCCGGACCATCCGTCCTCTTTGGCAAGTTGGTATCCTGTTGCCGGTACGGTTGAAAGGCGTCTGCATGAGCAGTCTCGACGATTTGAATCACCTGGCGGAATATCTGGCGTTGGAGCGGCTGTGGAAGCTGGAAGCTCGTCTGTTCAAGACGCCTCCCCACCTTTCGCGGTAGTACGAGCCCGAAGTAGCTCTCCATCTGGTCCAGATCTCTGCGCCGACGTTTCTCCCATTCCTTGGTACTATTTTCATAGTCTAGAGAGTGTGAGTGAGCGCGCATCTGATGATAGGTAGTGTTTGAGAGTACGAAACTTGCATGGGCTTGTGATGAGCTCATCCCGCACACGGGGAAACAAAATCCGATACATCTCTTTCCACTGCTTATCTGCAGGACCTCGGCCTCTTTTTCTCAAAGCCTTTTCCTGCTCTTTATTGAAACCCATCGGATGAGAGTTCGAAATGTCCACCAAGCAAGGGGCAGGCAGCTTGAGATGCTTGTGGAGTTCCGTCTCAGTGGTGAACAGTGTGGAGCATCGTCCACAATGGATGGGTGGTGCATGTTGACGAAGGATGTGTTCCCTGAAGGCTCACAACATCAGCCGCCCGTGCTGCCAACTTATGAAACCAAACACAAATGAGAAGAAGGAGAGAAAAACAAGTGGCACAAAAGTTGCAACAGCAAAGGAAAGGTGTGCTAACTTAAGACGATGGACGGTTGACCAGCCTGGTCCCGCACAGGACCGGTATTTTTGGTATTGTGCGGGACAATGGCGATAAAATGGGCATGCGAGCCTCTCATCAGTATTCGAGTCAGGTGATATCTTGCGGATTTTCCGCTGTGGCAGATTCGAATAGTCTCTGTTGTCCATGGTTTTGGGTTGATTCATCGACGTGATGATTGGAGGACTGCATGCGGCCAACTCTCTCGATTGATTGTTTTGGTGTCAATCGAACCAAGGTACCTAATAAGTGAAAGCTGTGATCTAGGTCAAAAAAAGGAAAGAAAAAAAAAATACGAAGATGAGTTCGCCTTTGATGTTGTGCGATTTTGGTGTAGTGTCGAAATTGATTTCAAGAATGCCAAGACAGAACATGCGGTTATGGTTGAGGATGAGCGCTGGGTCTGAGGAGTGGTTCATGAGAATTCCTCCGTCGTATTCAAAGCACCAGTCTTGTTCTTGTTCTCTGACGTTCTTGATACCGTGATGTCGGACAGGGCGAGCCTCCTGACATATGACGCAGGATTTATGCTTGAAGCATCAACTAGAAGGACATGCATACAAATGTCCAGCTGCAAGCTTGTTGTTTAAGTTAAGAAACTCAGCATTCAAAAGCCAACTTTTTATGTTCTGTGACGGGCAAACAGCAGACCCAGCGAGATGGCGAAGCATTTTAGCGGCTGCCTTGCGAGATGCAGAGTATCTCTGAAGGTGGTTCGCCTACCACGTCGAACACAAAACAAAATGCCCAAAGGCGAGACGCTCGGACGTCCCAGGAGCGAAAGGCAACCGGCGGGGCGGGTCTGTCAAGGCCCACCAAGGATGCGGCAAACAACAGAGTAACCCACTGCATCAGCTCACATGCAATCCGGAGCGGCAGAGGCAAGCTGCAAATACTGCGTATGAGCCTAACAGACTCCCAGATTAAGCTTACAGCCACTTGGCCACCACACGGCCTCCACCTAATACTGTCTTCCAATTTGCTACGCTGACCCACTTCTTTGATCCAACGGTATTACAACTCGGCTCAAAGACACGTGAGGATGGCCGAATCACCGCAAATTCAAGCCCACAGAGGCACGAGGCGATGTATTCGCAGTACTGCGATCCGTATGGTATGACTACTCGTTTACGAAAACATACATGCTGTTGATTCGGGTTTTCGATCACATCAAAACTACTATTTGACCATACTCTGTAACTAATGCTGAGAGGACTCGTCGGTCCGACGGTCGTAACAAGCACAGGTTCACCAGTCCTCTTCATTACTAGGGAAGCATTTTGCTAGCTGGCAGTGTTAGTTAGCTTTCCAAGCAATGTCCCATAAAACTCTAATCGCAGCGCACTTTATACTTCTATAAGACGACAGTAGGAGAGAATATGATAGAGGCAGTGATTACGATAACGACGACCAACGACGACGGTATATAACGAAAGTGAGCGCACGGGAAATAAAGCCGCTCGTATTTATGGATGACACGCGCGTTTGGACACTGTGCGGATGGCTTAGCTAGCAAACCTCTCACGAAATACCGCTCAGCTCGAACTCACCTAAAGCTCGCCCCCGGTGCACTCAGAAGGCAAAGTAATGCATAGCATCTACCGCGAAAATATTGCAATCGGCTGGAAATACTCGAGCTTTGGACCAATCGTTCTGCGGTACGAGTGGGCATAATTAAAGGGGAACCGCATGAAGTAATACTCAATCGCAACAAGCTGGGCAGAGCCATCGAGGACTGCATTCCGCGTAAATGCGTTGTATGAGAAGGAACACGTTCCTTCCCTTTCTGCTAATCTGATTTCAATTAAAAAATCTAGCTGCGCCAATCTTCTTGCATGCTTTCAAACGCAGGAGATAGTGACGACGCACCTTGTCAACAAAGTAGTAAAACGCAGCCTCTGAGCGTTTGTAAGCGTGGTATTTCAGCCCCACAAGTGCATATGAGAGAGTTTGGGGGGCTCATGACGAATTGAATTCCGCTCTGCTTTACTTCATGAGTATCATTGCTTTTTGCTGCTGGTGAGCAGGGTAACAGACTTTTGGCTGCATCTTAGTGTGCGGTAATGTCTTGAACCCTTGGCACCACTGGCCAGCCCCTGGGGATCACTTTCCGCGAAGTACGACGCGGCACGCGTCGCCGCGTCCCCGTTGCAAGATCTCGAGCGAGGGATATCTCTATAAATGTGATGCCCGCGACCTGAGATTCGTCTGCTACTGTTCATTCCATCTCAGCTCACACACATCGGCCAACAGTTTGGAAGCCGCCAGAATGTTTTTCTCAAGTTCGTGCCCTGGCAGCGTCACGACCAACTTGAAGCCTCCATTCCCACGACCCAAGATCGTGGAATCGACTGAGGACAAGACAAAAACCTCGATTGCACCCAGAGACAACAACGACAACGACGACGAAGACAGCAAGAAGAAGAAGAAAAACAAGAAGAGGGAAAACAAGAAGAGCAAGACCAGCGAAAGCGAACCTTCACCTCCTAGTCGCCTAGTATGGAGAAAGCTTCCCGCAGAAATCCGACGGATGATTCTGGACGACCTCATCAATGATCCCTCAAACAAGCCGGCGTTGTCGTCCTGGGCAAGTGTGTGTGCAGACTGGCAGGTCCTCATTGAGGAACACACATTCAAGTCTCTCCACCTCAAATGGGATGATTCTCGTACGGATTCTGAGCTTCCGACATTCGAAGCCATTGTCACCGGCCATCGGCGGAGACTGCTCAAGAACGTCACCCTCGAGATCATGCTCGGTAAATACAGTTGTTTGGTATGCGGCCGACCGGAGTCGGACCTGGAAATCGACAACAACAATCTCCGCTTCACAATCGCCCTACAGCAACTCTTTTTGGCCCTCAAAGACTGGAACGATGACATTCTCATGTTACTACAGGCTCAGCCTGGAGATACGAGATGGCTCCCAAAGCGACTTTTATCACTCCTTTCCGGACGTCGAACACGATGCTCACTACTTGCGCAACGACCACATCCAACAAGCTGCAGGGATGATGACAACTGTGATGACGAACCCGGCCGCAGCTATGTACCTGTTCGAAAATCCGAATGGCGAGAAAGAACGTGTCATCGGCAATCTCCTACATTTCAAAAACATCGACTTGAAACTGCCTACGCTCCCATTCATTCATCAGCTTGTGGTGAATCGAAGCACAACGCGAAGCTTCACAGCAAAGACCATCAAGAAGCTCATGAAGCACTTGACAGGCCTCGAACGCGTTGTCTACGAGCCCATGCAAGCTGTCGGCAAAGACGTCAAGCAGCGCCAAAAGGCCAACACAGCTCTACTCCGGAAGCTGCCATCCTCTATAGAGTCGTTATCTCTGTACGAAGCACGCTCAGAGTACCTAGAGATGCAGCAAATGGGCGTGTCAACTCCCCCAGAGGTGCGGACTGGCAAAAAGGTCGTGGCAGCCGCTGTGGCAGCCAGCTTGCGTTGCCGCAACCTCCAAGAACTTTCCCTGTCTAACGCAGTTGATGCCGAAGACTTCTTTACGCGGGCTTTGGAAGATCCGGCAGTGAAAGACACTTCGGGGGATGCGCCCTGGCCGAACCTGAGGCGCGTGGCTCTCTCAACCCGATATGAGAGACGGGGGGACTCCAAGGTGTCACCCTATCAGCTGCTCCGTGACGCGGCGAGCGTAGCCCTGCGTATGCCAAAGCTGGAGACTATGGAGATCTGGGCTGAATCTGAGTTGAGAAGATTCTTGTTCCGGTACCATGTCGAGGGCGACCAGGCGGTCATAAGGGTAGAGATTGACTCGGAATATTATGAAGAGGGACTCTCCCTCCCACACCTCCCATGCGCCAAGCTTGTAAAGGCAGTCGAAAAGACTCTGAAGATGTGGCGAAAGGTTGCAGGCCCGCGTCGTCAGCTTTCGCATATAGTGGAAAGGGTTGACGGCCAGGCCGCGTATTGGGACGACAGCGACGATGAAGACGCTATTTATGACGATGAAGACCAAAAGACGTGGCCGCCAGCACCGTCTGTCTGCGAAAGCCTTCGGCTGAATGGCTTGGTACGGGATGCCAGTGCGAAGCGGCGTTTCGTCTTTAAAGACTGGTATTGATGGGCGTACTGTCAGTGAGCTCAGGCGAGATGCATTGTATTCATTACTGTGGCGTTTGGTGTAGTTGCCCTTTCATGTATCACCATCTGTACAACAATCACGAAAACCATTTCTTTGACTGAAAAATACATTTACCTCCAAGTAATCACATTCCGTGCACCATTAGAGTTGATTTGGTTCAATTTGGAGACTCCACCACTCCGTACCACTATGCTAGTCGCATCGACTGTTTCTCGCTCTGCGAACACCCGAAAGGTAATGGGCGATTTTGATTCTGAGTCTTGTGATCCGGGGGGATACTTGTGGTTGACCGGGCGGATAACTGTTGACATTGATACCCACCACTTGAATTCTGTACCCAATATTCAACTTCTGACCACCCCCATGAAGGACTGTGCTCATTTGAACCAGAACCAACGCCAAGTGTCGCCAGGCTGGATCTCTGCCTGGTTGTCCGGGGCGACGTAGGTCTTCCCCAGCTCAAAGACGTGAGGAAGAACAGCCAGGTTGTTGTGCAGATTCTGCACACCTGCGATGATGGTTCCATGAAGACCTGAGTAGAGCGAGCATCAGCACAATGTCACAATTACATAACACGGCAGTTGACATTGTGACCTACCTGGGAAAGCTGCATCAAGAATGATGCAGATGCGGTTCTGGGCATCGACCCAGGCTGTCATGAGAAGCGCGTGGCCCGCGATCGTGATGGCCTGGGCGGCAGGACGGACTCGAGGGAGCCAGGCGGGATGGAAAGTCGGACCGGCGATCGTAGCGGGGGCGAGGCCGCGTTCCTCGACATTGACGTTGTCTGCTGCGGGCTGGATGTCTGGCGCGCCTTTTCAGTCATCATTACACGTTGACCTTGGATAAGAGAACTTACTGGACAAGTCGATGGAAGCAAGGTTCCCAAGACTGACCGAATCAGCCGGCGCGGGGGTCCAAGTGTCCGGGCCTGTACATAGTCAGATGCTGTCTGCAAGATTTGAGAAGGAACAGGAGGATTCTTACCTGCTGACAAGAGCTCTTTGTTGGCAGGATCGTCGGCAACAGGTAACCCGTAGGCAACTACGCCAAGGGCAAGAGCAGTAATGAGGTCCGACGTCTTCATTTTGGTAATGAGCGAACAGTGGTCTGGCAATGATTGAAAAGAATGAGTGAAAATCTTGATGAGGACAAGATGAGAGTTGCGTTACTCGAGGGCGATAGAATCAGGGCCTTTTATGTTTAAGACGGTTCGTGTTCTCCTAAGATGGCGCGACGAGTGGACGATTCAGTACTCGATTGCAGAAGCATCTTGATCCGCTTCAAAGCATTCCAAACTCGGACATCAAGGTATTCAATTTACGTGCAAAAGTCTGATATCTGGATACAGACCATCTAAAGGCCCAAGCTAAACTGAAGCTATTGCATTTGAGGAAATATCTCTGAAGGCCGGTGGGATAGTTGCGGGATAATTTCATTAGCTTGAGGCCGTCAGAGGACTTTTGCACACTTGTACAAGATACGAGAAGTTTATGAAATTCGATCTACCAAGTGTGTCTCAAGTTACAAGATTTCTCATCTACTACATGATATCTCGTGACAGCTTCTCCGAGGTTGCGTGCTCACGATGCGAAGTCAAAAGTAGCCCGTGCGCAGGAAGTGCTCTAGTGACCAGTGGGATATCGAACTTTTCAATTCCCGAGAGGGTCTAGGTTAGACAGCTCTGACTCGGTTGAGAATCTCCAATCTCCGTCCTCTCCGTGACAGGCATCGTATCTGTATCAAGTCTCTTGCATGTGAATTGTCAATGAGGTCAAGAAACCATCACGATTTTCCTCTCGCAAATTTATAAAATCATCGGCCTCCTCGATACTCGTCACGCAAATCTTTCACCATACTTCGAACCGATAGCTACACTTGTCATTTGATTACAACCAATCATACTTCACCAGAAACCATGAAGCTTCTTCAGTACATGTATCTCGCCGCCTTGTGAGTAGCTTTCATCAGCTTTGCATCCTTCCGGAGATGAACGGTCTGGCTTATAGTTCTATGCAGCGGCACCGTCACCGCCAACGCCTACATGTGCAACTGCTTCAACGTCAACAGGCCCGAGATCGTTGCAGCCGCCCATGTTTGCAAGGCTTTCGGAGGAGCGCTCTGCAGCGACAAGGCGCGAAACATCAATGGCGTAAGTTTCACAAACGCTCTTCATCTGACCCGCGGCTCTCGCCAGCATGTTGCTGATTATCACGTATTAGTGCATCATGGGCCATACCATCAACGATGCCGACTGCGCCAGGCTTTACTTCAAGATTGAGAACGGCAAGGAGGTCCCGGATACCACTTTCAAGGCGAACTGCGAGCACTACACTGGCTCTTGCCCTAATTAGAATGGTCAAGGACAGAGCTAGATGAGCTGAGGGGGTTGATCTTGTTGTACTTTTGAAACGTAACTGAGCTCTTAAGGCAAACCTGAATCCTTGTAACTATGAGCGGACTAGTGTTGACAATGTGTAAACTTGACCTCCACTGATTCTATTTCGAAACGAATCTCAGACCAACGTCTTCAACAATTTTCTGCTACTTGAGTAAATATCCCAAGCTGAACAGATCAGCTATCGTATGGCCCATTCCTTCCCGCCGTCCAGTCGTTCCTGTCGTCTTGATGACTATATAATTCGCGTTATGATGTTATGTTTGCTAGCTCCGGTGTCTCTTAAGTCCCTACATCCTAGATCATCAGCTAACAGCATTTGCCCAGATACTTCAACTCTGCGAAGGGAGTGGCAGTCCTCATTCAGGTCATTTCGCCTTCGCACATAGCCTCCGTCGCCAAGCCGTGGAAAGAGGTTAAGTCCTACCATGAGACCTTCCCCTCAGCCAGTGGACGCCTTGTCCCCGTGATTGCTAACCCGTAGCACTTCCCTGCGGCGACTGTTTAGCAAGAAGTCTCAATAAGTTTAAGAAACAACATCTTCATGATCTCAACTGTTTACGGATGACAGTGCCTGCCTGCCAAAGTTTGTCTTGATGTTTAGATGAGCATTGAAGATATACATTCTCAGGGAGGGATTTGAGCCTCCAATGCAATGAAACCGTGTGAGCGCGCGTTCTGAAAACGCCATTCATCAACGTCCGCGTTGCTGCGGTATTATTACACATAAACCGAAGCCACCAGCTGTAGCGCAAAGCATCACAGGTTCGATCTAGGCTTCAGATGCTTTGAAATTAGGACGGGAGTCTTTCATACCTCGTATCCACACCAGATGACACACTGCTAGATACTGCTCTCTGATTTCTTTGCTTCACAGGGACCTCAGCTCAGTGCTGCAACAGGCCCTTTTGTACTTACTACGCACCGGATGGAGTCTGTTCTTCGACGACAAATGTTATCACAGCACAGAATGAGAGAACCTTACACGAAGCCTGCCAAGACCCGTTACCTTCAGGACCAACATCCAGCTATAAAGCTACCCTTCAAACTGCTTTCTCTCTCGTGTGCACCGACAAAGATCATGTGGTGTTCCAACGGCTCGATAACTTCAAAACATTCGACAACTAGGCCCAAATACGTGCACATCAAGGGCAGTTGCAAAGACTCGGTTCAAGCTACAATCAGCGAGAATGGAACAACGGTCCCAGTCTCCGACGTATACTAGTTTGAATACCATGTAGCTGAAGAGGGGGAGCGACAAAGCGAGGGCCTTGAGGCTGTTTGACTGAAACCGTTTGACAGTGCCCGCAACAAAACAGTTCAGCTAGGATTCGTTTGTGGAGATCAGCCACAACAACAACCTATCACATCGCTGGCTGTCTTCGCATTTGTTGATGGGAAGAAGCTAAGCCATGCAGATCTGAGAATATATACGCAGGCTCAAGCGCCCCATGCGTGCGACCCAGACACGGAACTGTTTCCAAAGGCTCATACCTACCTACGTTTGACTTCAAGACGATATCCACCCCATCGCCGTGTGACCATTCTGCAATGTAAAAGCGATGATAGGTAGGTCGTTGTTCCCTGCGCACCGTCTGTCCTGTCACTAGAAACAATGCTACTTAAAGCGAATTTACTTTTGAAAGGTTGATTGCAAACGAAAATGCTTCTTCGTTCTGTTGAACACAGGTGTCGCCGGAGAGGATTCAGTCAGTCTAGACTGGATTTATCCTCTTTTGGTCTGACGACTGTTTCCCATATGGAAAGCTGAAACGTGTGCAATCGAGAGTGATACTAATGGAATACTCACTAAAAGCTACTGGACGGGAAAACCAGAATTGGGCGGACGTGTGCCGACGAAAGAAACCCCTAATGGTCTTGTCCGGCCGTGCCCGCTCTGGCGACGGTCCTCTCGACAGCGGTGTATGAGTTGATAGGAAAAACCTCGCTTCACGCCAGGAATTGGCTGTCAAAACCCGAAATTCAAGTGCGCACCACCCAGATGCCTTATATATTCCTCCCCTGACGCAGCTCTCAACCGCTAACGCTTACACTAAACGCAACTGTCCCAGTGCCACCAGCGCCAGAAGAGCCTACATCCATTCACCTATAACATAGCACGCTCTTTACCAGACTGTTTTTGAAGGCAATCGGTGTTTGTCGCCGATGTGTATTGGTTCCAGCAGCATCTGTCCCTTACCACCCATCACAGAGATCACCACCCCTCATCCGAAGTCGCCGAGATAGAAAACTCGTCGAACGTAACGCATGCAGAATACTCGCTGAAAGCTACCGGGCGAAAGAAACGCTGAGATACAGACGAGTTCTCCCGGAGGAAATTCACCAACGAGCTTGCGAAATATGTCCAACCTGCCCCTGTAGTCCCCGAAAGCTTGGTGTCAACAGATTGTTGCACTGGCCGAACGTACAGACCACCCAATTGTTAGGTTGTCAGAAGACGAATTCAAGCGAACACTCTCATATATATATACTTATTAGATTAGAGCCCCAGCCGCCAGGACCTACGACCGACGCTGAAGACGGTAAGAGATCCCCCATTCATCAATAAAAGCACCTCTGCTCCAGTAGACTATTCGTCGACGGCGATTGATCATGGTTTCATCATTATGGCTATCGATGTCACCAGCATCAATCCCCTGACCCGCTATAAAGACCACAACTCCTCATCTTGAACCAATCTCGACCTTATCTTCAACCCATCTTAAGCCCTCCTATAAATACACCCCCAATCAACGACCAGCAGCAACGAAACCAGACAGAGACAGACAACCGTTGACACACATCATCCGTAAATTCTACCGCCGACTGACGAGTTACATTACAACCGAGACTCAAAGCCATACGCTGATAGAATCGGAAGCAGGCACAAAAGCTGTCGACCATAGATACCGACCCATTTGGCCTGAAGATATCATCCTGCCCCCCCGGGGACAATATATAGCAATCTAGAGAAGACAAGCAGAGTTGGATAGTCTTGCCGGGCTCAGGAGAAGGAAGGTCTGCAAAACCGCTGAGTTGGCAGTACACATCTGTTTCACCAGTTGACAACCCGCGCGGTAAGTAGTCGCCAGCTCCCGCCGGCGATCACCGGCTTCCGGCACGGATACTCGGCGTCAGACCCACCGGGCGGCTCCGCAGCCCTCTCAACCGCATACACTTACATCAAACTACACGTCACCAAAAATCACAATCAAAACGCACTCCCGTCATGCATCAACTCAAAATACTTTTTTGGTTCATTTCTCAATACGTCCGACTGTGTGAATAGATCCCAATGCGACGAGACGGATCCTCTCCCGGACCTCCCGCGCACACAACTCTTTTTTCCCTTTTTGTCTTGATAAAGCAAACCAAATGTCATCTATGTCTGTGTTGGTGCCCGCCATCCAGGCGTGTGGCACACATGAATTTCTAGCAAATAGTAATGCGGCAGTCGTACCTATCCGGCCCGAGTACGATCGCCTCTGAACTCCTCTCTTCCCACACCAGCTTTGTACATCCGGACGTCTTTGTCTTCTCCCGTCCCCGTGACGCCTCGTTTTCATGCTTCATGGAAGACTGCGGTATCCATCATGCTGATTTAGTCGACCTGCTTCTCGCAGCCGATTCTGCCCAGAAGCTCCTTGCGGTCGCTGTGGCCCGGCAGGCTGACGCCGGAGGCGCTCGCTTGCCTCTTGATGCCCGATCTGCGCTCCCAGCTCTTGAGGTCCAGGTCCTCGACACCAACCTCCTGCTCGAGAGGCTGGGCCTCCTCGTAGACGTAGTCGGCCTCCTCCTCAGCCTCGCCCTCATCGTCACTGCGGGTGTCCTCGGCGTTTCCGCCGCGGAGAACCTTCATGACGACACGGATGATCATAAAGAACCAGCCAATGGTGATGACCTGAAGGGCGAGGAGGGGAATGAGGAAAGACCACCTGATCACGCTTGGGAAGCAGACAGTGCCGTCGAACTTGTAGAAGGGCTCGAGCATCCATGTCATGGATCCCTCGGGTGGAGGGAAGGGGCCGGCCACGTTAGGCGCCTTGCCAGAGAAACAGGCCTGGGCCTCGGGAATGGCTTCGGGGAGGTCGGTGTAGATCGACCAGCAGACCATAACGTAGAAGATGTGGCGGGCGACGAGCCAGGAGACGACGAAGGCGCCGAACATGAAGTCGCAGAGAGTGTTGAGTCCGACGTACTTCAGGCACTTGGCAAGCTGCGCATTGTTAGCACACTGGTGTTAATTGGGAGAGGATAAGACATACAGGGAAAAAGAGATCAACAACGTCCATCAGGACCAGGATCAAGTTACCAACTCGGGTCATGTGGTAGCCGTAGCAGGCGGAGATCAGGGAGCAGGTGATGATGTGGTGCGTGAACATCTGCCAGTGATCCTTGCGGCGCTCCTCGATGTTGATGACAATAATCTGCTGCAGCCAGAAAGACCACTGCGCCAGAATGTAGAACTTGTTCAGGCCGGTCAGCTCACGCTGGGGCCAGTTCGTCCAGAGCTCCTTCAGGTTCAGCCAGTAAGGCGACGTCTTGTAGATGTACTATAGAATGTCAGCTTGCGTCGCGCAACTATGCCATTGGAACCACTGACCATGCCCAGAGGCCAGAAAACCAGGTAGTAGATCAACAGCCAGGCCTGCTCGCTGAAGCGCGTCAGGTCCTTGCGCTTCGAGACGCCCCAACCCTTGGCCAAGGGAGCCAGCACGTATTCCATGGTCGCGGCGCGCAGGCCGGTGAAGAGGATGATGCAGAAGGTGAGAAGGCAGGCATCGCCGAGGCCGGCGCCATACAGGCCCGTCTCGGGGTTCTTGTAGGAGAGGGTGAAGAACTTGATCGTGTGGGCTTGCGCCTTGGGGATGCAGAAGTGGGCGAGGAAGAGGAGGGCGAGAAGGTTGAAGGAGAGACCTGAAAGCAGCGACCGTTAGCATGGTCTGCGACCTCACACATGGAGACAATGTCTCGAAGCAATCGTCTGCCGTGGAACATAGGGCTGCTCCGGCAGTGGCTTGAGATCGGGCGCGTGTGTGGGGTAATTGGGAGCAAAGGAGGCGGACAAAGAGGCAGACATACCGACTTGGTTCTCGACCATCCACCTGCTCAGCATCTTCCAGGCGCTGTCATCTTTCCTCCTGACCCTTCGTACCAGAACGACGTTGACGTTGTTGTGGCCCTGCTGGTAAAGGGGGCCGTTCATGAGCTTGAGCTGCTTGGTGCTGGCGTTGCGCTTGATCTTGGAGCTGTGCTTGTCGAAGACGGGGGAGACGGGAGAGATTGGGGAGACTGGCGATGTCGCCTCACAACCGGCGGTGTCGGCCATGTTGGGTTGTGACCGAGCCCCAATTGGAACTCAATGGGGTGATTTGGGGAGGCGACGGCTCGGATTGAGGTCGCGGGGAAGACCGTGATGGTCGGTGAGCGGAGGACGAGAGGCAGTGTCCCTTTTCCCGTGGTGTCAAGGCCGGGTTGGTTGACGGCAGTGGGTTGATAGCGACGCGGGCGGTCGTGGAAGGGATTCCCTGCAGGCGCGAGTTTGGTTTGTGGTGCAGAGCAGAGCGCTTCTCGGTCGAAGGGGGCGCTTTCTGCTTCGTGGACTCGGGGAGGGGAGGGAGAGGGGAGGAAACGAACGACCAGGTCGGTTTTAGGGAGGTTGAAGATCGAGAAGATGGGATTGTAAGGGCAGCGTCGCACACAATGGAGACGCAGACCGAACCTTGGAGACGGTGGCAGGACCTGGAACTCTGGACAGGAGGACACAGGTACTGGGCCAGGATGGACCGGGATGTGCTCTGTTGCTCCAGAAAGCTGCCGGGATAGGGCGTGCAGCAGAAGTGCTCCGTGTAAGGTGTGCTTTTCTCGTTCAGCGCTCAGTGGTGGTAGTGGTGGTGGTGGTGCTGCTGCGTCCTGCCGGTCACTGGAGACTCGTTGGAGAGCGAAAGAGACACAGAGAGTGAAAGATGAGAGACGCGAGGTGAGGTGGGTTGGGTGTTGGGTGGGGGGAACAAGAAGTCGAGGATACTTTTTGCGAGCAATTTCTTGGTACCGTGTGTGGGTGTTTAGCTCGAAATCTGGCGAGCTACTAAGTACAAGGTACGTGGATTTGGAAGGGTGCAACACCATCCACGACGGCAGCGCTGAAGTTTGAACCACTCGCCTCGCAATTCTCCACTCCACAATTGAACCTTGCACCGCGCCGTAGCCTTCCACCCTTCCACTTCCACGCCTTCCAGGCCCAGCGAGTGGTGTCCATTCCCATCCATGTCCACAGCCCCCGGGGAGGGAAGCAGCCGGGCCCTCCAGTCGACCGCCGCCCGCGAGAGGGTGGCCACTGACCGTCAACCAATTCAACTTCCCCCCTGGCCAACTGCCATTGGGACTGGACAGGGGGGAAGACTGGGTTCGTCTAGCTCACACACAGATCGCCCGTTCTTTACAGCGGCAGCGAGGGTTCATCAAAGGCGGTGAGCAACGCAGCCAAGCAAAACGGTAGCAGAGGGAGCAACAAGACGGCGGGCGGCGGGAAGGGAAAAAAAAGATGGAAGGGCAGCACAAGGGATGTGGGCAACCTGCGACCTTTCCTTTGCAGAAGGGGAAAGGGAAAGGGCCCTAGGTGCTCAGGGCAGGTACCTTGGATACCAAAGGGGCCAACCGTGACACAGGGGTCCTCCTCTTCGTCTTTTGCACAGGCTTCCGCCATTCAATGGACGAAATCAAGGTACGAAACAGGTACGTACTCGCTCGCTCTCTATTCGAGGGACGCTGGAGGGAATGGTGGGGGACCCCTATCCCGCCGCCGCCTTGTCTTGTCCAGTGTGTGCCGGGTGTGTGTGTGTGTGCCCATTGCTTGCACCTGCAGCCGTAGCCGTGGAATTGGACGGAGCTTAAAATTGAGACTACCACTGGCCCTGTCCACAATCCGCCGCCAGTGTCATTTGTGCAAAGCACCACGTTTTTCTCCGTGACCTTCGTCCATGTCGGAATCCATTACCGTCGTTGTCAGGTTCTTTGGCTCCCAAAAGTCGCCAATGATTAAAGTCTATTTAGACGAAAAACTGGGCTTACGGCAGATGGACGGGGGTGCTGAACAGCAACATGGTAAAGACACAACAGCAATATCCAAAACCAAGGGCCAAGGACGGGACAGAACGCTAGACATGCTACGGGGAGGGGCCGCTGCTGCTGAGCGTGGAGAGAGGAAGCGAAGCACTCGCAAGAACTCAAGTAGTGTTCGTAGCGTACTTACAGGCTACGGATACAGACAGGGAAAATAAAAGGAGGGGAAAAAACAAGCAGTGGCGGGTCGCCCTTTTCCTCAACAAGTTTCGACCTTGGCGAGCCATTGATCCCAATTGGATTGTCATTGAATCTCGTTTACGACCACCACTTCTTCCCTGTCGATGCGACGGAACACATACAAGTTGGCGGCTATTGGGAAAAAAAGATGTCGGGCTTCCGCGGGGGGACGGACACCAATTCGCCAGTGCGACGAGAAACGGTGGTAGGGGACAATCTTCATCTTCGTTGCCCGTTCACTTTAAAATGAAGTGATTTTCCTCCACCCCAGCGCCTTATCAACTTATCGCCGTTTGGCATATACCAGCCCCCTGTCAATCACTTTCTTCTCTCTTTGCTTTTTTCTTTCTGGGTGTCCGTGTTCAGCTCTTCCCGTGCCACCCCCTTTTTTTTTTTTTTTTTTTTTTTTTTCAGTGCTCCTTATTTCCCAGAAATCCCATCTGTGCAACCAAACAATGCGCCGATAAACAATGTTTGGTCAACCCGTCCCGTCCACCGACTCCGGCAGGCACGTCCACCGCGAGGGCCAGCCAGCGACATTTCACGCTCTGGAGATGATGCGCAGTCGGGTCGGGTGCTGTCACTCTCAGGTACAGAACCCCTTTAGCCGCCGCGCCCACACACCACACACACCCCCTCCAACCAATCGTCACTCTCCCAAACTCGCCTCTAGGGCGAGTCGGCCTACTGCCGTCAGAACACTAAATCGCCAGCGCAAGATTCGAGAGAGCCGCAAGATGTCACTCCCAAGGCTCTTCCCATCCCAATCCTTCCGTGCTAAGGTAGAAACCTTCTTTTGCGTCCATGATGACACCCCCGAAAGGGCTCGTCATCATCAATTATTGAGCCGCGACATGTTTATCGTCTGCACCACCAACCCAAAAATGTGATGATGAGGCTGCACTTACGTATCCGTACAATAAACCAGACGAATACGGACGGACCTCGCATCACAGACAGCCCCCCCTAAACGAAAAGGATTAGCCCTCTTCCTCACATGAAATGTTCCATGCACGGAAGGGCAGCCCGACCATTACACTGACATATCGGATGCCGCGTTTCATCCCATCTCTCTTTCGCTGAAGAACAACAGCTGCCTGTTGTCGCAAAAATGGAAGTGGCGGTCGCGATTGCATCAAGAATTGAGGGGCAGCAGCAGAATGGTGCAGCCAGCTTGCCTGCTTGCTGGCTGCTGCAACTGCTACCCAACATGGCAACATCAGACCACGCGTTTGCCAAGCCTGTCCGCCCAAATTGAATCATTCAGAGAGCGCAAGAAGCGTGCCCCTGCCTCGCCGCCGTTTTTAGCGTTCGCGCTTGCTGTCAAGGGGGCGCGTTCAGGAACGAACGAGACGACAAGGTGGCAGGGAGTTCAAGCTGCATATTCTGCATATAGTGATATGCGTCCTAGTCGACTATGTACTCTATGATAGCGGGGCTTTGCACAAACCAAAACAGAACCTTGAAGATTCTCCCCGTGCATTCCAACGCCACAAGTTCCCCCATCACATGACCCCACCTTGGACTCCGCCACACTCTACCCCAGGCTCCAGGCTGCAGCCACTAGCCACAATCTCATAATCGCCGGTCGCATCACCACTGCACCCTCCCCACATGATCCTGACGACAACGACCTTCCATTACACCCGTCGCCTCCAGCTAACCTTCCCCTCCAACCTCCACCTCCTCGTCGCACCGCAAACTCTCGCAACGACATTGCAAACCCCTTTTGATACCTTCACAGTAGCGCGAACACGAAAGAGAGAGCAACCGCCAAAATGTCCAACGCAAAGTACACTCCCGCGCCGACGAGCGACCCGGACGAGAGCACAAGCTACGCCCAGCCGCCCCCCGCCTACCAGGCCGAAGCCTCCGCGGCCGCCGACACCGATCGCCTCTTCGGCGGCGGCGCCCCGCGCAGCAGCCAGGACGATGACATCCCCGACGACTTCAAGGTAAACCTCCCTCCCCCCTTCCTCGCCTGCGTCGCACCGCGCCATCGCGACACGCAACGACTAACACGCATCGACAGTTTGGCGGCTCCGTGGCCGAAGCGACAACCGACATCCGCAACCAGTTCATCCGCAAGGTCTACGCGATCCTCACCGTCCAGCTCATCGCCACCGGCATCGTCTCTGCCCTCAGCTTCTGGAGCCAGAGCTACAAGACATGGATCCAGTCTCACCCAGGCCTCGTCTGGGCATCCGTACGTCTCCCATAACGTTCACCAAAGTATACGCAACACCCAGCTAACACTTCTCGCGCGCACAGCTCCTCGGCTCCATAGTCTTCATGCTCCTCACCTACTGGAAGCGCAAGTCCTACCCGACAAACCTCCTCTTCCTCGGCCTCTTCACCCTCACCGAGGCCTACACAATCTCCGTCATCGTCTCCTTCTACAAGACCGAAATCGTCCTCAACGCAGTCGTCCTCACCGCCGGCATCTTCGTCTTCCTCACCCTCTTCGCCTGCCAGACAAAGTACGACTTCACCTCCTGGATGCCCTACCTCTTCGGCGCCCTCTGGGGCCTCGTCCTCTTCGGCTTCATGGCCGCCTTCTTCCCCTACAGCTCCACCGGCGAGCTCGTCTACGGTGGCCTCGCCGCCCTCATCTTCAGCGCCTACATCCTCGTCGACACACAGCTCGTCATGCGCAAGCACCACGTCGAGGAGGAGATCGCCGCCGCCATCAGCCTGTACCTTGACATTATCAACCTGTTCCTGGCTATTCTGAGGATCCTCAACAGCCAGCAGAACAACTAAGCTGGACTGTGTCGTCAACAGGTGGAGGATGAACAGGGAGATTGGACTTGCAAGCCGACAAAATCGTTTTAATAGAATGGTGCTTTTGCGTTCTCATAGTAGTGTATGGATAGTTTCCTTTTGCGTGTTCGGGACTTTGAGTGTTTGCTGCTTTTCGCAATACCAGATCAGGTAGTAACAAACACAAGATTGGCTCCACATCACAAGACACGCGCACTTAGGTGACACATTTGGTTGATGAAGCGGTAAAGTAATTTGATATCTGCATTAGAAGTCCACTAATAGAAAAGGAAAATGAGGGCGTTAGTAAAAGGGCTACAAAGGCACAGCCGGAAAGATGCGGTGGGGCGGTGTAATCGGGATAAGAGTAGCAGATCGACGGGTAACAATAATCCAGACGTCCTACACACTCACCCCGCCCGCGACCTCGCCCGAAAGATCTGCTCCGCCTCGAGACTATACACCGCCTCCGTCCACAGCCTCTACCAAACCGGTAGCCTCTTCCCAGTCGTCGCATTCGTAGTAGACCTTTTTGGGGTTTTATCTTCGTGTCAGAGAAACGAACTCGCAGGGTAGGGGAATATTGTTCTTTCTCTTTCAACACAGCACGGAAACCAACGCCAGTATAGAAAAAGACCAACGTCGCAGTTTCGGGGTAACCATAAGCAGGGCCAAGGGTGAATTAGTTGGCTTCGTTGTCGCCGTTGGCTTCGGCCGGGCCGCCCGCTGCTGCCGATGCTTCTCTCTGCATGCGAGCCTCGATCTCGCGGAGCTGCGACTCGCGAGCCAGGAGCTCCTGTCGCTTCTCGTTGATCTCGCGCTGGACCTTGATCTCGATCTCGCGAAGCTTCTCCTCCTCGCGCCTCAGTTGTTCCTCCTTGAGACGCACGGATTGCGATGCGAGGTCCTCCGGGTTCATGGACGAGTCACTGTGACATGTCAGTGCGTGATGCAGGGAAAGGGGCTCAGTCAAGACGTACACTCCAGCACCGCCCTCAACAGACTTGCTGAGCTTCTCGGTACGGTAGTTTTCGTAGAGGAAGTCGTGAGTGATCTCCTTCAGGTCGGCCAAGTGGCTGTGGAGGAGCGCGGAGCGGATGGCGAGGAAGTCGGAGTGGCGTGGGTTGTCGACCTCGACAACACCCCAGGGGTACTGACGGGCGCGGACCTTACGGCCGCCAATCTCGACAACCTCCTCAGAGCCGACGATGGCGAACGGCATCAGGCCTCTCAGCTCGGCGTTCTCCTCAACCGTGTCCTCGTCATCCTCTTCAATGTCGTAGGGGAAGTTGTAGACGGGGATACGGTAGTGCTCGATGTCCTCCATAACAAGCTTCTTCGACTCGGCCAGCTCAGCAGGAGTCAGGGAGTCGGCACGGCCAATGACGGGGATGACGTTAACACGGGGGGCGAGGCGCTTCATCAGCTCGATATCAAGCTCACGGAGACTAGGCACGTTAGCATCGGCGAATGGGAGATGAGGCTCGTTGGACCTACCCGTGACCGGTGGGGGTGATGAAGTAGAGCATGGCGTGCACACGGTTGTCCCTGAATCGCGGGTTACGCTTGATACGGGATTCCTCGGCCAGAATGTCATCATATTGTCTCTCAAGGTAGCCGACGATCTCGGAGAAGCTGCGGCAGATTAGCAAGAGATGCAGCGGTGTGTTGGCTAAACGGCGTACCTGGCCTCGTTGTCAATCTGGTCACCGAAACCAGGGGTATCGACAATCGTCAGGGAGATGCGAGTGCCCTCCTCGTCCAGCTCCAACTCTGTGTGGGTGTTAGTTTGGCGGTGGTTGGATGGCCTGACGCGGGTTACACGTACCGACGGTGATGGGCTTGATCTTGACACCGTCCTCGACAGACGCGCTGTTGGGGTCGTCCGACTCCTTGTGGCCCAACACACTCTTGCCGCAGAGAGTGTTGACAAAGGTCGTTCTTCCTGTAAGGGTATCGGGGTCAGTCGACGGGACTCGGAGATCGAGTGGACACGGGGTGGCCGCGTAGGGGGGGATTCGAACGTACCAGTGCCTGATGCTCCGCAGACCATCAAACAGAACTGGATTCCCTTCTTCACGTTCTTCTTTCTGCGCATCATCTTCTGTATCGGTGTTGGTGGTCAGCTGCTGGATTATCCTAGGGGTGGCAGATGGACTGAGGCGGTGGTGGCTTCTCGCAGTCGAGGTTGGGGGAGGAATTGTTGATGGGGGCCAGACGCAAAGGGTGCAACTGGATTCAGGGGATGTGGACAAACATACGGCGGTGGTTGAGGTGTAACGGCTAGACTCGCACGCGGTCGGATGAAGGAGTCGTCGACCAGGTCAACGACGGCGAGAAAGAAAGGATGGTGATGTTGGCAATTGGAAGGGGACAGCGAACGTCAGTCGTGTCGTGTCGTGTGGACGGAACGAAACGAAAGGACTGCTGGATCCCAAGTGTCGTTGTAGTGGAATGGACAATGGACACTGGCCTGGGGTGTCAGAACTTAGGACGGGAGGTGCAGGTGCACAGGTGCAGCACTAAAGGGGACGGGAGGGTCTTGACCGACGGGTGTTGGAAAATGCAATTTCACACAAAATGTTGCGGCAGGAGGTCCCAAGGCGATCTCAGCCAATTGACGGCCAACGCTGCTGGCTCCTGCGCGCCCAATTCAGGGGGACAGCAAGTCCCCGGCCCACGCTCCTTTCCCTAAAATTTGACGCTAGTCTGTTTGGGGGCTAGCACGGACAGCGGGGTATCCTCGGGCAATTTTGGGGGAAAGAAGGTGACAGGTCACGAGACTCAGCGTGGTCCGTGCCGAAGCTGGGCGATTGTCAGTGGCAGATGAATGCTGCAGGTGAGGTGCGCTGTTGGCCAGACTGCCAACGGGCAGACAGTGGGCAGACACACTGCTGTGTGCACTTGCCTGGTCGCAACGCGTTGAAATCACTCTGTTTGCCAGCCCAAACATGTTTCGCGTCGCTGCAGCCATTCGCTGCCGGCTTGGCCGGTGCCACCTGTCAAGCCACGGCAGGTGCTCTAATCACACCGTCCCTTCATCACAACAACGGTTTAACTTCCTGCGGCGCTGTGGAAGCGATGATACGTGCCTCATTTCCATAACGGTTGTCCCAGGCTGACTTCTCTGCTGAGACACCGACCACGGGATCGTTTGTGAACATCGCCCTGAATAGCAACCAAATCAAGGATCGCATCAAACAGCTCCTGCGCAAGTGTTGACCAGGCCGCTGTCCACTGCAGCCAGCACGTCCACCTATCAGCAGCCCCTGTTGGCACTCATAACTTCCTGACTCGGCTGTCCAGCTGACTGCGACCCGCTCAAGTAACGACAAGGCCATCGTTCAAGAGACTCCAGCTCATCGTCAAACAGCTTACAGTGGCCTCTCACGTCGTGGGAAACATCTTTCAAGAATGATATCATAGCGAATAGCTTCGACGAATAGCACAATACTGGCTCGGTCGCCCAGCCTTTACATCTGCATCTGCATTCCCATCCCTTACAACCGCGCCCCTCAGCGTCGTCACACAGGCCACGGCATCACTTTGCTACACCGGCTTAGAGGGCCCATCGTCATCTCCCTTCGCCGACGATGAATACCCGGCCGCTTATCGAGACAGCGCCGTCCACGGTCGTTCTGTCGGTTTCATTCAATAATGATGCGAGCTGCTTCTCTGTCGGCCTTAACACAGGCATCTGCAGTACGTTTGTTTGCTCGCTGCCTCCGGAGGACCCGTCTCTAACATCGCGCAGTCTTTCACACGAAATCATGTCTTCTTAAGGCCTCTAAAGGTTTGCGCCCGTGGCATTCAGACTCATGAGCAGGACTGAGACTTTTTTGGCAGATTTCAATGGAGGCATTGGTCTCGTTGAGATGATGGGCACCACAAATTATCTCGCACTTGTTGGCGGCGGAAGACAGCCAAAGTTCAGTTCTAGTAAAGTGCGTGCTCCTCCTCGCTCTGGCAAGACCGAGTACTAAACATGACAGGCCATCATCTGGGACGGTCTCAAATCAAAGGTGGCCATGGAAATCTCCTCGTTAACACCTGTAAGAGGCGTTCGTATTGGCCGCAACCGCATCGTCGTCGCGCTTCAAAACAGCGTTCGCGTATACTCATTTGCGAAACCACCCGATCTCCAGGCCGTGTATGAGACCACAAACAACCCTTTTGGCCTCTGCTGCCTCTCAGAAAAAACTATTGCGTTCCCAGGTAGAACAGTTGGCCAGGTCCAACTCGTGGATATTGGCACTGGCAACGTTAGCATCATCCCCGCGCACTCCTCAGCACTCAGAGCCATCCAACTGAGCCCAGACGGCGAATCGCTGGCTACAGCAAGCGAGCAGGGTACGCTGATCCGAGTCTTCGCGACGAGCAACTGCGCGAAGGTGGCTGAGCTGAGACGAGGCGTGGATCCTGCAACCATCTTTTCTCTTGGATTTAGTCCGGAGGGCACCAAGGTGGCTTGCACGTCAGACAAGTCTACGTTGCATGTGTTCGACGTCCCCCATCCAAAGAGGGGTGTCGTTGTTCCAACGAGTCCATCAGCATCAATGGCTGGGTCTGGCATTCTCGCTGGCAGACCAGGCGATGACGGCAAGGGCCGATGGGGGTTTCTGGGCAAGATCCCCTTGATGCCCAGAATGTTTTCAGACGTCTACTCATTCGCATCCGCACCATTCGAAGCCGGCGATGACCCGTTCATGGGCAGCCTCCCCCTCTCAGAGCAGACTCCCCTTGGCACAACACGACCGCAGAAGGGACTCATCGGCTGGATTAACGAGGAAAGTCTGGTGGTCATTGGTGCGGGCCAAGATGCGAGGTGGGAGAAGTTCATTATCGCCAAGGCCGAGGACGGACGTCGTTATCTTACACGGGAAGGCTGGAAGAGATATTTGGGTAGTGGCTAGACACCCCTGATCGCAAGGCGTTTGGGAAATGTTTTGGGAAATGTTGGTTCACGGCCACGGCACGGCGTTTACTGGTTGTCATCATGGTTGTCGTCATGGTTGTAGGCATCAAGGGGTATCAGCGATAGCATCGCTTTTTTTGTGCTAGAAATTAGGCCATGGGGTATCAGCGAAAGTATCGCTTTATTGGCGAGAGTTTACATCATCGTCGAGCCTGCGGTGATCTGCTCCTGCTTCTCCGTTTGTGCCGTGGCTCCTCGTCGCGATCCCTTGGCCTTCTGTGGGAGCGTTCCTCGGACTCATCCCGGTGACGGCGCCGCCGCTCCCGTCTGGGATCTTCATCACCGCCGCGGTCCCGATCCCGCCGGTCCTTTGAACGATCCCTATCTCTCCGACTCCTATCGTCTTTCCTGTCGTCTTTCCTAGACTCTCGCTCTCGAGAGTCACCCCGGCGCCTCTCCCGACGAGAGCTCTTCTCTCCGTCCCTCCTGTCCCTATCGTCCGGCGTCTCGTCGCGACGCGACCTCCGAGACCGGTGTCTGTCCTCATCTCGATCCACATCCCTCATCTCCTCATCGCTATCGTGTCTTCGCGACCGATGTGACCGATGCGACCTGTGACGATGCCTGTGTTTCCTCTCCGACTTGCCCCCCCTCCTCGCCAACGCCTCCTGGATCTCCTTCTTCTTCTCCTCGATCAAGAACTCCTTCATCGGGTCGTCATCATCATGATCTCTAATCAGGAGCGCGAGCTCCCTCTCCTCAGGAAGCTGCGGCCTCTCCTCCTCCTCCTCGTCCTCAGAGCCCTCGTCCGTCTTGTCGCCGCCGCCGCCGCCCTCCAGCTTCGCGACCGTCTCCCAGTCCACCTTGCCCTCGTCCGGATCCTCGTCGTCGCGGAACTTGTACCGCGCGTGGTCGACGCTGATCATGCGGCTGCCGATCGTCGCGCCGCCGAGGTTGTCGACCGCCAGGTCGGTGCTACGCTGGTCCTCGTACTTGAGCCAGCCGAAGCCCTTGGACTTGCCCGTCTCCTTGTCGCGCGCCAGCTTGAGCCAGACGGGCTCGCCGAACTGGGAGAAGATGGTGATCACGTCGCCCTCGGACATTTCGTAGGGGAGACCGCCGAAGTAGATGTACGCCGTGTCGCGGTAGTCGACGTGCCAGGAACCCTCGGGGGAGCTGCTCTACTGTTAGCTGGCGGACAGGCAGGAGTTGGCGCAGGTGCGGTGGTGAAAACTTACATTCCGTGCTCAATCTCCTTCTTATTGAGCTCCTGGATCGCGCGGATCTTGTTCATCTTGGCAGCTGAAACGAGAGCTTACGCTCCCTGCTTGCGAGATGTTGATGTATGCCTGCAAAAAGAAGGCTGGCGCAACGAGCTTCAATTGCAAGGCTGAAGGAAGCGACATCCAGTGAAGCTCGCTGCGGCTGCAAGCTCCACACGCACAACCACACCACACCACGGGCCGACAAGGTGGCTCGCGTAGCAGCGTCAGTGCGTCATTTCCCCCAACGCCCGCCAAAGACACCCCTAAATTGGCACTTCGGTAGCGCACTGTGCCGTGCCATGACAGCACATTTAGGCTTCGGGAAAACAGCCGGTCCGGCGCAGCCAAATTCCCGACACTTTGATGAAGGGGGCATGAACTGGCTGGTCTGGCCGTTGAAGATACCAGCCCAGCTGCTCGAGGCAGACCTGCAGCCTCTTTAGTGATAATATTGCTGTGATTGCTCGCCTCTCCGATCTTCTCTTTCCTACAATTACGTATCCGTCCGCCTCCAAGAGTCCCGTGATCCTAGGCCAGCTCACCATCCTCCCCTGAGTCGCGATCCCGAACGACGGACGACGTGTTTTGTTTGTCCATTGCATAAAGCTGTCAACTGCCAAACCCACCTCTTCCCCCCGAGGACCACAAAACACCACGACAACACCACCGCTCGCAGCAACAACCGAGGCACCCACCACTCACCACCAAGACGAAGACCCAATCGCTTCCCCTCATGCGTCCTCGCGGATCAACACAATCATGACGGCAAGTGCAAACAGGGTGTCGACGTACACCTCGGCCTCGGCGGGGTCCGATGGGCGCAATGGCGAGAAGAAGGACCTCTGGAGCTCCATGCTCGACAACGTCGCCAGCGGCAAGCGGTTACCGGAGAAGAACATGATCGTGCTCGGCGGCACGCCCGACTCGCAGCGGGAGTTTATCGAGTCGCTGTCGCACAGCAGCGAGAAGCGGACCCTGGACCGCCAGAGCTCCAAGACACCGCCTGTCGCAAACAGCTTCGCTCTGGGTTACACTTACTACGACGTTCTGGACGCCGACCAAGAAGGTGCGTTGGAATAAGTTTATCTTTAGCTCTTGTAGCTCTGACCGCTGACTTGCTTGCACAGACATCCTGGCGAGAATCTCCCTCTACATGCTGTCGACGCCGTCAGAAGCTTTCCCGAAACTCATCCAGCCGCTAGTCACCCCCGAGACGATACCGAATACCCTAATGGTCATTCTCCTGGACTGGTCTACACCACACATGTGGATGCGGCAACTAAGGGAATGGATCCTGTTTATGCGGAGCATTCTTGAGAACTCGAGCCACGAGTGTCAAGCGGCGATGGAGGAGCTCATGGTCAGTTGGAGGGACAGGGGTAGAGGCGGCGGCTCGACCAACCTCGACGGCACAGGAGCGACGACCAGCGAAGGAGATGTCGCGTTGCCTCTCGGCCCTGGCGAGTGGGAGGAGGGTATTGGACTGCCGTTGTGTGTAGTTTGCCAAAATGTGAGTCTTCGGCAAGCAGGGGAAGGACTAATGCTAACAAGTTCTAGGCGGAGAAGATGGAGCAGTTGGAAAAGACACAAGGTTGGAAGGAGGGAGACTTTGATCAAGTCCTTCAATACCTCCGAACAGCTTTACTAAGACGTACGTTCGCCCTCCGATCTTGTCAGGCACCAAGCTAACTTCTGTAGACGGCGCATCACTCATATACACCACTCCGAACGTCCCCTCCTCGATATCGAGCCTCGTACACTCCAGCCTAGGCATCACCTCTCTCCTAAAACGCCAGCCGCTGAAGCACAACGTGATCGACAGGGATAAGATCCTCGTGCCCCCGAACTGGGACTCCTGGGGCAAGATCCGCGTCTTGCGCGACGGCTTCGACGTCGAGACCACGAGCCAAGGATGGTCGCACGACCTGCAATCCACCTTCCCCTCCCCACCCATGACCACCGAGGGCCTCGAAATCGTAACCAAGGCCAAGGCGGACGGCGACTACAACGGTGAGGTGTGGTCATCCGCAGTCGCTCCCTACGAGGACTGGATTCGCGATCTCAGCAGCGCAGGCAGCGCCATCTCCTTCGCGGGCCGCGACGCCGACCCCTCGCAGCTGGAGATGTCGTCAACAGACACACAAGAGTTCTTGGGGTCCAGTCTGCAGACGCTCGAGCAGTACCGCAGCAGGAGCGCCGAGGACAAGAAGGCGGACGCAACCAAGTCAAGGACGGGCCAGCAGCGCGCGGACGAGCCGGACCTCGGCGCCACATTGCGCCAGGGCGACGGCAAGGTCAGCCAGCACATCGGACCTGTGCAGTTCAACATGGGAGGCATCCAGGTGGATGCCGACGACATGGTGCAGCGGCTTAAGGTGAGCACTAATAGGGTCTTGCGGATGATGAGGAGTGGAGACTAACAGAGACACAGGACCGTCAGGCATACAGCTCTGCACAGGAACCGACCACGCCGCCGGCCGACACCGCGAACGAGAACCCCGACGACATGGACAACGACAAGCTGGAGGCGTTCTTTAGCGGTCTGATGAACCGCAAGCAACCTACGAACGGCTCCTGAAGCTCCTTTTGAGACGACATACACTACCACACCATAAAGCCCCATTTTACGAGGCTACCCTCTTTTTAGCGTGGGAAAAGGGTCAGACATTGACCTACCATTCCCTCTTCTCCCGGGGCGGATTTAGTTTTTGAATGAGTCGTGTGTACCATATTTTGGCGAAGATGTGAGGGCGAGCTGGGGACGGCAAGGGAAAAATCTTGCCAAAGGGTGGATGAGGGCCAAAATCAAGGTAAAGAGAAAAGAAGCGATAGATTGGCGGCGGTTGAGTTGGGGTGGACGGCTTTATTTCCATCTAGCATGTCAGCAGTCAGTCAGTCAGTCAGTCAGTCAGTCAGTCAGTCAGTCAGTCAGTCAGTCAGTCAGTCAGTCGCTGTAGAATAGATACCCCGATTATGACAATGGTATACGTTTGGTGTTGTTCATATCCAATACATACCTGGGATGAAGTCATGAGAACGAGAGTGTTCGAGCACGATCTAGAAGCGCTCACAAAAAGCCCCGATTAAGTCTTGCTAAGCATGGTTCTTTCAACTGAACGCAATCAGCGCTTCGAGTGAATCAGGTCGACATATCGGCGTCTCGTTGAATGTTTCTTCATTGATTTGATATACCTGAACTGCATACATGACTGCAGCCTCTACTGAATCCTGGGGCAGGGGTCCACGTCCTTTTACAGGATGTAAACCAGCATTCCAGATCTTCTATCAAACTAGCAAATCTAGTTCGTCTTTCCTAACGAACAAGAGGTTGTCTAATTCTCAAGCACGGCAAAGGGGAAAAAACCAAAGGCTGTGGAGAGACTCAAGAAGAACAAGCCACTGCTTCTATAACCTAATGGATAATACTTTAAGGTATGTGTTTAGGGGACATATACAGATAATTTGTGTTTCGTAGTGCACTGATGCTTTTACGGTGTTACCAAGTAGTAAGCACCCACCAGTCCCAGATTCAACTGATCATCTAATTAACATTTTTCTCTTTTTCAAAGTCACACTCTCTTCCTCCATACTTGCAATGCCGAATTCTATTCCAAAAACGACAGCAAAAACCTAAGGTAGAAAGAATCAGGGGCATTTTTCCATGGTCCGAGAACAGCTGGCGAAGGCAAGCCGTGCAGCAATCTACCAATCAAATTTAGTCGCTACAATCCAAGGAGTCGTCTCCAAGGCAAAATCAACCAGCCTCTGCGTCTGGGCACTGCCGTAGACATTCCATCTAACACCAATCGCCTCTGACTATGACATTCCAATTGGTAGGATGAAACGCCTGTCCAGCGACGTCGTATCGGAGAATTGTACCGGCCGCATATTTTTGACAGTTCTCGTATATTTTCCAAGCTCCGTTGCCGATACTCACGAATGAGACCAATTCTTTGGTGACAGGGGCCTTGCAGTTGAATCAGTCAGATGTGTTATGTTTACATAGAATGAAAACAATTTTGATAGCGAGGAACGTAGGCGATGCCAATCGCACCGTGAAGAGGAGCAAAAGAATATCTAACGGTTTTCAAACAAGAGCATGAGAACATAAACTTACATCGTTACACCACCAAATTGCCGCGAAATCGGAACAGCTGACCCGGCCGCAATTGCCTGGTCCAGGGCCATTCTTTGGTCTGCCGTTCACTCTGTAGAGATACTCGATGCCTTCCCGCACACGGCCCCGATCGGCCGGGCCCCATCTGCCGAAGCACTCGTGAGAGAACTCCCGGACAATGGCCTGACGTTTTTCGTGGCTACTAGAAGCTGCGATGACCTCAGACAAGGTCCCATTGTCTAGTCCGTAATCTTCTCGGAAATTCGGATTGATCTTTGTAACTTCCGCACCGACATTCTCGATCGTGCCGTTGACAGAAACGAATCCTGCGCCAGGTGCTGTTTCTACCTCCCACTCAATCTCGTCGACGCCGTAGCCCGGAATAGAGGATTCCTGGCCTAGGATCTTGAGGGCATCAGCAAAAGGTATTTGGTAAAAGAGGCAGGACAGAACTGACTCGAGTTATCATCAAAGATAGAGCGGTAGCAGTGATAATCTTCATGGTTTTGGCTGGGAATCGGAGAGCTGACTGAAAGAATGCCTGTGGAAGAGTTGATTAAGAAATTGTTCTCGATGGGCGGAGGTTGTTTTATATCATTCTTCTCAACCCGTGTTCGCCTCGTGTAATGAGCGCCACCCTCCATGTTTCTAACATGTCGTTTCCAAGCGCCACTAGAAGATTTATGTGGTTTGCAGTCAGCCCATAAACACAAGTCCAGCTCAAGCGAATACCTTACCTCTCAAATCGCACCTGTAGCTCAAGACAGACCACGGCAGGTTACAGTATGCAAAGCGTGCTGCTATTACCTAGTTAGACAGTAACTTCTGACAGATTAACCCATCACATTAATTCAACTGTTCAGGGAGATGCCCATAAAGTGGGCTGCCACCAACAGCACAGCAAAATATAGTGTATCCAACCCTTGGAGCCAAGTCATAAACTGAGAGCAAGTCGCAGGATACGATCCCTTTATGCATGTTTGACTCCACAGTGTGCAGGCATACAAGTGGGGAGAACCATTGGAACAGGGCTATTAACTGAGGTGTGATACAGAACCAACAGAGTTCTCACTACAGTCCACAAGCAACTCATGTCCATTCCGCCCTCGCCTTCCTAAGTTCATATCGACACACTCTCGCCAACTTCAATAACAATAGGGACATGGTACGAGGGCCCTCACTATTGTTAGTGCTAGAGCAGTCACTGCAGGTCTCAGCGGGACAAGTCATTCTCAAATCATATTAAGTACCAACCAACCAACCCAAGACTTCTCAGAAAGGCAGGTCGCAATGCAAAAGCTTTCAGAAGCTTCCAAGTTGCTTACATACCTCTATCGTATTCGTGATAGTGAAGCTAGATCTAACAGGGAACCTAATAGTAAATAGTATCTTTAAACTAGAAGTAGATATTATCTAACTAAGTCTATCTCTTTAGAGGCCAGTCTGTTATAGCCTAGAACATGGGCCTAGAACATATATAGATAATTTACCTATAATAAGACGAAGTCTGTAGAACCTTTTACGTAACTTATGTCTTCCAACCAACAAGTCCTATCTACTAGCCTAATAATAGCCATAATATAGGGATAAGTCAACACCTAGATTTCACAAGCTAAATAACAGAATCTTAGGTTGCAAGGTGATCAGAACATGCCCAAGTTATGCCAAGACATCATCCATATTCAACATTGTTATTCAGTGGAAAGCATCCAGAACTTGATTACAAAAAGAAAACGTCGACCGCTTCTTCCTGTCAGGCGACACATCCTTAAGCCCATCTTCCTTCTTATTTTCAATCCAATCAGCATTCAGCAACCGTCAAAATTAACAACTGTCAAGATACTCCAATATGAAGATATTCTGCACAACCCTAATCCTATCCTTTTTCAGGGCGAAGGTAGATCTCACTAATGCTCAACTCCTTGATCTGACTAACGCATGAGTAGGCGATCGCTCAGATAGCGCCCATCGAAGGCTACGGTGTGGCAGACCTTGAATGGGAAGTCGAAATCTTCCCCGATGGCCGCACTGAGATCTTCAAGGGAACAATCGAGCAGATTGTCGAAAACTTGCAAAAGGTAAACCCTGATTGGAAGCAAGATTTCAACATTTCCGCAACCCCGGAGGCCGCTGCTGCATCTGTCAACGAGCTTTTGGGCGATGACGGGGAATGGGCTGTTACCAAGCGGGCCGATTGGACTGAGTTTAGTGTCTCGTGCTTTGGGCGTTGGCAACCAGCGGACGGATGGCACATTTATGAGGGAATAGAGTACCTTGCCAGACTTTCAGGGAAGCCTACGAACGGGCCGGGGCCAGGAAATTGCGGACGAGTGAGCTGCTCCTTCAACTCTGCTATCTGGTGGTGCAACGACGTAAGTGTAACCTTTTTGGTCGGATATTTGGTGCTTGGACTAACAGTCCTATATGATCAGGCCCCTCAAACTAAGACACTGGCATCGTTCTTTAGTATCGCCTCAGGTGCAGGCGCTATCAATCGGCAGTGCGTTAGAGGAAATCCACTCATCAACCCGAAGGTTGGCGGACAGGCGTTTCACCCAACGAACTGGAATGTGATCGTGAACGGCGAGTGGTGTTAGTAGGAATATCTCGTGATTGGGAGTCACCAAAGGTTGCCAGTGGTTGAGTAACATTCCACGAAGTGTCAAAATTGTGGGAGGTGGTAAAGATTCATCATTGGCGGCCACTTTGAACGACCCTGTCTTGTGCTAAATTTGCCAAGAGGAAGCCAAGCAACAGAAGCTAGTCTCAATTGTGCTCCAGGTGTAATGAACACGTAATTCTGTCAGATATGATGGTTGTTGGAACGCGACTGGGGAAGCACCAAGAAATGGATCCAGTGCCTATACTCGGCTTTCCAACCAATGAACTGAACAGCTTTTGATGGGCGCTTCACATGCAATATGAACCCATGCATATGCATGAGCGGGTACATCTATCTGCGCTGGATTGACACTTTTGTCTGGATAAAGGGATGCGACAAATGCATTAGGCAATATGCAAGAACGGGTCACAGCAAGTATATACAAGACAGAACCCACCCCGCTCAGACTGGAACGAAAGCAGAACCCTCAATCAAATCCGGCCGTAGACCAAATCGACAACGTTTTTACAATACCGTCCGATCTGATCCTTCATACTCCTCTCTCACTCACGGACCGCACATCGGTCATTCTCAGACGCTTTCACTAGATTCATGATTTTTCGCTAGAAGTTCAGCTCAGCGTGAAGCGAAAGCGTTCGTCCGACCGAATTCAGCCTGTTTTTAGTATTACCATGACGAGGAATTCGCATGAGGAAACCGCCAGCGACTTGACCCAAGGTATTTGATGCATCCACCAAGACTATGAGAACGAAGACATAATGCGTCTAAGATCCGTCGGCACCATTGAATCAATCGGAAATTCTCAATTCAAAGGCTACCGTTGATGAAAATCGATCGA